AGAGGCCCAGACAAGCGCAGCCACGTGACCTGGCGGAAGAAAAACGCTCGTAACGAGCGCTTCCAGCCCCAAAACGCGGTTGGATCCGCACATGTGCAGGAAGTGCAGCGGGCGCTCTTCATTCGCGAGCGCTGATGACCGATGATGCTCGCAACCCTCTCACGCCCTTGCTGGCTTGGTAAGAGGCCTAGACAAGCACAGCCACGTGACCTGGCGGTAGAAAAACGCTCGGAACGAAAGCTTCCACCCCCAAAATGCGGAAGGATCTGCACATGTGCAGGAAGTGCAGCGGGCGCTCTTCATTCGCGAGCGCCGATGACCGATGATGCTCGCAACCCTCCCACGCCCTTGCTGGCTTGGCAATAGGCCCAGACAAGCGCAGACAACAGCTTAGAGCCCACTCCTGCCCATTGTGGTGTGCTGCATTCGTTTAGAACTGGCTTGATTCATTAAACGGGTCTCTTTAGTCAAGTCAAGTATACTCAGGGTGCAACACTTATATACGCTCTCTTGCCATTATGGTGCGTTGCTCTTTGGGAAGTGGCTAGGTTTAGTGAATTCCGTATGCCTTATGGGTTTCAATTGTGTCCAACTGCTCGGCACGCACTATCAAATATGGTGCCCCGCAGTGGCGGGGGGATGTACAAGCATGGATTGACCAGGTTTATGAAACATAATATGTTGACGTGGTCAGCATTGTGGATCTTGCAAGTTGGTGAACTTATTCTCCTGTGAATTTCTTTCGCTAAAATTGTACTCAGTGCTTTAGGCCCCACTGAGCACCACAACACTTGACAGCAGAATTAAAACTTAGGGTCCATAGCTTTCAAGGGTAGGAAGGTTGGTTGGACCTGGTGACTAAACCAAAGGTAGGAAGGTAGGTTGGACCTGGTGACCCAACCAAAGGTAGGAAGGATGAGGCAATTATGGGGAACTTAAGTCATAGGTACTGTATCGTGAGCTGAGCTGATTCCCTACATTTGTGAGGTTTCTAGTACATCTCAGCTCAAACCTTACAGCAAGAATGCCTCCTGTACAAGCGAAGCAGTTCCAAGCCATGGCCCAGTTCTGTTGCCCAGCGGCAAATGGAGGGCGGACAGCACAGCACAGCACCACTGGTGCGGCTGAGTGCTTCCGCGAAGCCAGGAACCCCTCACGGTGGTGCGAAACAGCTTCCTGCCACCCTACGCGCAACTGCGGGGGGGTCGTAATAATTTAGCTTTGCAGACCGTCAAAATGTTTCCCGCGACGTTAACTGGTTGGCCTGTTGCAATAGGGCCACCCAGTGCCAAAAATAATTTTCGTAACCAATGGGACACTGCCCTCTCCCTTAACGTTTTTTTTTTCGGGGCATTTGTCCCTGCCCGGAACTACTTGTGCTGTCCCTGGGTCCCCGACTCGAGCGGGAACCAGGGTCCTGTTCTGTTGCCGCACTACTAGTGCGGACCCCTCCGCACAGCACTGGATGATGCTTCGTGAGGGCCTCTACCGGTGATCCTCGAAGATTCATTTTCAAGGGCGTAATCCTTGAAACAGGTTCGGGACCTTGAACTCCATCCCGAACCTGGCCAGAGCTGTGCTGTGCTGTGCGGCCAATGTCGTGCAAAAGAACACTGAACTAGTAGTGCTGTGCTGTCCCCTCCTCCCAGGCAAACTGGGTGCGAGACTTGTTCCCGACTGGTTCCCGTTCGGAGCGCGGACCCAGGGACAGCACAAGTAGGTCCTGGGCAGGGATTGGTTCGCGAAAGTTCTAGTAGTGGCGAAAAGGGTGGCAGGAAGTTAGCGTGTTCCTTCGACCTTATTGATGCATGCCGAGCCTCCTGACGCACAACTAGTGCTGTGCTGTGCAGTCCGCCCTCCATTTGCCGCTGGTCAACAGAACAGGGCCCAGTCGGGAACCAGTCTCGCACCCAGTTTGCCTGGGAGGAGGGGACAGCACAGCACAACTAGTTCCACGTTCTTTTGCGCTAGGTGGGCCGCACAGCACAGCACAGCACTTGCCAGGTTCGGGATAGAGTTCAAGGTCTCGAGCCTGTTTCAAGGAATACACCCTTGAAAATGAATCTTCGAGGACCACCGGTAGAGGCCCTCACGAAGCATCATCTGGTGCTGTGCGGAGGGGTCCGCACAAGGCCCTGTTCGATAGGCTAGCCTATTGCAAAAGGCGAAGGCTAGGCTAGGGTTAGGAGGAGGATTCAGCGCAGTTTCTTCCCCTACAAACCAATCGGAAGCTGCGCCCCTAGAAATCGGAAGGAGCGGGGCCCCGAGGACGATGTTGCTTGCCCCCTTCTACTTTGTCATCGCGGTCTGCATACCAAACTTTGGAGTGCCCGCAACAGAGTTCTGGGTAACAACGCCGGGAAAAAAAAAAAGAGGCTCTCCCCACAAATTGCTCGCCTCACAAGAAGATAGGTCTGGGCAATTTTTTTTTAGGTGGAGTCAAGAATTGCGGGCTATTTTTTTGGTCCAAGGAGAGGGTATCCCTACCACTGCAAACACTTGGCGAGCCCTTTGGCAAACCCCACTTTCGGGGGGCGAGGGTTAGGCTAGGCGAGGGCTAAACCTTTGCCCGAGGGGGAAAGTCCCTGGATCTTTCCGAGCGGGCTAAGGCTTCTTGAATGGGTTGCGTTCGACAGGCTAACCCTAACCCTTCAGGTTCCAGAGGGTTAAAGCCCCCTGACACCAAATTACGGGCTGACGGTAAAGAAACCCTACACCTAAACAGCCACGACGATTCCGCGGGCGTTAAGGCTAGCCTATCGAACAGGGCCGTAGTGCGGCAACGGAACTGGGCCCATATGCCGCCATGTGCCCTGGTTTTGCCCAACACGAATGTGCCTAGAAACCTATGACGGGTACAGCTTGCCCAAACATCCCATCACACATGTTCACCTCGCCAACCAAACGAACCGAATCGTCACGCAAATGGACGGGCTTTCCTACTGGCTGCACCGTCTTGCCTGACATCTGGAAGCTTTTTACTCGGTGATTTGGACACGTGACTCACGCAATATCCCACCAGACCTCACACCAAGCCTCACCCGCTGCCACGGAGGAGAAGGTCAAGCCAGGAGGGAGCGTGAATTGAGAGTCCGCCCTCGAGAATGTCGCGCCGAAATCCGTCCGGTCCGAACCACCTTTGTGCCATGTCACAGAAACGCCCCCAGCCAGGATGTTCACCTTCGAGAATTTCGCGCGATTCCGCAATGTCGCGAGTGTTTCATTCCGCCCGCGCACCAGAAACGCGTTGCCTTGCCGTCGGCGGAAACACGGGGAGGTTGGACTTGGCGCATGCGTTGCGCAAACGCACCGCTTTGCTTCAGTTCGGGGGAATGCCGTGCCATGCCACACGGGGCCAGGTGAGAACTGCCTCCTGCTGCTGCGGAAACCCAACCTTCGCCAGCCGCGTCGCACATTGCATGGCCTGACCCGCCATAGCCTTACATATATATTGACAGCCCGTTGTGAGCACAGCCAGTGATTTATTGCCACCATTTTTTCGAGCAGGACCTGACTACCCGCAAACGACCCTGCTACTACTACTCCTCAGCGTTTGTTTCTTAAAAAATCAGATGGCGACACTGATCTCCTCCGTTCCCCATCAACAGCGAAACATCGCTGAACCTCGATTCCATCAGGAAGTGGTCGAAGCGTTTCGTCTTATCGACACCAATGGCGACGGTCGGATTTCGTACGAAGAGCTCGCTGCTCTCCTAGATCGCCTAGGTATTGATGACGGCCTTTCCGTCGTTCACGAGATTATCGGCGACGCGGATCGGGACGGCGACGGTCAGATCGACGTTGAGGAATTTTTAATTGCTGCCCGTGGAGCTCCATGTAACTGCCGCGTTACCGGCTCGCCTTGCTGGCATGAAAACGAGGACCTGCAGAAGGCTTTTACTCTTTTCGATTGTGACAATAGCGGGGATATTACAGCGGAGGAGCTACAACAGGCGATTTGGAAGATAAACGGCGAATCTGTCAGCCTTATGGATTGTCAACGAATGATTGCGAGAGTTGACTCTAACGGGGATGGAATGGTCGACTTTAACGAGTTTCAGCGGATGATGGATGGAGTGTTTGGCTGAAAGCATGGCGCTGCTTCTGTCACCGAGACGTTCTCAATTTCTGAAAACCCAGTGGCATCACCGTCAATAAGAAACGATTTCATGTTGACAGAAATCGTTACCTTAGCGGAATAAGTGCCAGGGGTCTCTGTTCTGATTCATGTGTGACGGCGTTTTCATTCTGTTTTCAGATTCTGGATGATTTGGAATGTATGACGCCGATGTTCTCAATGTTTTTGCTCTTTGTTTGCGGAGCTCCTGCCTACACTCAGTTGGCTGGGGCCTCATCTTGTAATTTCAACGTTTTTAAGGAGATTGCCTCTTGTACAGCAACTTCCCTTCCTGCATGCAACTAAATTTTTCCTCTAAGCTCTGTGAAGGCATGCTGTGCAATCAGGACAGACTCTGCATGGAATACCTCAATAACTGGCTGTCATGTTCACGTGTGGAATGATTTTACAGCTTTCCACTACGTTCATGTGTGGCAGGCAGACACATCACAGCAGCATGTAACATAACAGCCTACTCAGATAAATGGTTTAGGAACAGCCAGCTCTTGTAGTAAGGTGCAGGAATCACCGTGACCAATAGCTGCAGACGCATGGGTACAGAGATTTCAGTAGGTTATACAGATGGCGCGGATTTGAGAAGTTTATTACCGGTAGATCTACGAAGCTAGCCAGACCGAACAATTTGTAGTCTTAGATTATAGCTACATTCATGGCCCTCCCTAGAGAGTATGTTTAGGAGGAACAGTTGACTCTTGAGGCATATCAAAGGACACAGCAGGAGCAGTCTGGCGAGCAGAGACGGGGTGAGAAGCAGAGAAGGTGTGGTCAGCTTGCTTGAAGCAGAAGCTGGCGAGATGATATGTGCAGCTAGAATGCAGGGAGGGCATTGGGGCCAGATTGCAGGAGGAATGCTGTGTTGAGTCTAGATGGCAGGGAGGGTGTTGGACATGCGGAGTGTTTGAATGGTGGCAAGCAGGCCTTTGAACACCACAGCAGAGTAGGCGGAGCGGAAGGAGTCGAGGAGAGCAGGGGAGGGGTCCGAGGCGACACGGGTGAGGCAGAATTCGAGGAAGCCGGACTGGAAGGCAGAGGGGCTCTTGAGCTGCTGCTGGTAACGCTGTAACCACAGGTGCGCCATCACCTGGCACATGGCCTCCTTGATCTCTGAGGGTAGGGCTGAGAAGGCACCTGTAGGGGGGAGGGAGCACGGGAGGTGAAAAGGGGAGAGGTACCAGTTTCGAACTATTGCTGTAAGAATGCGGAAGGGGTCGAGCAGAGCAGGGGAGGGATCTGAGGCAACGCGGGTGAGGCAGAATCCGAGGAAGTCAGACTGGAAGGCAGAGGGACGTACCATCAAGAATGAACCATGCACGCATGAGCTGATTGGCTATGACTGCCCCAGCCAGAGGACTGATAGTGAGGGGGAGAGGGGCGAGGAGCACAGGGGCGGGGAGGACAGGGGGAAGGGGGCAGGGATGAAAAGAGAGCATACAAGGAGTATGAAGGGAGGAGTGAAAGGGAAGAGGTGAGAAAGGTTTGTGAGGTGAACAGGAAACGGGAGCAAGTAAGGAAGGAGGGGGATGGGTACGTTAGTGTGGTGGAGTTGGTGGTTAGGATAGGAAGAATGCATGCATGGTGCAGGCATGGCGCAGGCATGGTGCAGGCATGGTGCAGGCATGGTGCAGGCATGGTGCAGGCATGGTGCATGGTGCAGGCACGTGCATGCATGGCATGTGTTGTGATCCAGCACATTCTTGCATGCATGGAAGGTGAGTGGCTGGTTCGACAGTACATGGAAGGTACGTACGCTGGGAGGCCGTAGAGAATAACGATGCCCGAGATGGCAGTGGAGTTGACATGCGTGAGTGACACCCATGGACACAACTTCCCCACAGTACATGGAAGGTACGTACGCTGGGAGGCCGTAGAGAATAACGATGCCCGAGACGGAAGTGGAGTTGACATGCGTGAGTGACACCCATGGACACAACTTCCCCACAGTACATGGAAGGTACGTACGCTGGGAGGCCGTAGAGAATAACGATGCCCGAGACGGCAGTGGAGTTGACATGCGTGAGTGACACCCATGGACACAACTTCCCCACAGTACATGGAAGGTACGTACGCTGGGAGGCCGTAGAGAATAACGATGCCCGAGACGGAAGTGGAGTTGACATGCGTGAGTGACACCCATGGACACAACTTCCCCACAGTACATGGAAGGTACGTACGCTGGGAGGCCGTAGAGAATAACGATGCCCGAGATGGCAGTGGAGTTGACATGCGTGAGTGACACCCATGGACACAACTTCCCCACAGTACATGGAAGGTACGTACGCTGGGAGGCCGTAGAGAATAACGATGCCCGAGACGGCAGTGGAGTTGACGTGCGTGAGTGTCTTGGGTTCATGTGAGATCCCTGCAAACGCTGCTGCTGTGGATCCTGGTGCCCGTACGACCTGGAAGCACACGAGAGACAGCACAGCAGTGGAGTTGCAATGGAGTTGATATGAGTCAGTCAGTGTGTTGGGTTGAGATCCCTGCAAACGCCGCTGCTGTGGATCCTGGTGCCCGTACGACCTCGAAACAAACAAGGGAGAGGAAAGAGGGTAGGAACTCGGGGACAGTGTCTTGGGTTCATGTGGATCCTGTTGCCCGTACGACCTGGAAGCGGGTAGGAATGGGAGCAGTTCAGAGATCCATCAGTCAGAAGATTGGGCTCGTACAAGTTGTTTCCACATGCTTTCCCTGGCGATGCCTTGAGTTGGGTTTTGAGTTGACTCAAAAGACATGGGGATGCATGGAGTACTGAGATGGCACTAAGATGTTACGGAGATGAAACTCCAGATGATACTGAGGGACTAGATATGGGACTCACTGTTTGGATAGTGGTTTCTTGTGTGAGGCACACTCCAGGCACCACCGCCAGGCGAGATGAGCCCTCTCTAATGAGACGATACTGAGACAGACAGAGTGCCATAATACCGAGACTTAGACATGGGCAACGGACCGAGTCGAGTAAAACTCGACTCGGTCTGGGCCAAAACTCGACCGAGTTCGAGTTCGAGTCGGGTGAAACCCGGTCGAGTTTTTTTGCCAAGGTTCTGGACTCGAGACTCGACTGTATAAGGGCGAGTTTTAAAAACCTCGACCGGCCCTATTCATACACTCGGTCGAGTCCTAGTTAAACTCGGCTCGGGGGGAGGGGGGGGGGGGGGGGGGAAGGACACATCATGGTCTTCCCTCCCTCCTCCCCCATGATCGCCACGGTGGGTTCCTCCCGCCCCCGCTTTCCCCCCGTTGATGTTCTTACTTGTCAGCTCAGCTGCTTGAATTTTGCCATGCTAAATCAGTAGATCGACCGTTAAATTATTAAATAGTAGCGTTTCCTCATGCTCAAACCCTAATCGAAACCAACCATGCAATAAAACCGCGACCCTAACTAAGCGTAAACCTAGATCTATGTTGCCCCTAAAGCGATCTTAAGTTTAAGAAGGAAAAACAGCCGGGCGTTTGGCTGGTTTGGCTCTGGAAACTATGGACGACATGTTGAGGACTGTGACTGACTGAAAACGAGATCTGAAAATGGGCCCGCAAAACTTCGAATTTCGAAACGTGTATGCCCAACCACGCCAATGTCACGACGAGTTTTTCCTAAACCCATCGAGTCCAAAGAACTTGACGGGTCTGGAAAAAACTCGCTATGGGGTCCGAGCCTAGACCGAGTTTTTTAAAAACTCGGCGGGTAAAACTCGACTCGGCCCGGTCGAGTTTTTTCAACAGGTAATCGCACTCGACACTTGACCAGTAACGAGTCCCCCGATCGAGTCGAGCTTGGAAACTCGACTCTTTGCCCATGTCTACTGAGACTCACTGTTTGAATGGTGGTTTCTTGTGTGAGGCACACTCCAGGCACCACGGCCAGGCGAGATGATCCCTGTTGGGTTAAAAAACGCCATGCAATTCCGTGCCATGCCATGCCATACCGTGCCATGCCATGCCATACCGTGCCATGCCATGCCATACCGTGCCAAGCGAAGCAGCAACCGTGCAGACAGGTACATTCAAACCCATGCAACCAGCAGACATGCAGGCATGCAGGAATGCAGAGACGCAGGGATGCATGTGGTGAGCTGCGAACGAATTCCCACATGTATGGATGGAGAGCAGAATCAACATCGTGCAGTTCACGTGGTGGCTGTAGGCTAGGCCAGAAATGCACGTGGATCAGGGATGCATTCATGTGCATGCCACATGGGGAGGGGATCAGGAACGTGAGGCATGCCACATGGAACACACCTCCCCACCACTTCATTCCACACTAACTCCCTCACAACCCATTCTGCCCCCACCCCCTTCCACCCCCTCTCTAACAACCCCCACTCTCCGCCTTCTTCTATTCCCCCCTTCAACACACCCCCCCCCCCCCCCACCGCCCTCACCTGTCTCTCGCCCTCAGCAGCAGCTTGTAATGCCGCCACGTCTGCGGTAACCACCGGGAGCTCGTCGCCCATTACGCCCACAGCACCCCTCAGCACCACTCCCAACCCCACCTCCTCGAAGAAACTCAACACAGAGGCGAACAGGGGGGCGCAATCAGAGGCGTCTACGACTAGAGTCCCCAGGGAGGAAGAGGAGGAGGAGGTGAGGGCGGAGAGGGCGGATCCAGGGGGGGAGGGCCAGGAGCAGGTGTTACAATCGGGGCAGAGCGTGCGGTTACCACCTATGTCGACCATTGTGCATGTGGTGGGCTGCAGGAGGGAGAGGAGAAGGTGAAGGGTGGGGGGGGGAATGTTTGGGGGTGGGGGGAAGGGAGTGGATAGAGAGAAAAAGGGAGAGGGGTGTCATGGGGTGAGGTAAGTGTTTCAGAAAGAGGAGCCATTTGTGGAGGGGCCGTGCTTGGCGCAGTGCTTGTGCAATCAGCGAGAGAAACTGTTAACTTTCTGTAGAGTTTGACTGACTGACTGACTGACTGACTGACTGACTGACTGGCAGCACCTGGAGGCGAGTGCAGGCGGAGCAGAGGGGCGAGCCATCCGTGGTTGGGCTGTGCTTGGCGCAGTGCTTGGCGTGCCACAGGTCGTTCAGGCGGTACTCCACCATGCCCGAGTCGCTGGGGGCGATCTGCGGAAGGAGACAAGGGAGCATACATGTGGGGAGACATGGGCAACTAGAAGGGGTAGGTGGCAGAGAGGGGAGCTATCCAAGGAAGGACAGTGCTTGGCGTGCCACAGGTCGTTCAGTCGGTACTCCACCATGCCAGACTTGCTGGGAGCAATCTGTGGAAGGGCACAAGGGAGAAGAGGGTGTAGGTGGGGAAGGGGAGGACGCGCAGAGTTTGGCGCAGTGCTTGGCGTGCCACAGGTCGTTGAGTCGATATAATCCACCATGCCCGTCTCGCTGGGGGCGATGTGCAGGGCTCACAGAGGCGGGACATGCATTTACGCCATCAGGGAAGCAGAGGGGGCGATATCCATTAGGGGCACTTACATAAGTGTCGCAGACGTAGCACTTGGGGTGGAAGAGCTGGCGGTAGCACTCGGTGTGGTAAGTGTCGCCCTCCTTCACAGAACACTGCACAGCACAGCACCGCACAGCACAGCACAGCACAGGATAGCAGTGGAAAGCAGACGACACAGTCACGAACTGGGTATGGTAGGTATCAAGATCACCTTGACTGCCTCTTGAGGCGCCTCAAAATGCACAGTCGTTACGATAACAGCCGGTGGAACCGTGGGGCAGCCTCAAATCCACCACTGCTCACCATCACATCACTCTCTCATCCCCCTCTCGCTCTCTCACTCTCAAAACCTCTCCATCTTCTTCTCTCACCTGCATCTCAGTCATGGGCAGGAGGTAGTGGCATGGCTGCACTTGAAGCAGGCCGCACGCAAGTCATGGTTCAGAGCAATCGGGTACCAATCCATGCTTTAACTCCTTCACGCCACTCACTCACTCTATCGCTCCCTCGCTCACTCACACATTTCCTCTCACTCACCACTCTATTCCCTCACTCACCCACTCTCCCTCACCTGCATTTCAGTGATTGGCAAACGGCAGTGGCTGCACTTGAAGCAGGCCGCATGCCAGTCACGGTTCAGAGCAATCAGGTACCTCCCGGAATCGATAGTCCGCTCACACGCCCCGCATATGCCATGGCGCGTGGGCCTGTAGGGAGGGAGGGGCGCGGCGCATGTATACGTGCAGTTGAGCAGGGGGGGAAGGAGGGGTGGTTCAGAGCAATCAGGTACCTCCCGGAATCGATCGTCCGCTCACACGCCCCACAAATGCCGTGGCGCGTGGGTCTGTAAAGAGGGAGAGAAGGACGCATGGATACGTGCAGAGCAGCAGATGGAGGGGAGAAGGGCAAACACCTCCCGGCATCGATAGTCCGCTCACACGCCCCGCATATGCCATGGCGCGTGGGCCTGTAGGGGAGGGAGGGACGCATGGATACGTGCAGAGCAGCAGGAGATGGAGGGGAGAAGGGAAATCAGGTACCTCCCGGCGTAGATCGTCCGCTCACACGCCCCACATATGCCATGGCGCGTGGGTCTGTAGGGGAGGGAAGGACGCATGGATACATGCGGGCAGCAGGTGGAGGGGAGAAGGGCAATTAGGTATCTCCCGCCGTCAATCGTCCGCTCACACGCCCCGCATATGCCGTGGCGCGTGGGTCTGGGGGGAGGTGTAGGGGTAAAGGGGTAGGGAGAATGGGAATAGAAGCTATGACAATGGCGGTTCAGAGCAATCAGGTACCTCCCAGAATCGATAGTCCGCCCACACGCCCCGCATATGCCATGCCGCGTGGGTCTGGAGGGGAGGAAAGGACGCATGGGGCCATGAGCACGAGCAGAAGAGCAGAAGTGGGAGAGAAATCAGGAAGCTTTTGATGTCCATAGTCCGCTTACATGCTTCGCATATGCCATGCCGTGTGGGGATGTGCCGCATTCCCCAGCAAGCAACACCATACACAATATCCAATCGCATTCTCACAAGCAAACCACCCATGTGGCGTGGAATCACTTCATGGGTGTCACCAGCACCAGCGCCCCACTTGTAGCGTCCAGCCTTCCTGCCCCTCCCCTTACACCAGCAGTGTTACTCACCTCAACACTAGAAGTCAAGTCACTCACGTGGCGTGGAATCCCTTCATGGGTGTCAGTCACCAGCACCAGCGCACCACTCGTAGCATCCAACCCCCCTGCCCCTGCCCCTGCCCTTACAGCGGCACCAGCAGCAACAGCGCAGCCCAAGCAGAGGGATGGAGAGGGCAGGACCATACAAACAACCTATACCAAACACAAAACCCAAACCACTCACGTGGCATGGAATCCCTTCATGGGTGTCACCAGCACCAGCGCCCCACTTGTAGCGTCCAACCCTCCCGCTCCCCGCAGCAGCAGCAGCAGCAGCACCAGCGGGCACGGGACCATCCACCAGGGCCAGCAGGTCGACCTCCCCGTTGGCCTGCTTGGGCGCGACTGAGTTCACCTTCTCCAGGAGAGACGCCTCTGACGTGCCACTGTCGATGTCCTGCGGTTGGTAGTGGTTGGGGTGGGTGGACAGTGGACGGGTAAAAAGGGTCGAGACACATCGGCAGCAGCACCAGCAGGAACAGGTCCGTCCACCAGAGCCAGCAGGTCGACCTCCCCGTTGGCCTGCTTGGGAGCCACCGAGTTGACCTTCTCCAAGAGAGACGCCTCTGACGTGCCACTGTCAATGTCCTGCGGTTGGTAGTGGTTGGGGTGGGTGGACAGTGGACGGGTAAAAAGGGTCGAGACACATCGGCAGCACCACCAGCAGGAACAGGTCCGTCCACCAGAGCCAGCAGGTCGACCTCCCCGTTGGCCTGCTTGGGAGCCACCGAATTGACCTTCGCCAAGAGAGACGCCTCTGACGTGCCACTGTCAATGTCCTGCAGCGAGTAGGGATGGGTGGAGGGGCGTGTCGTGGGTTGAGAGAGTGGCAGCCGCAGCAGCAGCAGCGGGCACGGGCCCGTCCACCAGGGCCAGCAGGTCGACCTCCCCATTCGCTTGCTTTGGAGCCACCGAGTTGACCTTCTCCAGGAGAGACGCCTCTGACGTGCCCGTATCAATGTCATGTGGTGGGAGGTGGTTGGGGTCGGTGGTTGGGGGTGGGAAGGGGTGAAACACACACGTTAGCAGCAGGGCCAGCAGATCGACCTCTCCATTGGCCTGCTTTGGAGCTACCGAGTTCACCTTCTCCAGGAGAGAAGTTGGGGTCGGTGGAGGGGCGTGCGTGGTGGGAAGGACACAGCGGCAGCGGTCATCGGCGGTGGGAGCAGAGTAAAGCACCCAAGCGCCCGACCCTGCATCAGTGCTCAGCCCATTAATCACCCTCCTTTACCATCCCCATCCCCACCCCTAACTTACCAGAAGGCTAATCTCCTGCTGAAACGCCTTGGAGATGAGGTCATCGGCAGTGGGAGCACTGTAAAGCACCAGAGCGCCAGGCCCTGCGTCTGTTCCCAGCCCAACCCTTCACCCTCCCCTGCGCCATCCCCCATCCACACCCCTCCATGTGCACTCACCAGTAAGCTAATCTCCTGCTGGAACGCTTTGGAGATGAGGTCATCAGCAGTGGGAGCACTGTAAAGCACCAGAGCGCCTGGCCCTGCGTCTGTTCCGAGCCCATCCTTTCACCCTGCCCTGCCCCCATTCCCCATCCCCACCCCTCCATGTGCACTCACCAGTAAGCTAATCTCCTGCTGGAACGCTTTGGAGATGAGGTCATCAGCAGTGGGAGCACTGTAAAGCACCAGAGCGCCTGGCCCTGCGTCTGTTCCGAGCCCATCCTTTCACCCTGCCCTGCCCCCATTCCCCATCCCCACCCCTCCATGTGCACTCACCAGTAAGCTAATCTCCTGCTGGAACGCTTTGGAGATGAGGTCATCAGCAGTGGGAGCACTGTAAAGCACCAGAGCGCCTGGCCCTGCGTCTGTTCCGAGCCCATCCTTTCACCCTGCCCTGCCCCCATTCCCCATCCCCACCCCTCCATGTGCACTCACCAGTAAGCTAATCTCCTGCTGGAACGCTTTGGAGATGAGGTCATCAGCAGTGGGAGCACTGTAAAGCACCAGAGCGCCTGGCCCTGCGTCTGTTCCGAGCCCATCCTTTCACCCTGCCCTGCCCCCATTCCCCATCCCCACCCCTCCATGTGCACTCACCAGTAAGCTAATCTCCTGCTGGAACGCTTTGGAGATGAGGTCATCAGCAGTGGGAGCACTGTAAAGCACCAGAGCGCCTGGCCCTGCGTCTGTTCCGAGCCCATCCTTTCACCCTGCCCTGCCCCCATTCCCCATTCCCACCCCTCCATGTGCACTCACCAGTAAGCTAATCTCCTGCTGGAACGCTTTGGAGATGAGGTCATCAGCAGTGGGAGCACTGTAAAGCACCAGAGCGCCTGGCCCTGCGTCTGTTCCGAGCCCATCCTTTCACCCTGCCCTGCCCCCATTCCCCATCCCCACCCCTCCATGTGCACTCACCAGTAAGCTAATCTCCTGCTGGAACGCTTTGGAGATGAGGTCATCAGCAGTGGGAGCACTGTAAAGCACCAGAGCGCCTGGCCCTGCGTCTGTTCCGAGCCCATCCTTTCACCCTGTCCTGCCCCCATTCCCCATCCCCACCCCTCCATGTGCACTCACCAGTAAGCTAATCTCCTGCTGGAACGCTTTGGAGATGAGGTCATCAGCAGTGGGAGCACTGTAAAGCACCAGAGCGCCTGGCCCTGCGTCTGTTCCGAGCCCATCCCTTCACCCTCCCCTGCGCCATCCCCCATCCACACCCCTCCATGTTGCACTCACCAGAAGGCTAATCTCCTGCTGAAACGCCTTGGAAATGAGGTCATCAGCAGTGGGAGCACTGTAAAGCACCAGAGCGCCTGGCCCTGCGTCTGTTCCCAGCCCATCCCTTCACCCTCCCCTGGCCCCATTCCCCATCCCCACCCCTCCAAGTGCACTCACCAGAAGGCTAATCTCTTGCTGGAATGCCTTGGAGATGACGTCATCGGCAGTGGGAGCACTGTAGAGCACCAGAGCGCCTGGCCCTGCGTCTGTTCCGAGGCCCAACAGATCGTCTTCCATCGATAGCAGGTCTGGGGGTGGGGTTGCTGCTGCTGCCGCCGCTGCTTCTGCCGCCGCCGCTGCTTCGGCCTCTGCTGCTGCCTCCTCCTCTGCCTTTTGGCGGGCTGAAAGAGAAGGCAGGATGGTGATTGTGCGGGATTTTAGGGACGAACAGTAGAAGGGAATACGGGGGAGTAAGATGGTTTTGGGAGAAGCAGTGTAGCGTCTCTCTCTCCCCTCTGAAAAGTGACCAATGAGTTCGTTTCGATGTGTTAAACATGCACGTGCTTGTGCCTTCGTTCTGTTGTGTCTTTGCGTGTTTGCTCATACATGCAATTGCCACCTCTCCTCATCTCACCACTCATCCGCACTCCACTTCACCACGCACCTCTCTCCTCTTCCTCCTCTCGTCGTAGGCGCTCCGCTCTCTCCCTCTCCCGCGCCTCCTCCTCTTCCCTCTCCCGGTCGTATGGTCGATCCTGCACACCACCAAGCCAATCAGTCCGAACCAACAATTCCAAGCCAATATCCCAAACATCCATGCAATCCGCAGCAATACATTCATGCCACGCCATGCCATGCCATGCCACGCCACGCCACGCCATGCGATGCCACAGCATGGCACCCCATCACATGCCATGAGATGCCATGTTACATGGATCCACAACGACAATCCACCAGGGATCAAGTCCATCATGGCAGCCCATGCATCCCAGAACAACAATTCAGGGCCAGCCATGCCATGCGATGCCATCATGCCATGCCATGGATCCACGACAACAATCCACCAGGAATCAAGTCCATCATGGCAGCTCATGCATTCCAGAACAACAATTCCAGATCAGCCATACCGTACCGAGGTGACTTTTGAGTCGACTCAAAAATCCATCATGGCAGCTCATGCATCTCGAACAACAATTCGAGATCAGCCATACTGTACCAACCGCACATAGGATTCGTTAAAAAATCCGTTACAACTTACAAGGACCTGCCAACACTGACGACAACAAAACATTGAGACTTCAATTCCATGTGTTCTGAATGCGCGGAGCCGGGGCAAAATCGTCATGCCCATATCGCCGAAACAACGCACCCCCGTGCGTGGTCGTCATAGCCATATCGGCGGGCCCGCTCGTTGTCATACCGCCCACCATACCCCCCCCCCCCCCTCTTCCACATTACCCCCACCCACCATACCCCCCACCATACCCCCCCTCCATATCCCCCGCTATGCCCCCTCTTAAGATTTTAAAAGCGACTCCAAAACGCACCCGAGCATAGTCGTCGGCGTCGCAGCCATATCGGCTGCACCGCTCGTCGTCATACCGCCCACCATACCCCTGCCCTCGCTTCCAGCGTCATACCCCCCCTCCTCCCCCCCGCATACCCCCCGCATAACCCCCCCCCCCCCCCCGCCATACCCCTGCCCAAGCACCCCGTCATACCCCCCGCCATACACCCTCAAATTTCTCAAAAGTGACTCCTAGACGCACCCGAGCATAGTCGTCATAACCATAGCGGCTCCCCCGCTCGTCGTCATACCGCCCGCCATACCCCCCGCCACCATACCCCTGCCCCTGGCCTCCCCCGTCCTGCAACTGGGGCGCGCGGTGATCGTATCCCGGGGGCTGGGGTTGGCGCGAGGACGGCGAAGGGGGTGCCGAGGGGAGGGGGAAAGCGGATAAGCGGAAGCAGTGGCGCGGGGAAGAGGTTAAGGGGAAGGAGAAGGAACAGCGACGATGGCGAAAACGGGAGATGGGAGGGTTGAAAGGGAGCCGAGAGGGGAAGGGGAACGTGGGAATGGGGGAACGGGGGAACGGGGGAACGGGGGAACGGGGGAAAGGGGGGAAAGATCTGGCAATCCGGCATTCCACTCGTCGCACAGCTAGGTGCGCGGTGGTGGTAATTAGAAGGCCGAGGTGCGGGAGGTGATTAAGATGCGGGAGATGAGCGGAGGAGGACGGGAGGGAAGGGGAAAGGGGAATTGGGGAAAATGGGGATGGAGGGGGAAGCGAGGGGGGGAGGGAGGGGAGAGGGGAAGATGGTTGGGGAACCAGGCATAGACAGCAGTATTGCGCCGAGACAAAAGCGACAATGGAAACCCGATACGTAACGCTGGTACGTCACCGAGTAGTACGTACCGCCGTACTGGACCATTTGAGCCACCAGGGCGATTCATCTTGCATGCCAGAGAAGCGGTACGTACGGCCGACGCCCTCGTCCATGTCATCTTGCGGTAACGGCGCGTGCTGATGCTCCAACGCACTCATCACGAACCTGCGAGCGCGGGGAAGGAGGGAGAGGAGGGGGAGGGAAGAGCAGTCCGAACATTAAGACAACTCGTAATGTACTTTGAGGCGTATTTATAGTCCACTCAAAATGTTCCAATGCAAAACAAATGCATGGAATGGATAGATGGAACAGACGGAGCGTCCAACGATTGATAGGAGGTTCGAACGATCGGACAGAACAAGCGACCACTGAAGAGAGCGTTCACTACGGGGAGACGATGTCCATGCTGCTTTCGTGGCGTGTTGAACACCACAATCCACAACCGCGTGTTTCGTAACGCCTTTTGAAATAACGCGTGGCATTTACAAAAGGCCTTTAGACGCGTCAAGATGACCAAATTTCACGAGTTGCTGACAATGGAACTCGGGAGACCGATTTGTCTCTAAATGTAATCCGATGAACAGTTCAAATCATGCGTGCCTGATCATGAAAAAATCGTACCTTCGGAACCATGACGTGACATTGCCGACCACTTCGTCTACTTGCTCCATCGTCGCCGGATTAGCGAAACGAATTAAGAGTGCGATAAATAACTATATTCTTATACTCCACGCCAAACAGGATTGGTACAATCCTCTAAGGCTATAGCTTGCAGTGTCTAAGCGAAGCTCTAGAAGAAAAAGTGGGCATATTGCGGATCAGAAAGGGCCTGAGGCCAGAAGCTTCTTAAACTATTTCTATACGGTAACTACCAGAATGCTCACACATTCTCGGCCGGACTCAATGAATGCACGCATATATCCAACCTAAAACTCTATTGTGCCCGTATTCCGTCCTCCTAAGCCTCACGATCTAAACCTGCATTATAGAGACATCAGCCTCACTGATCAAAGAAATCTTGAAACAAGATGCCTTGGGGAAAAAAAATGCCCCTGGATTCCAAGCTAATAAATTCCACCCACCAACTTCCCAGCGGTCTTGGGATTACCTTCCCCTGGCCAACCAATCCAGCCCCCTTGGGGTGCGGGAGGTTGGGGCTATGGGCAGTGTATTTTTCGCAGCTCCCACCCAACCGCCCCTGGGCTACTTGGCGCGCTATGCAACGGCGAAGAGCGAAGAAAGGAAGCGCAGGTTTGCGCTGAATTCCCAAGGGACCTGAGTGCGTATTCCTGCACTTCGGGTCATCAGCACTTCGGGTCATCCGAAATTGTGGGATCCAATCGGAAGTTCGGAATCAAGAGATCGGGGTACGTTTCGATTTTCCGATTGGATCCTACAATCTCGGAAGACCCGAAGTGCTGATGACCCGAAGTGCAGGAATACGTCCTGAGTTGAGGTGTGCGTGCACGCTGTAGCGGATGGTGCGGACGGCTTGCGGAAAAGCGGGCAGGTTTCTTCGCCCGGGCAGGTGATTGCGAAGGTGTGCGACCAGAAAGCCCTACCGCAGCGAATTTCTGGGAGGTGCGACCTGGATGTTTGATGTGTTTCAGAGGGCCGCCACATCGCGAGCGACAACATCGGCGGTCTCTCAAGGTCGTCATATCCTCCACTTTGACCGTTCCGTTTCCATGTACCGTATGAGAAAGCTTTCAACTTTATTGGAGGGATGGCTTGCAGCAGCCCTTGGTCCAGAATCCAGAATATGAAGCATAAAAATATACACTGCATCTTCTACAGTGACCATACTTGTTGGCTTTATGAGTGGTATTACATTGTCACCATTAGCATTACACAAATTACATTATGTAGGTGTTGCACTATTGGTAAGGCCCTAACATACTAAAAGCACATCGAGTCACATGAGAGCCGAATCGGAGGAGTGAAAAGCAAAGAAATGCATGCTAATCAATCACAAGGTTTTGCATATGACTCGTTGAACAAGCAAATCGCTTGAGAGGGCAATTGTTCTGTGTCCCTCCCCTCCCCCCACACAGCAGCAGTTGATCACATGAGGGAGCAGTCACTCTGCGTTGATCCGCCCCTGCGCTGCCCCCTGCTCTGAGGGGTTGGCGGGGAGGCGGTCTGATGCGGTGTGGTGCGGTGCGAGGGAGATCTTGGGTGGGTGCTGCTGCCCTGATTGACGAAGGTTGGGGATTGGTGGGGAGGGAGTGAGAGAGAGGGAGGGAATCAGGGCAATAGGGCGTGAAGCGGGGGAGAAGCATGGGAAGCAAGGGGAGGACCATAGCATTCTTTTAGCAGACTCAGAAATCGCCGCTCCCCTCACCCCACTAATCCCACATGACCCACAAATACCAGCCCAGTTGCTGCTTCCCATGTGCTGCCTCATCAACTGCTGCTCTCCCTCCCACCACCATCACCACCACTGTCGCTCCTCCTCCTGATACTGCTCTCCCCTCCCCTGACAAACCCCCAATAGATCAATGGAGACTTACGAATATGAGGCCAGTTGCTGCTTCCCATGTGCTGCCCCACCCACTGCCGCTCTCCCTCCCACCACCACCACCTTCGCTCCTCACTCCTGATCCTCCTCGCCCCTCTCCCCTCCCCCCTCGCCCCCTCCCCCTCCCCCTCCCCCCTAACTGATTCACATCTATTGGCCCTGCTGCCCCCCCCACTGCTCCCTCCCGCCCCCACGCCCCTCCCCCTTGCCCCCATGCGCCTCCCCCGCTTCCCCCCCTGCCCCCACCCCCTTCACTGCGCACCTGCCCCACTCCCCCTGATCTCCCCCCCCTGCCTCCGCCCCTCCCCCTCCCCCCTGCCTGCTGCCTCTCCGCTGCTTCCACCTCCTGCTGCTGCAGCATGAGGGCCAGCTGAAGGTCAGAACTGGTACAGGGGGCGGGAAAGTAACAGAAAAAGGGAAGAGGTGTAAAGGGGTGAAATAAGGATCGTCGTTTGCACATTCCCTTGCCCCTCCCCCCTGCCTGCTGCCTCTCTGCTGCTTCCACCTCCTGCTGCTGCAACATCAGGGCCAACTGAAGGTCGGAACTGGTATAAGGGGAGAAGAAGGAACAGGAAAAGGGATGACAGAATAAGGGAATGAGTTGAGGAGTTTGTTCGACATGCTCCGCCCCTCCCCCTCCCCCCTGCTTGCTGCCTCTCTGCTGCTTCCACCTCCTGCTGCTGCAACATCAGGGCCAGCTGAAGATCGGAACTGATATACTGGGAGGCGAAGTAACAGAAAAGACAAGAGGGGGGATTAGTGAGCGATTAATTTTCACACATCCGCTCCCGATTTTTTAGGCGCCTAAAAAAACAGTGAAAGATATATTTTCACACATCCCCTCCCACCTCCCTGCTGCCCTTCAACGCAAAGCAAGCTGAAAGCAAGAGTGGGAGCGGCAGCACGGAAAATGTGTCACTGCGTGGTGCGGTGTGGGGTGCGGTGTGGGGTGCGGTGTGGGGTGCGGTGTGGGGTGCGGTGTGGGGTGCGGTGTGGGGTGCGGTGTGGGGTGCGGTGTGGGGTGCGGTGTGGGGTGCGGTGTGGGGTGCGGTGTGGGGTGCGGTGTGGGGTGCGGTGCGTGGTGTGTGTGAGATGTGAGGTATGGGGTGAGAGACTCACTGGTATGCGTCCGAGCTCCAACCCCTCCATGCCCTTCAAAGCAAAGCCTAGGCATGTGCGCATGCATGGTGTGGTGTGTGTTGGGTCTGAGGTGTGCGGTAAGAGACTCACTGGTATGCGTCCATGCCTGGTACGAGCTCGAGTCCTTCTAAGCTTGGTTGGTGGTACAGCGAACGAAGTGCAGATGTGTGGTGCAGTGTGTGTTGGGTCTGAGATGTGCGGTAAGAGACTCACTGGTATGCGTCCATGCCTGGTACGAGCTCCAGTCCTTCCATGCCCTGAAACGGCAGATGCACACAGAAGGGGGCGGGAGGGAGCAGAAGCGAAATGGCAGCATGCGTGAGTGAGAGTCTTACGCATGCCACACACATCGCAGGAAAATCTCCAGACCTCTAGAGACTCTCGCACATGCCACGCAACTAAAGCCACTTTGTTACTCACAGCAGCGGCAGTAGCCGCAGCAGCTCACACTCACACATGCCCCTACCCCGACTCACAGCAGCGGCAGCAGCAGCAATGGCAGCATCGTCCTCATGAGTCCACTGCCCAGCAGCCCCCTTCCCCCCGAGCGACGGGGGCGGAGCAAAGGGAGTGAAATCTGCCTCACAGAGCGTGGTGTCGCGATCCCTCCACCTGGCCCAGTCATACTCACAGAGACAGCTGCTCATACTCACAGCCTCACACATGCCCCTACCCCGACTCACAGCAGCGGCAGCAGCAGCAATGGCAGCATCGTCCTCATGAGTCCACTGCCCAGCAGCCCCCTTCCCCCCGAGCGACGGGGGCGGAGCAAAGGGAGTGAAATCTGCCTCACAGAGCGTGGTGTCGCGATCCCTCCACCTGGCCCAGTCATACTCACAGAGACAGCTGCTCATACTCACAGCCTCACACATGCCCCTACCCCGACTCACAGCAGCGGCGGCAGCAGCAATGGCAGCATCGTCCTCATGCGTCCACTGCCCAGCAGCCCCCTCCCCCCCGAGCGATGGTGGAGGAGCAAAGGGAGTGAAGTCAGCCTCACAGAGCGTGGTGTCTCCCTCCACCTGGCCCAGCCTCTCCCACACAACGCCTGGTTGGTTCAAATAGCCTTGGTCAGTGACCAGCAGATAGATGTGGTTGGAGCGCTGTGAGTGGGGAAAGAGATTGAAGAGAAGGGAGGGATGTGAAGGAGTGAAGGGAGTGAAGTCCGCCTCACAGAGAGTGGTGTCTCCCTCCACCTGTCCCAGCCTCTCCCACACCACGCCTGGCTGGTTCAAATAGCCCTGATCGGTCACCAGCAGGTAGATGTGGTTGGTGCGCTGTGAGTGGGGAGAGAGATGGAAGAGGAGGGACGGTAGGAAGGGAGAGAGTGAGTTGTCTCCCTCCACCTGCCCCAGCCTCTCCCACATGACGCCGGGTTGGTTGAGATAGCCTTGATCCGTCACCAGCAGGTAGATGTGGTTGGTGCGCTGGGAGTGGGGAGAGGGGAGAGACGGGAGAGGAGGAAGGGAAGGGAGTGAAGGGAGTGAAATTCCTCAGATTTGAAATCCGCCTCACAGAGCGTGCTGTCCCCCTCCACCTGCCCCAGCCTCTCCCACACCACGCCCGGCTGGTTCAAATAGCCTTGATCCGTCACCAGCAGGTAGATGTGGTTGGTGCGCTGGGGGTAAGGGAGAGGGGGGGGGATGAAAGATTACGGGGGCAAGGGAGAGAGTGAGTTGTCTCCCTCCACCTGCCCCAGCCACTCCCAGACGATGCCTGGCTGGTTGAGATAGCCCTGAACCGTCACCAGCAGGTAGATGTGGTTGGATCGCTGGGGGTGGGGAGAGGGAGGTACGGGGGATAAGGAAGAGTACGGGGGCAAGGGAGCGGGTTGTGGTGCCGCCCTCCACCTGCCCCAGCCTCTCCCACACGACGCCCGGCTGGTTGAGATAGCCTTGATCGGTCACCAGCAGGTAGATGTGGTTGGAGCGCTGGGGGTAACAAGGGGTGGCAGGGTCGGGAGACAAGAGAGGGTGAAGGCAGGGTGAAAGGCTGCCTTGATTGGTCACCAGCAGGTAGATGTGGTTGGAGCGCTGGGGGTAACAAGGGGGAGAGAGAGAAAAAGCGGCACATATTGACGGGAAGTGGAGTCGTTGAGATAGCCTTGATCGGTCACCAGCAGGTAGATGTGGTTGGTGCGCTGAGGGTGACAAAGGGGGAGAGGGAGAATAAGCGGCACATATTGAGGGGAAGTGGAGTCCCCTTGGCTGGTTGAGATAGGCCTGATCCATCACCAGCAGGTAGATGTGGTTGGTGCGCTGGGGGTAAAGGGAGAGGGGAGAGGGGGGATATGGAGAGGAGGCAGAGGGGAATGTGAAGTACCGAGAAAACGAGAGGAAATATCCTGAAAGCATATGCACGGAAAGGGCAGTAATGGTGTGGCGATTCTTCCAAAGGTGTTACTCAGAAGCATGGTAAGGGCACACGCATAGCTTCTTATACGCAGCATGGTAGTGAAGGTGGTAGGTCGAAGCGAAGCACACACGGAGCCCTGAGACGATGTGTAGAATGTATTTTTGAGCTTCTTGTAAGTGAAAAGAGTCACCTTAAAGAGAGTGCTGAAGTGGTTGTTGCGGAAAAACACACAGAGCTGATTCTCCTTCACGCCCTCCTGTAGACTGAATAGCCTGGTGGAATGGAGACAAGGGAGATATACGGGGTGTAAAAAACACTCGTTGAAACATCATAATCTCCTTCGTCACAATGTCACATGACAATCGCATGGTGACTAAATAGAGTCGACATATGTTTCAAGCAACGAAACGAAACTTGCGACAATATATCAAACACACCCGTGGTAGGTGAGCTGGCTCGCTGTGCCGTTGAGAAATGTGAAGAGGAGCAGAGGTGGGAAAGTGAAGAGGGGCAGAGGTAGGAAGATGACAACGACGTGTGTGGATTTTGAGCAGATTTAAGAGGGTAACGCACCCGTGGTAGGTGAGCTGGCTGGCTGTGTCGTTTAGGAATGTGAAGAGCAGCAGAGCTGGGGAGGTGGGAGGAAGCACGGGCGGGGAACAGATGGGGCAGTGGGGAATTAGGCAAGGGGAGTCTACTATTGAGGCACCTCAAAAGCAGAGCTGCGGAGGAGAAAGGAAGCACGGGCGGGGAACAGATGGGGCAGTGGGGAAGTATGGCAAGGGGAGGCGCACTTGAATGTGGGGCGGGATGATAGCAGATTGACAGTGCTTTGAGACGTCACAGGCAGAGGGAGGGGAATAAGGAGACGAGAAGAAACCAGAGCAGGGACACAGATACAGATGGTGAGGAGGGGAGGAGATAGAGAGGTGACAAGGAGTTGGGAGCGGTGGTCCGAGGTGACTCTCATCTCAACTCACCTTCACGCACATCATCTTGCATCTCCCCGCCCCCTGCCTTCTCTGTCTGGTCTCCCTTCTCCCTTTCTTCCCTCCTCCTTTTTTCCTCCTCCTCCCTTCTGCCCTCCTTGTCCTCCCTCCCTTGCCCCTCCTCGACCCTCCTCACTTGCTCCTCCTCCCTTCTAACCTTCTCTTCAGCAGGCCTCTCTAGGAAAGAAGCAGCCCCACTCCCCTGCCTCGACTCTGCACCACATTCTCCCGCCTCCAACCCCTCACCACCCATCTGTCTTCTCTCTAAACTTTCTCCCTCTGTATCCCTCTCACTGCCCTCCCCGCTTGTCGCTTCCGCAGCAGCACAGGCTCGGGAAGCCGAGGCAGAAAGAGGCTCGGAAGGTGTACGAGGCCCGAAAGCTGACGCAGGCTCAAATGCCGGAACAGGCTCGGAAGCTGGACGAGGCTCGGAAGCAGCTGGCACAGGCTCGGAAACTGGTGACGGTTTGGAGACTGGTAGAGGTTTGGAAAGGAGAAGAGAGGCAAGAGACTCAGCCAGGGATGCTGCTGTCACTTCCCCCTCCCCCTCCCCCTCATTCCCTTCATCTCCTAGACGTGCTTCCCCCACCCCCTCTCTTCTTCCCTCACTTTGTTTCCCCCCATCCTCCCCCCCACCACTCCCTGCTGTTCCCACATCCCCTCCTTCCCCAGCCGCCCCTCCCTCTCTCCCTTCCCCTAGCCTCTCCCCACCCCCTACTCCCCCAACTCTCCCTTCCCCGCTTCCCCCTCCCGCTCCCCCTCCCCCTCCCCCGCCCAGCAGTGCAGCAGCGAGGTCGGGGTGGGAGGCCTGCAGGGCAACAAGGCGCTCCACAATGCTGTTGTAGGAGAGGGACCCCACTGCTGCTGCTGTTGCCGAGTCCTGAGGTGAAGGGGGGGGGAAGTGTTTCAGAAGGCATTCAGAGGCCTGCAGGGCAACAAGGCGCTCCACAATGCTGTTGTAGGAGAGGGACCCCACTGCTGCTGCTGTTGCCGAGTCCTGAGGTGAAGGGGGGGGGGAAGTGTTTCAGAAGGCATTCAGAGGCCTGCAGGGCAACAAGGCGCTCCACAATGCTGTTGTAGGAGAGGGACCCCACTGCTGCTGCTGTTGCCGAGTCCTGAGGTGAAGGGGGGGGGGAAGTGTTTCAGAAGGCATTCAGAGGCCTGCAGGGCAACAAGGCGCTCCACAATGCTGTTGTAGGAGAGGGACCCCACTGCTGCTGCTGTTGCCGAGTCCTGAGGTGAAGGGGGGGGGGAAGTGTTTCAGAAGGCATTCAGAGGCCTGCAGGGCAACAAGGCGCTCCACAATGCTGTTGTAGGAGAGGGACCCCACTGCTGCTGCTGTTGCCGAGTCCTGAGGTGAAGGGGGGGGGAAGTGTTTCAGAAGGCATTCAGAGGCCTGCAGGGCAACAAGGCGCTCCACAATGCTGTTGTAGGAGAGGGACCCCACTGCTGCTGCTGTCGCTGAATCCTGTAGGATGGGTTTAGGGGGGTTATGAGTGGTTGAGAGGGGTTTCGGCGCTAGTGAGGCCTGCAGGATGACGAGGCGCTCCACAATGCTGTTGTAGGAGAGAGAGCCCACTGCTGCTGCTGTGGCTGAATCCTGAGGTTCAGAGGGGTTTAAAGGGGTTCAGTGGAATGTAAGGTACTTGGGAGGCCTGCAGGGCGACGAGGCGCTCCACAATGCTGTTGTATGAGAGGGACAGCGGAAAGGTTTGGAGTTTTAGAGGGGTTCAGCAGCAGGGTTGAAGGGGCAACAAGGCACATGCGTGCAGTCATGTCACGTCACGTCACGTCATGCACACATAGTCACATAGTTCACAGCGAACCATGGTGTGACTGTGGAGAACTCTCAAAAGTCACACCGCCATGCAAACATAGTCACATAGTTCACAGCATACCATCACGTACCTGCGCGTCCACCAGCCAGCCATGCACGAGGCTTATATCCAGCAGGTCGAAGATGGCACCATGCTGTACCATGACATGCCATCACCACCATACGCATATCACCTCACCCCATCACATACCTGCGCGTCCACCAGCCACCCATGCACGAGGCTGATGTCCAGCAGGTCGAAGATGGCACCATGCCGTGCACGTATGCCATAGATCACACCATGAGAACTTGTCATGTCACACCATCCTCCCCTCAGCTGAACATACCTGCGCGTCCACCAGCCACCCATGCACGAGGCTGATGTCCAGCAGGTCGAAGATGGCTGTTTCTGGTGTGAACTCGAAGGCATGGATGCTGATGGATGGGGAAGGGATATGATGGGGACACGCAACAAGACAGGAGCGGAGGTGGGGGAAGGCTGATGCCCAGCAGGTCAAAGATGGCTGTTTCTGGCTTGAACTCAAACGCGTGGATGCTGGTGGATGGGGACGGGTAGGGGGGCGGGGAGGGGGCGAGGGAGGGGGAGGGGGATGCGGATGGGGATGGGATAGGCACACGCAAGGAGAGTGGGGAGTGGGGAAGGCTGATGTCACTCAACTCAGCTCAACCTGAACATCCTTATCTCACACACGTAAGGAATCGCACTCATACCCTGTGAACACCCTAGCTCACCCTGAGCAACGCACTGCATGCCCCATCTCACCCTGGGCACTGCATTGCACGCCCTGTATCACCCCGTGCACCGCACAGCACCGCACTGCACGCCCCATCTCACCCTGTGAGCGTACGTTGACGTCAATTCCCGTGGCGAGCCGGGGCAACAGAGCCATGCAGTCCGCCACGTTCTGCTGGTTGTCGCTTCCATACTTGAGAAAACAGCCCCGTGCACCGCATTACACCGCACTGCACACCCTCTCTCACCCAATGCACCGCATTGCACCCATTGTCTCACCCTGTGAAGCGCACGTTGACGTCAATCCCCGTGGCGAGGCGCGGCAACAGAGCCATACAGTCAGCCACGTTCTGCTGGCGGTTGGTTATGTACTCTGCAGAGCGGCCCTGGGGAAAACATGTGGGGGTAGGGAGTGGTGGGAGCAGAGGCAGTGGGGTGAGACACCCCCAACCGGCAGCAGGGCCATGCAGTCTGCCACGTTCTGCTGCCGGTTGGTAATGTACTCTGCTGAGCGGCCCTGGCAAGGGTGGGGAATGGTGGGAGCCATCTCCGAGCGAGTGCACATATGCAATCAGACACGTTCAGCTGGCGGTTGGTTATGTACTCTGCTGAGCGGCCGTGAGAAGGGTGGACGGAAGGAAGAAAGGAAACGAGGAAGGATGCAAAAAGGAGGAGGAACGCGACACGTTTAAGCCGAGCCATGCAGTCCGCCATGCTCTGCACGTTACCACCTGGCGGTACCCCATGATCTAACTAAAGAAATGACATACTCTCCTGTCTCACCTCTCCACCTCTTCCACCTCCCCGTCCCCTTCCCCCCCTCCATGTCCACGCACGCACGCACCTCCATGCCTGTGTTGCTATCCAGCAGCCGGTGCGCCACCAGAGACAGCAGGTCCCACTGGGAGATGCCACACTCTTCCCGTCCTTCCCATTCACACTCCTTCATTCACACGTGCCCTCACCTCCCCGCTCCAATTCACGCACGCACCTCCATGCCTGTGTTGCTGTCCAGCAGCCGGTGTGCCACCAGTGACAGCAGGTCCCACTGGGAGATGCCATACTCTTCCCGTCCTTCCCGTTCACACTCCTTCATTCACATGCTCTTCCCCTCACCTCTTCCCCTCTTCCCCTTCCCATTTCCCTGTCGTTCCTTCCCTTGCACGCACGCACCTCCATGCCTGTGTTGCTGTCCAGCAGTCGGTGTGCCACCAGAGACAGCAGGTCCGACTGGGAGATCTCGGTAGCGCTGGGGCGGAGGGAGATGGCGTTGCGGAGCAGCAGCACGTTGGCTACGAGGGAAGGCAGCGGGAGGGGAGTTGGGTGTACAGGGGAATGGGATTCCAGCATGGGTTTTGAGTCGGCTAAAAGAGATTTCAGCAGTGCTGGGGCGGAGGGAGATGGCGTTACGGAGAAGCAGCACGTTGGCTGCAAGGGAAGGAAGAGGGAGGAAATGGAAGAGAAGGGGGAATGAAGGGCGGGGAAGATCTCAGTAGAGCTGGGGCGGAGCGAGATGGCGTTACAGAGCAGTGGCTGCATGGGAAGGAAGTGATGGAGGATGGAAGGGGGAATGAAGAGAGCAGAGCAGGGATGAGGTGACTGCAGGGAATGAAGGAGAGATATCAGTAGCACTGGGGCGGAGGGAGATGGCGTTGCGGAGCACATTGGCGTGACGTGAGAGGGGAATGAAGTGAGGCGGGTATAGCACGTGCGAAGTGCGGGAGGATGCGCTGCTCCAATGCCGAGAGGAGGATGCGGGAAGAGGAGGGGGGTTGTATATAACAGGAATAAGACCCTCACCAATCCCGAGGAGGGGGGTCCGTTGTCGTTCTGCATGACGATCGGCACCTGCTGCCAGTGCCGCCCCAGGAACGACTTACAGGACTTTCAGTCAGAGACAAGGGGGGAGGTAGCGGGTGGAGTAGCAGGAGGAGATAGCGATTGTGAAATGCTCACCAATGCCGAGGAGGGGGCAGGGCCCGTTGTCGTTCTGCATGACGATCGGCACCTGCTGCCAGTGCCGCCCCAGGAACGACCCACACATCTTTCAGTCACGGATATCTTTCAGTCACGGGAGGGGGAGAAAGGGACTGGAGTGAAATGCTCACCAATACCGAGAAGGGGGCAGGGCCCATTGTCGTTTTGCATGACGATAGGCACCTGCTGTCGCCCCAGAAACGACACGCGCTTTATCTTGTACCAGCTCTCCGCCGCCTCTCCTCCCCCGCCCTGCCCCTGCCCCTGACCCCCGCCCGATTGCGTCTCTTTTCCTCCTCCTCCCTCCTCTCCGCCCCGCTCCGCCTCCTCTCGCCCCTGACTCTGCCCCTCATCCTGACCCTGCCCTCCACCCTCTGCCTCCGCCAACGGCGGCGCAGCAGGCGCTGGGGGACTGGCGGAAGGAGCTGGGGGGGTCGAGGAAGGCGCTGAGAGGAACTCGGAAGGGGAAGAGGCGGAAGGCGCTGGGGGAGTGGCGGAAGGCGCTGGGGGAATGGCGGAAGGCGCTGCAGGAGTGGCGAAAGGATCTGAGGGAGTGGCGGAAGGATCTGGGGGAGTGGCGGAAGCTGCTGGAGGGGTGGCGGAAGGATCTGCAGGAGAGGCGGAAGGATCTAGGGGAGTGGCGGCTCCAGCAGAAGACTGATCCGCTGCCATGACATCTTGAGACGGCTCAAACGTCGCAGCTGGGGGAATGGCAGGTGGAGCAGAATATTGATGCGTTTCCATGACGTCTGCGCCTCCTGAGCGAAGCTCTGACTCCGCTATGGCTGCAAATTCACAGTGAAGCTCTTCCCTCGCGTTCGTTCTTTGAGGCGCCTCGAAAATGACGCCTCCGCCTCCTAACTGAAGCTCTAACTCCTCTATGACTCCGTTATGGATGCAAATTCACAGTGAAGCTCGACCCTCGAGTTCTGGAACGTCTCAAAACCTGGCCTCTGCGTCTCCAAACTGAGAACTGAGGCTATAGAACACACACTAAGGTCGCCGACTCGCCGCTGGCAATTACCAGATTTGTTATAACTGGTGATGACGGCTACAAACGGCAGATCCGTGATGTTTCCCGATTCAGATCCGTACGTACGATTATCAAGAGACTCGCCTGTACGAGGAACAGATTCGTTACGGAGATGCGTAACGGAGATGCTTTAAGGGGACGACGGAGATGAGGATAAGATACCGTACGTCGCACCATGACTACACTGGCGGCGACTACGCTGCTTGCTGGTATGCAGGCATGATAGCCTGGAATATCATAAAATTCAAAGGTAGTTTTGATTCAAATCAGGAATGCCAGGAATATTATAGCAAGGAGGAATAGGAGTGCTAGCTGGTATGCAAGCCAGGAGTGCCTAGAGAATGACACACTACCAGACGGAATAGTACGCCAGACTGAAGATACGAGACGGACAGCCTGACGGATTTCCCAAGGTTGAATCGAAGTCGTGGAATAGAAGTTCCGTTCCGAGCCGATAGCTGGAAGAAACTAGGAATTTCAGGTTGACTTGGGGAGGTGAAGCAAAACAAACCGAAACCAAGCAAATCCAACCGAGCAGGCGCACGTCTGTAACCATCATCACCCAAACCAACCGCCCACCCACACCCTCGTCAGCTCGCCACCAACGCTTTTTACTACAGAGGTTGAGAATGGTTGAGTGCTTCTTTTGCGCGTTTCAGTATGTGACAGAGCTTTTCCGTGCGGTAAATGTTCACCTTGCTGTTTCAATAACACCCCAAATTGCGCCCCTCTATCTTTACCCACGGCTCTCAAAACCGTGTCAAACCTGTTGAGACCGAGCATTTACGAAGGCTTCCTGCCTACACCTTCCTAGTTATCTCGCGAGAGCCTTGGTGCATTACGTAATATCGCACGCACCTACTATAGCGAGCTTTAGCCGTCAGCGTAATAGTTTCTCACAGCCTAAGTCAAACCCTATGTGACATAATCTTACCATTTTCGTCGCAACTGCCATCATTTCCCGTGGGCTTGCCCTAGTTGCGTAATTTCGGGCGGGGGCGGCAGTTTTGTCTTCAGCGATGATGACATACGAGGCAAGCCGACTCGTCTTATTTCGCTCCTCGTTTCTGTCGCTCCTTCAGGTTTGCTGTAGCTCCGTCAAGTTGCTGTAGCTCCGTCAGATTGCTGTAGCTCCGTCAGGTTGCCGCTCCGTCAAAGCTTCGTTCGCGTTGTGCTGCTTATGTGTGCGCGTGTGCTCCTTCCTGCCACGCGCTTGGTATGGCATGCTCGTGCTGTATCATGCGACGCGCATGCATGCATGTGGCATGCTCTTCGTGTGCGTGCATACATGCATGCATGGATGTGCCATGTTCTTGGTGTGCGTGGTTTGTGGTTGTGGTATGTGGTGCGCACGCATGCGCCATGGCAGGAGGAGCAGCGCAAGGGGGCGACAGTGGCGGCACTCACGCACTTCTCAGTGCTCTCAGCCAATGATGTCCTCCTGTTGTGCTGCTTGCGATGTGTCTTTCTTGCTATGCACTTGCTATGCACTTGGCATGGCAGGAGGAGCAGCGCAAGGGGGCGATAGTGGAGGCACTGACTGAGTTGCTGTGCCCAACCCATGTCATGTTCTTGATGCTGATGTGCATGTGCTTGCTGTGTTCCTCGCATGAATCATGGCATGGCAGGAGGAGCAGCGCAAGGGGGCAATAGTGGAGGCACTGACGCACTTCTCGGTGCTTTCAGCCAATGCCATGGCGACAGGTGTCACCACCACGCGCATGCGTCTGCAGCTCATGAAGGTGCGTTATTGTCATCTCCCGGCCTGCGTTATTGTCATCTCCCGGCCTGCGTTATTGTCATATTCCTTGTCTGCGCTATTTTCTTGTCATTGCGCTGCCTCGGTTATTGTCACATCCCTGCCTGCCTCCGTTATAGTCACAACCCTCGCCTCTCTCCCCCTCGCCCCCTCCTCTCCACGTCCCTCCCCCTCCCGCCATGTCCCGCCTACCCACCACAAAAAAAAAAACTCAGGAACACCCAACTTCTGGTTGACAGAAGAATATGTGACAGGAACACCCATCAGTGCCTCTTTCCCACCTCTTTCCGTCTCTTTCCCCTTTCGACTCCTCCCTCCCCTCCCCCTTCTCCCCCTCCCCCTCTTCTTTCTCCCCAACACCAGAAGTATTCACAAGTGCGGGACTCTTGGTTGACAGAGGAGGACGTGAACCCATCTGAACCGCCCACAATCCATCCCGACCTGCTTCGTTACATCGTCACCCACGATCCCCGCCTCTCCCCCTCCCCCTCCACCCGCCCCTCCACCTCCTCCCCCCCCAACGCCTCCTCCCCGCCCCTCTCCCCCTCCTCCTCCGCCTCCCCCCCCAACACTCCCCCCCCTCGCTCCCTCACTCACTCTCGCTCGCTGGCGGATGGGCGGACAAGGGGGAGGGTGGGGGGAGAGGAGGGGGACGTGGAAGGGGAGGGAGGAAGGGAAGATGAGAGAGTAGACGGAGGGGAGGAGGGAGGAGGGGAAGGGGAGGGAGGTGTTGAGGAGGAGGGGTTATCAGTGGGATCGGATATGGAAATCGATGGGATGGTAGTGGAGGGGGAAGAGGAGGGAGATGGGGAGGGTGGAAGGTTGAGGAGGGAGGAAGAGGAGGAGGACGACGAGGAGGGGAGGGGGTGGGGAGGTACGATCAGGCGATCACGGTCAAACTCGCTCATTTGAAGATCTTATCTCCCTTAAAGCAAGGGGCCTATGGCTACGATAAGGGGAGGGGAGGCGGTGGGGAGGTGCGATCAGGCGGAGGGGAAGAGTTTTCTTGGCCGGGAGCTTCTGAGAATTCTCAAAAGTTCCTCCCAATAGGGTGAGGAGGAGGACGAAGAGGCGATGGGGTGGGGAGGTACAATCAGGCGATCAAGGTCAAACCCGCTTCTCTGAAGTTCCCGCAAGCAGTCACACAGGGAGAGGGGGTAAGGAGAGGAAGAGGAGGAGGAGAGGAAGAGGGGGGGATGGGGTGGGGAGGTACAATCAGGCGATCACTGTCAAACCCGCTTCTTTGATTTTTTTTCGTTGAATTTCTTCTTTGAATTTCTTTTCCAGCTGGTTTCCTCCTTGCCCTCTTCTGTGCTGTATCTAGCAAGGATCTACACCGACACTAGCATTAGCCTGACTGCTGGAAACTCCTCTCCTTGCCCTCTTTCACTGTCCTGTGTCGGGGGGCAAGGCAAGGAAGCACCTACACCCATCCTAGCTTATCTGTTTCAGGATGTTTGATTTGCATAGCACAAAAGGATGATCAGCATCCACAGCAATGGTATGGTATGGTACATTCAAAGTGGTAATAGCAATCACCCAGCCTAGTACATACAGCAAGGCAAAAGCAGGGTTACACTTCAGAGACTCATGCTGACAGCCTGTCACTCCAGAGCAGTATATTGAAGACAGCCCTTACGGGGGTCTCCACTTAGGGAGGAACCCTGAACAAACCCCGACCACCTCAGGAAGGCACAACATTGAGGGTACTGGAAGTATTGTATTCAGCAATACACGCCAGTGCACAGGATCGGCCAACTGCTAACTGCTCAACTTCAAGATACAGAGGATTTATCCAAGAAAACACTTGGTACAAATAGGCTATATAACTCAAATCAATTAACAACATAATCTACTGGACCTGCTGCTGGCCAATACCACGCAGCCATGTGTCAGACCAGGAGGAACCCAGAGAGTTGTTTCTGTAGCTGCCAAGTCAAGTCAGATCATATCACATGCAACCACTTGCCAGACCAGGCAGCTGAGGAATCAAATGATACGCAGTAAAGGTAAGCAGTCACACAAAGAGTGTTTCAAGTCCAAAGAAATTCACATACCTGACAGACACAAGCAGCAGTCACATCACATCACACTCCCTGCCGGGCTGGGCAGCTGAGGAATAAAAGGACTGCAGTAAATGCGAGCCGTCACACCGAGCGTACTTGACAGACAGACACAAGTACCGTAGCAGCCACGTCACATGACACTTGCCTGCCAGACCAGGCAGCTGAGGAATCAAAGGACTGCAGTGAACACAAGCAGTCACGCAGGGGGAGGGGAATGAGGAGTGAATGGGTGGGGAGGGATGAGGGGTGAGTGGGTGAAAGGCGAGGGACGGGCGGGGTGTGTGAGGGGTGGTTAGGTTGTGAGGGAGGGGGGTGAGGGAGATGAGGGTACTGATGGGACGGTGGTAGGGGAGGGGAGGGAGTTGAAGGGTGGATGGGGGGGAGACGAGGCATCAGCAGGGAGGAAGTTGAGGTGTGGGAGGGGGATGAGGGGTGAGGGGTGATTCTGAAAGCGGGGAACAGGGGAAGAGGGAGAGAGGGGGAACGGAGTGAGACAAGGGGTGGTGAGGGTGGGCGTGAAGGAAGAGAGCAATAGAACGCGGCAGTGATAAGCAGGGGGGGCTGGGAGGATGAACGGAGAGAGGAGGGAATGATGCGAGGACAGGGAAGATGAGAGGAGAAACGGAAAACGAGGGGAGGGTAGGAAAAATGAGGGGAGAGCGGGGAGGATGAGGGGACAGCGGGGAAATTGAGGGGAGAGCGGGGAGGATAAGGGGAGAGCGGGAAGGATAAGGGGAGAGCGGGGAGGATAAGGGGAGAGCAGGGAGGATAAGGGGAGAGCGGGGAGGATAAGGGGAGAGCGGGGAGGATAAGGGGAGAGCGGGGAGGATAAGGGGAGAGCGGGGAGGATAAGCGGGCAGCGGGGAGGATAAGCGGGCAGCGCTGAATATGAGCGAGATGGGAAGCGGAGAGATGAGAGCCTTTCCTAGGCTAGGTCAAAGGGCGAAACGGGAGGGCTGGGAAGCGGAGCAGATGAGGGGAGCGCGGAGACATGAATGAGGTTTCCAGGCTATGTCATGGGGTGATAAGGGAGAAGGGGAAGAGGGGAAATGGGGAGGGGGGAGGGGAAAATTAAAAGGGAAATGCGTTACCTTTCGCGGATCCACTCCCTTCGCAAATAAGGCTTTCGCTCGTCCATTCTTCCCTTCCTCCGCCGCTCACCTCCCCCCGTCCTTAATTCCGTCTAGTCGACGCGCTCGCCAATCGACGATACGCGCTACGTTACCTAATGCGGTTGAAAGGGACGCGACCAATTCGTCCGTATTATTCCACCCGCGATCTACAAGTAAAAACGTCAGATCTGGAGGCGTGCAACCGAACGAGGTGGGGCGACTAACTCCAATGTCTGATGTCAGATCTGATTCTGCAAGAACGCTACCAAACGCGTGAAGCGACGAACACTAAGAACGACCCTTAGATTGAGTAACATCAACAACAATAATAAAACTCGCTGTCATAACAAGACGATGCCCTTACGCTCCACGTCGACTACCGCGCTGAGATCTGACTAAACAATAAAGACTTACCTAACTAGATGAGAGAGGATTAGGTGGAAGTACTACTGAATGTAAGTCAATCCTCACGCTATTACATCTGGACACGGACGGGTGAGCATGAGGGTTAGGTGTGGTAGGTTCGGCTACTCGAGGTTCGGGTTGTTGATAATGCCATGGTGGATGTGCCATGGTGGCAAAAACACCATTTCTATTAGTTCGCGTAAATCGAATCCAACCATTGTGTTTCCAGCTGCCCGAGTCAGGTTTAGCGAGTAAGCTGAACTTTTCCGCGCCACTCACGATTCCCATCCCATAACTTTTCAGAGCCGTCCCGCACCTCACGCAAGACTCACACAGGTTTGCTAAAAAAAACTCATGGCCGAACCAACTAAACTAAGCGCCACGTCACAACCTCCTAGAAGACCGAGCCTGCCCTTGCTGTTCAACACCAGCATGCTCGGCGACCCCCTAACCAGAACAACACGCTTTTGGCAAACGCGTTTGCATTCAGACGAAGTAAAACCATTCTGCAATTTCTATCCTGAATGTATAAAACGAATAGTACTGTACAACCTGTGTTGGGCTGGCTGGATAAGGTAGAGACCTGTGTTGAGCCACCCCAAAATGTTCCCCACGCGCCGCCCGACGAATGCCCCCTGCCGCAATCTAACGCGCGGTCATTGGCTCATGACATAACCACACCTTTTCACCGTTTCGGTCAGCTGCACCACCACCAGCCATCCATTCACATCACACTGAACTTTATCGCACCGCGAGCCCAGCCTGGTGTCAGAACCCAGGGATTTCCTCCCACACTGTTTTGAGCACCCCGTCCCACCGCACTGCACCTAGGTGAATGCTGTTTGTTTTGTATCACTCCAACCTGCATTTGCCTGTCACAATGGGGATGAAGAGGTGGTGGGACGTGCCGCGACCGCCGCCGTTCAGAATGGCTGCGGCGAATCTGTTCACTGATCAGCAGCACGCTTTTCCTTCTGCTTCAGCACCTACCTTCCGGTTGCACACACCTCTATCCAGCATCTCATCCGCTCCATATAGTCTAGCGGTGTTGCATTTGTATCGTTTTTTTTCTTCCTTCTCAATCTTAAGGAAGGACTCTCAAAGGCTCCAAATCAATGAGCTCCTGAAGCTACCCGAAGCACACGGGGAGGCCCGAAGCATGAGGCGGCGTTGAGGGGTGTGGGGTGGGTTGGGTAGATTAGGTGTCGTGAGGAGTGAGCTGCCAAGTGTTTCGGGCTGAACCGTGTGCTGACGGATTTTCGCGGCAACCTATCACCGCGACAAGATAATGATCTCCACTGCAAGATCTGCGCTTCGCGAGATCATCTCTACAAGAGCAGAAAGATCTTCAAGCGGAAAGAGCTTCAAGCGGAAAGAGAGCGGAAAGAGCTTCAAGCTCGACATCCCCGTCATCGCTGGTCGTTCGACAACCCGTCATTGCTGATCGTGCGACATCCCTTCCACGCTGGTCGTGTGACATCCCGTCACCGCTGCCAGTCAAGTCTTCACCACCTGGATGAAGACGGTCGAGTGAAGGTAAGAGCAGCTCTTTTCAACATCCCGAATTGCGCAACCTCGTTCAAGTTCTTTCTGCAGTTGCTTCACTGTTTGACGATTTTCTGAGAAGTTTACTAACTTGTTCCTTTTAATCCTGCAGATCATCTTGCCGCTGTGGATCTCTGAGGATTTGAAGCTTAAGTCAAGCTCGCGGTCGGCGCTTCAATCACGGGACGGCGCTTCAAAACCCAAGCGAAGCTGGAAGCCCAAGTGTCCCATGGCGCCTCCTCCGGAAGCCATGCTGAGTCAAGATGCTTTCTGGAGCGGCCTCTCCCGTCGCTTGTCAAGATCCGGCACGGCTCGCCAACTGTCGTCACGGATCCTGCACGGCTCGCCAACTGTCGTCACGGATCCTGCACGGCTCGCTTCGACCGTCGCCACGGTATCATTGTGAATCATTGCGTTTTCGAGCTTGTCTCTGGCTTCTTCTCACTTGTCCAAGTTTCGTTCTTCTTTTCTAGGTACTAATCTTTTGTTGCTTTCTTTTTTCCAGACCCAAGTCAAGACGGACGCGGACAGGAGCTTCGAGCGTCGTTATGGTCCGATCTCCGGACGGGTCGCACTCAAGCACAAGTCAAGATCTCCGGACGGATCCTGCACGGCTCGCTTCAACCGTCGCCAACGGCAGACTTATCGTCAGACTAACGGTATCATTGTGAACCATTTCCTTTTCGAGTTTCTCACTTGTACAAGTTCCGTTCTTCATTTCCAAGTACTAACCTTTTGTTGCTTTCTTCTTTCCAGACCCAAGTCAAGACGGACGCAGTTAGAAGCTTCGAGAGTGGCTTTCGTCTCTATAACGGGTCGCATTCAAGCCCAAGTCAAGATCTCCGGACGGATCGTGAGAGGCGTTCTTCCGCCGTTTGCGCTTTGAGTTAAGAGGACCTGAACGGCCGGACCTCGCGAATCAGAGTCGCGTCGCCAAGTGTCATCTCTTCGCCAACTCTCGTCGCCATCTGGTTCGCCGACCGTCGCCTCGCCGACCGTCGCCAATGTACGTAAGTCACTGTCTCTATTACCTCCAAGTTAGCCTTTGATTTAACTTCACTTCTCCTCGTCGCTTGACTACTTTTAGTTCTCTTTAACTAATATGTGCCTTTTTTATTTTCAGGCCTCGGCGACCGTCTTGCCTTCAAGTTGAAGTTGATCAAGTTACCAAGACGGCCTCTCCCGTCGCTGCGTCTTCACTTGACGGCCTCTCCCGTCGCTGCCGTCTTCACCTGACGGCCTCTCCCGTCGCTACGTCTTCACCTGACGGTCTCTCCCGTCGCTACGTCTTCACCTGACGGTCTCTCTCGTCGCTACGTCTTCACCTGACGGTCTCTCCCGTCGCTACGTCTTCACCTGACGGTCTCTCTCGTCGCTGCGTCTTCACCTGACGGTCTCTCCCGTCGCTACGTCTTCACCTGACGGTCTCTCCCGTCGCTACGTCTTCACCTGACGGTCTCTCCCGTCGCTGCGTCTTCACCTGACGGTCTCTCTCGTCGCTGCGTCTTCACCTGACGGTCTCTCCCGTCGCTACGTCTTCACCTGACGGTCTCTCTCGTCGCTACATCTTCACCTGACGGTCTCTCTCGTCGCTACATCTTCACCTGACGGTCTCTCTCGTCGCTACATCTTCATCTGACGGCCTCACCTGTTGCTGCCGCCCGCCGAAACGATCCGCCGAGACGATCGCAGCGACGTTTCGCTCCGGTTTAGGTAACTTCGTTTCAGCTTGTATTGGTGGTTACGCTTCGTTTCGTGTCTTTGCTTTCTCTTTTATGGATTCTTGACTGATTCGGGTTCCTTCTTCCTGCAGATCCTGACCGTTTGGCGACGTACCGCGACTCACGGATGGTGGACGCATGGCGACGCGTGGCGAGACATGGCGAAGCACCGTGACGCATGGCGACGCTCGTCTAACCGTGCACGGGGCATCGGCGGCCCTTGGCGACGCTTCGACCGTCGCTTACCAGCTGCGCCTCGCTGCGGTTGAGGTAACGTGACCTTCAGCGCCTCGCTTTTCAACTTGCATTCGCGGTTGCGCTGGTTACGCTTCGGTTTCGTGTCTTTACCGCCTTTACTGATTCTCGTTTTCCTTCTTACTGCAGAGCCTGACCGTCCGCCAGCGACGCACCATGACGCCCGGGCGCGAATCATGGATGGGTGTGTATGGCGGCGTATGGCGACTCATGGCGACGTATGGTCGAAGGGCGACGCTTCTTCGGGCTCGTCTAACCGTGCATCGGCGGCCCTTGGCGACGCTTCGACCGTCGCTTACGAGCTGTGGCCTCGCTGCGGTTGAGGTAGTAGCTCGTTCGATCGTCGCTTACCTGCTGTTTCCCGCCTTGATGGCTGCGATTCGTGTTGAAGGTTTCCGTTCATTGGCGGTTGCTAATGCTGTTGGTTGCTTCCTGCAGAGGTCCATGGCGCGCGTACGCATTTCTCGCGGGCGGACAGCGCGTTTCGCGTGCGAAAAGCGCGTTTCGCGGGCGGACAGCGCGTTTCGCGTGCGGAAAGCGCGTTTCGCGTGCGGACAGCGCGTTTTCCGGGCGGACAACGAGTCTTGCGGGCGGGGTGGGAGCTGACGGCGACGGCTGCAACGACTAATCTACGTGGTACGTTGTCGGTTCCGGTTTCCTCGTTTCTTCTTTCCCGGATTCTAACTTCGTGCTTCATGCTCTGTTTCAGTGCAGCTCACGGCGGGAGCGAGAGCGGGGGCTGACGGCGCTTGCTGCAACGACTAATCTTACGCTGTCAATTCCGGGTTCATTGTATTCTTCTTTCCCGGATTCTAACTTCGTGCTTCGTGCTCTGTTTTAGGGCGAAATGACGCGTAGTGGCGAAAAAATTGGTTTCTCCTAGTTTCATCGACCCAAATTATCGCGACCTTGCCACGTCCGCGTTTCTCTGAGTTTGTTAGACCGTGTTTCCGCGTGCCCTTTCCGCGCGATTTCCCGCCCCTCCTCTCCGATTTTCGGGCAGCCAGTGGGAACTCGCGTGAAATCTCAAACAGTCACGTATGCATTGTTTTACGTAACCGGGAACGTAAAACAATGTATTCGTGACTGTTTGTTGTTCCACGCAAATTTCCAAGGGCTGTCAGAAATGATGATGGGAAGGGCGGGAAAATCACACGGGAAGGGCAAGCGCAAACGCGATCCATCGAATTCAGGGTAACGCCGTCGTGGTAAGATCTTAATAAATTGGGTTGATAAACATTTGAAGAAACTAAATATGTGCCAATGCGCGTCATTTTTCCCCGTTTTAGTGCAGGGAGCTGACGGCGCTGGCTGCAACGACTCTCTCTCATCCACGTGGTACGCTGTCAATTCCGCTTTCGTGTTTTTTTGCTTCCAGATTCGAACTTTCTGTTTTGTTCTCTCTTAGCGCAGGAGTCTACGGCGCTGGCGGGACAACAACGCTGGCGGGGACAACGACGCTGGCGGGACAACAACGCTGGCGGAAACAACGGCGCTGGCGGGGACAACAACGCTGGCGGGGACAGCGGCGCTGGCGGCGAGGAGCTTGGAGGAGGAGGTTTCATCCTCACCCCCCCTCCCCTCCCTCCCTCCCCATCCCCCTCCCCAATTGCAGCTTCGGTTTGGGTGGGTTTGGGTGGGTTTAGTTAGGCCGCGCGCGCGGGAGGTGGGGTTGGGGTCAGGTAATTTGGTACAGGTGCGTTTTCCGCGCCCCTTTGGGCAACTCTTCTGGCAACCTGGCATCTCTTCAACCGAGGAGCTGAGGTGTTTCCCGCCGATACAGTACTAATTTTAACCTTCCCCTTCCTTTTTTGAGTTTTCCATCCGTGCCTCCCCCCCTCCAACAGGGTCCCGCACGAATGACCCTCACCTCATCGCGGTGTGCGGGTGTAACGCTAGAGGCATTTGCCTCTAGCGGCCAAGAGGGGTCAAGAAGACTCAAGATCAAGGAAGACTCTCAAGACCCAAGCTGAAGCCTCGAGCTCAAGAACCGAGCGGCTGTGGATGGCGCGACTGAAGCAGTTTAGCAGCTTATTAGCATGCTAGTTACTGACTCATTCTAGTTAGTTTGCATGCTAGTTAGTGACTTGTATGTTTGTAGTTGATAGACTATCAGTTGGCTTTACGAGCAGTTGGCTCTATTAGTAGACTCTATCAGTTACATGCTTATGTACTAATTCACACTTTGATAAGAAGATCGAGATAAGACTACTGCTAGTAGGACTATGGCCGCTGTACTTGAAAACTCACGCCTCGCTTCGTCAGGAGATTTTTCACCGCGTTTTAAGAGTACAGCATCTCGGATAGATGGTTCTTAGTCGCCATCATGTTCTTAGATGGTTCTTAGTCACCTTGGTACTACAGCACCTCGGATAGATGGTTCTTAGTCGCGTCGCACTTCATCTCATCGCACTTCGCATCGCGCTTCGTCTCGCCGCTGTCCTCCCAACGTCCCGTCGCCGTTTACAGTGTCAGAAAGCTCGTCAAAAAATTTTCGCTTCGAAACAGTGTCAGACCTTTCGTTACCGAGCATTCACAAAAGCTTCCAGTTATGCCGTCCTAGTTATACCGCACCTGCTATAGTAAGCTTTAACCGTCAGCGTAATATTTTCTCACAGTCTAAGTCAGACCCTATGTGACGCAATCTACCCTTTTCGTCTTCACTGGCATCATTTCCCCGTGCGCTTGCCCTAATAGCGTAGTTTCGGGCGAGGGCGGCATGATATCGTCCGCAGCGATGATGACATACGAGGCAGGCCGAGTCGTCTTATTTTTCGCTCCGCGTTCCTTTCGTTCCGTCAGGTTGCTGTAGATCCGTCCGGTCCGTTTGATGTATGTACGTTCCGTCAGGTCAGGTGTGATGTGACTCGTGAGTTGTCACTCTCTCAAGCTAAGCTCATGTTGTGCAGACACGCATGCGCCATGGCAGGAGGAGCAGCGCAAGGCGGCGATAGTGGAGGCACTGACGCGTTTCTCAGTGCTCTCGGCCAATGCCATGGCGACAGGTGTCATCACCACGCGCATGCGCCTGCAGCTCATGAAAGTGCGTGCGTTCATGAGACTGCGGTATTGTCGCGCCCTGACTGCGCTAGTGTCACATCCCTACCTGCGCTTTATCGTCGCATTCCCGCCTGCGTTATTGTCGCATTTTCGCCTGCGTTATCGTCACATACCTGCCTGCTTTATCGTCGCAATTCCGCCTGCGTTATTGCCACATTCCCGCCTGCGTTATCGTCACACCCCTGCCTGCGTTGTCGTCGCATTCCCGCCTGCGTTATTGTCACATTCCCGCTGCGTTATTGTCACATTCCCGCTGCGTTATTGTCACATTCCCGCTGCGTTATTGTCACATTCCCGCTGCGTTATTGTAACATTCCCGCCTGCGTTATCGTCACATCCCTGCCTGCGTTGTCGTCGCATTCCCGCCTGCGTTATTGTCACACCTTCGGCGCCTTGAATACCCCAATATGTTCACATCACACTCACCTCATTAGTATCTCCCAATCACCTCATGACTCACCATGCACCAACGCCGCCTCTCCTCCTTGCCTCTCCATTCCTCTCCCCCTCCGCTCCCCTCTTCCCCTCCTCTTCTCCCCCCCTCACCACCCCCCCCCCCCCAACACCCCCCCTGTTCCCCCCACCACCGCTCAAAACCCACCTTGCCTCTCTCCCTCTCGCCCTCCTCACCGTGTGTTTATTCTCCCTACCACCAGAAGTATTCGCAAGTGCGGGACTTCTGGTTGACACAGGAGGACTTTCTGTTGACAGAGGAAGATTTGAACCCATCAGCACCGCTCCCCTTAGGCTGTCACATATACACACCCCTCTCCACCCCAACCAACCACCATCCATCCCCTTGTCTGTGCCTCAGCTGCTGGACAATATGAGACCCGCGTGTAGTGAGCAGAATTTGGAGTGAGGAACAAACTCGGACTGTGCAGATTTTCCGCGTGGAGTGTGCTGGTGAACTGTGGGTGAAACCCGAGGAGAGCTTGCAACTGCCTGGACAATGCAGTCTGGAAGGTGAGAGAAAGGGGTGTGTGCCTTCCTTCTACGGAAAGACAAAGCAGCTTGAAGCGAGCTCGTGAGAACAAGGCGGGTTCCAGCCGTGAAGCGGAGCGGAGGGACTGATGCGAGGAGAGCTTGCAACTGCCTTGACAGTGCAGGCTCGAAGGTGAGAGAAAGGGGAGTGCGCGTTGCCTTCTGAGGCGCCTCGAAAGAGTTCCAGCCGTGAAGGTGAGGGACTGATGTGTGGAACGCTTGCAACTGCCTCGACAATGTAGGCTGGAAGGTGAGAGAAAGGGGTGTGTGCCTTGCTTCTACAGAAAGACTTAGCAGCTTTGAAGCGTGTTATTGGCAATGGCGATCGACTGACTGGGGATCACTTGTGAGAGTTCTCGAAACGGGGAAAAGGCTCAGGCTGGACGGGTGAGGCAGTTTGTGCGTGAAAGCGGCATTGCGGCGTGGCGGCAGCTGCTGCGGGCTTTGCTCGATGGGATCACGAAAATCATTGAGTGCGCCGAGAGGGAGTGCTTCATCCCTCAAGCTCACGCCCTTGTCTGACACACTGTTAGTGCAGGGCTGAAGGAGCAGCGAGTGGACCTAGGCAAGAAAAGCAACCTCTCCTGGGTCGCGAAATCGTCCCCTCCCCATCTCGATGAGAGATTCCAGAAATTCAGATTTCTGAGTTCCACCAAAAGTGCATGCAGGTAATATGTATCATGTACTCAACAATATGTAGCATAACTTGTCAACCCGTTCAGAAACAGCAAGGTGGATGTGTTAACCATCTCGCATCTATTCCGGTCATATTTTTTTACACTCGTGCTAGGCTAACCAATGTGGGTACCCTAAGGCACATAACTGCACCTCTTCCACCTCATGTAGAGTTCAAAGTCATCCTCATTAGCTCATCCAAATATTTCCTCTCATCTACCAACCTACGCTTCAACTCCTCACCCATCTTCTCCCTCTGTTGCTCTGGCTGATGAGCCACTATGAGCCAAAGGAGCCCTCATGGATGCAGCATCTCCCCAGAGTCTTTCGTCTGATGACACGGGGCATGTGATACGTGTTAGAACAAAGGAGGGGGTCTCACTATGGAATTGTGGGTACAAGTAGGAGACAAAGGAGGTGAACCACCAACACAAAGAGTTTATAACTACACTAAAGCTACAGCTACAGGCAGGTACATAAATATATATAAATATATATTCTAACACTCCCCCATAACTGCTTGCAGTAGGAGCTTGTGCAGCAACAACTCCTGGATGGGTACACCACGAACAGAGAAAGCAGCAACAGGAGGCAAGTGCAATGACAACCAGTGCAGTGGTGGCAGAGACAGCTGCAGCAAGCCCTGAGGCAAGAAAGAGAGAACGAAGACGATGTGCTGTGGCGCGCTTAGTTTGCAGCTCAACAGCAAAGAAGACGAACGAAGACGATGTGCTGTGGCGCGCTTAGTTTGCAGCTCAACAGCAAAGAAGACGAACGAAGAGAGAGAAGCGTCAGGGGCTGCAGAAGTAGGTGCCACATAGCAGTGGACGGCAGCTGCAGATGCGTGGCTACTGGTTCCACCACTCTCTCTTACCCTCCCTTAGCATCTCTCCCCCCCCCCCCTCTCCCCGACAGCAACAAGTTCTGCAGGGAGAGAGTAAGAGGGAAGGAGAGTGGGGGAGGGACGAGCTACTGGTGGTTCACACCCTCCGCCCCCAGAACTCCCGTCCCCCCCCCCCCCCCACGGCGGGAGCCGCGGAAGGGAAGGGCGGGGGGGGGGGGGGGGGGGGGGGGCGGCATACGGAGCTGCCGGCGCCGGCGTCCCTTGCTGGCGCAAGCGCTGGCGTGCGCGGATGGCGCAGGCGCTGGCGCCTCGCGGCTGGCGCAGCGCTGGCGCTTCGCGGCTTGCGCACGCGCTGGCGCTGCGTTCCGCACTGGCGCTGGCCGCGAAGTGCTGGCGCAGGTGCGGGCGTTGGCGCGGACGACAGGCAGGGCGACGCGGGCAGAGTAGGGCGCATCGGGGCGCGACGAACTGGAGGGCGCCACGGACGGGACGGAACGGGCAGGGCGGAACGCGCTCGGACGGGCAGGGTGAAACTTGCGCCACGCGCAGTTCGCAACAGGCGCAAACGGGCGGACGAAAAAAAAAAAAGGTAGCGCATTTCGCGCTAGGACGGGCGGGCCCATGTTCCGTGAAGAAAAAATAGGTCCTTAGACCGTTTTACAGCTCTGATACCATGTTAGAATAGTAGCTAGAGAGAGCCTTAGGGTTTGGTGGGAGAGAATGTTGGCCAAACAAAGGAGGGGGTCTCACTATGGAATTGTGGGTACAAGTAGGAGACAAAGGAGGTGAACCACCAACACAAAGAGTTTATAACTACACTAAAGCTACAGCTACAGGCAGGTACATAAATATATATAAATATATATTCTAACAATACGGGACAAGTTCACCCACTAATTTGAAGACACGAATTTAAAGAATGAGAAAAAATTGAAGAGGTGCAAACTGAATGAAATTTTATATTCCGAGGATTACCACACTCAGTGATTTGTGCAAGTACTTTCTCATGCAATACATTGAAAAGATAAAAGTTGAAGCAATCAAGAACTTTGAGATCCTAAGCAGCATGCTGCTATGCCCTATATCGGGACGACATTGAATCGAATTTGGTTCTTGGTTCCAGGGGGGGCACTTCATTGTCTCCGCGCACGGTGCTCCGCCGAACCACCTCCTCCGCGTGGACGTCGGTGGTGAGCGACCCTGCTCGCGATGCCGTGCATCAACGGTTCTCCCTCCTCAGCTCCCAAATTCACCCCGCTGACCATTTCCTGCCATCCACCCTTTTCAGTGTATGGATCAGTGGGTGGGGTGAAAAGTTCAGTGTCTGAAATCATTGCACAAGGTTGTTTCGACAAAAAGGGTTCATTCGTGGCCAATCTAGCAGTATACAAGAAGAGCGGGCAGTAGAGAAACGTTTCTTCCGCCACCAAGGTCCACCGCCAAAGTCGAATTCCAGCGCGCCTTGACGTGTACGAACGAAATTGCCGAATGAAACGCGTTTTTTCCCGCTTACCTCGTGGCCTGACGGGTCACACACACACGCCAGAGCAGAGGAGGAACCGTCCGTTGACTCCTTGTTTCAACAACTTCTCCGCACAACTGGTCAGGGCGTCCAAACAACCCACCTCGTCCGCGCCACCTCATGCGCTCCCCGCGTCCGTCGGTTCCGCGATGTCAAGACAGCTGGTGGTGTTGACCAACGTACACCAGGAACGCCGCCGTGTGCTTCCGCTCATCCTCCCCATTTTCAAAACGTGCACCCGCGCCAATACCCGAAGCTGTCGACGAACCTTGCCATCCGAAGCAACTTTTCCCCTTCCCCCTTGGCTTCTACACTGCGCAAGCGGGGGAGATTCCCTACCGCAGCACTCATCAGCCTCCCGCAGGAAATGGAAACACAAACCCCAAGCTGTGGAACATTCTGCGGTCGGGATGACGAACCTCCCCCCAGTACCCCCCCACGGTTCCAAGTCTAGGCTTGGAATTTCAGTCGTACAGACCTCGAGACAGTCGACGATACCCTTGGGAATCCCAAGTCGGGGATATTCCAGCTAGGCGGCTGTGACTCGCAGCACCATTATCACTTTCAGCATTGCCATATCTCAGGGGAGCCTAGAAGTTCGCGTAGGACCAGCGAGCCAGGCGAGATAAGAGTCGGACAGCGTCTTATCTACTCACAAATTCCTCAGATCTCAGCGTTGGTTTCTAAGTTGCTGTTATAGTAGAAGCCGTCTAGGACGCGCATTTCTGGTACAAACTGCTGCGTTTCCAAGTATTCGGCGTCAACGATATTGGTCTGTTGACATACCCAACTGGGATTAGCCGCGGCGAAGGCGGAGCTTCTTAGAGCAGGTAAATAGCCAAAAATAGGAAGTATTCGCCTGTGGTGTGATTCTCCTTCGTCCCGTATAGCGTCCCTAGGCCAGCTCGAGCCTCTGACAGCGTGTTTCTCGGCAAGTTTCCCAAATCCATGTCATGTCTTAAAGCTAACGGCTTTCCGTTCTCAGGCGCCTCGAATCCGTGCTTCGCGTTTGACACCTTCGTACGATATGCCGTTTCGTCTCGCCAAAGGTCAAACTTCACGTAGTTGTATATCGACTGTCGTTTTACGAAGCAAGCATGAACGAGGCGGTCACGAAGCGTTTAAGCTTTTGATACACGCCACGCGAATGCGTATTCGAACTACGATCGTTTGGCCACACTCCTATCGTGTGAAAAGAGCTCAAGGCCTAGTGAACGCAAGCCGAGCCGAGTCTATCGAGTCCTGTGTGGGATTCTTCGAGTGTGTCGCAGTCGGCTACTCTGTCTTTTGTGTAGAGTTTTGAGTCAGCTCTCGTTCGCTCACACAATATTCCTCTGAAATCCTTTTCCGAGTCACTGATTACCTCGTTCGGCTGCTATGTTTCTCTTGGTAAACCTAAAATAGACGAATTCGCTTAGCTCGTCAAGCTGGTCGCAGCAGCAGCGCATTCATAGCGCATGATGGTCTAATGGCCAAGTTGCATGCTGGAAAGCGTTAATGTTATCTTCGCCGTCTTAACCGCCCCTCCCGTTTCCCCCATTTTTCCTGCTCTATCGTCTCCGCATTGTTCCCCCCCTGCGAGCCTCTAGGTAGACTCCAAGCCGCCAGCCTGCGCGTTTCGCCAGCACCAATGAAACCACGGCTGGAGCAGCGGCAGCCGGAGCTGCAGCCTCGGAGACCTATCTCCTCTTCCTCTTCGTGCCCCTCCGCCTCCGCCTCCTCTTCCGCCTCATATACGCCCCATCCCTCCGAAGCACAAATGGCGTTCTCATCCGCGTTATTAGCGCGTTCAGAGCAGCAACAGAAAGCGGAGAGGGAGAGCAGCCAGTGTAGGTTAACACCAGCGCAGCGGCAAGCCGAGTCGCAGGAACGAAATGTGGAACTAGGCCATGAGCGGGGTCCGCGACGAGAGCCCGTGCGACGGCAATCGTTGGCGGGCTGGCGACGATTCCAGCCGTCGTTTTCGTCGCCAGCGTCGTCGTCGACGTTGCGGCCGTTCGCACTCCTAATTTCGCTTGTTGTGGTCGTTGCGTTGCTACATCGAGCGCCCGTGGTTGAATCCGCCGTCTCCGCGCATGGTGAGTGTAGACCCGGAGGGATGAACGGAACGGACAGGGGCATTCACGAATCGAGGAGAGTGCCTCTGAGCGAAGTCTGTGCCTCTATCCCCCATACCGCTTCCCTGTTCCTGCCTGCCATTCAGCCTACGCGTTCTCTCAGTACGCGCCGGCAGCACTGCGAACAGCAACCAACCAGTGCATTCAACTACCCCCCCCCCTCCCCCGCACCATCTACTTCCCCTTTTGCCTACCCCAGCCTACGGGGTGCAGAAGCTGCTCGCGTTGAAAGACGCGTTCTCTCAGTACGCGCCGGCAGCACTGCCGTCCTGCAATGCAATCAGTGCCACTGCAATCAACCCTCCCTCCCCTTCCTCACCGCCCCAGCCCCTATTACCCGCTCCAATTTCAGCCTACGAGGTGCAAAAGCTGCTCACGTTGAAAGACGCGTTCTCTCAGTACGCGCCGCAACCAGTGCAATCAACCTCCCCCCTTCCCACCCCCCTGCCGTCTCCCATCCGCCCCCCCCCCCCTCGCCGCTTACCGTTTCAGCCTACGAGGTGCAGAAGCTGCTCGCGCTGAAAGACGCGTTCTCTCAGTACGCGCCGGCAGCACTGCGTCCAGCAACCAACCAATGCATTCAACTATTCTCTATCTCCCCCCACATCCGCTTCCTTGCCCCTGCCTACCCCATTTCAGCCTACGAGGTGCAGAAGCTTCTAGCTCTGAAAGACGCGTTCTCTCAGTACGCGCCGCAACCAGTGCAATCAACCTCCCCCCTCCCACCCCCCCGCCGTCTCCCATCCGCCCCCCCCCCCCCCCCCTCGCCGCTTACTATATCAGCCTACGAGGTGCAGAAGCTGCTCGCGTTGAAAGACGCGTTCTCTCAGTACGCGCCGGCAGCGCTGCCGTCCTGGAATGTGGAAGGCGGGGACCCGCGCAATCAAACATTCCCCCCATCCCCCACCGCTTCCCCACCCTTGCCCCACCCCTCCCCTCCATCAGCCTACGAGGTGCAGAAGCTTCTAGCGCTGAAAGACGCGTTCTCTCAGTACGCGCCGGCAGCACTGCCGTCCTGGAGCGTGGAGGGCGGGGACCCGTGCAAGAGCCAGTGGAAGGAGGGGAAAATCGCGTGCAACAACGCCGGGCGCGTTATCAGACTGTACGTGTCTGTGAGGGATGCTGTAGCGGGGATGCTATGGAAGGCGATTTTGTGCAAGATAAGGTAGTAGAGGCCTATTCAAGCAACCATTGCTCGGATCTCCCTCCTTGTTCTCTCTCCCTCCTCTGTTCCGCCCGTGTGTCACAGAAACCTGTCAAATCAGAACCTCAAGGGACCTCTACCAGGCCAGGAGTTAGCCAAATTGGTTGCTCTAAAAAGACTGTAAGTCCCTTCCCCCTTCTGCCCCCGGGCCCCACCCTTACTCCCACCCCCAACCCCACCCCCACTCCCTCTCGCCTCTCCCACTCCCTCTCGCCTCCCACTCCCACTCCCACTCCCACTCCCACTCCCACTCCCACTCCCACTCCCACTCCCACTCCCACTCCCTCCCAACCACCCACAATTTCCATAGATTCACACCTAATGCAACCACACACACACATACCCACTCGTGCCCACACGTTCTCTCACTATCTCAACCCTTCCCCTCCTCCCCCCTCTTCGTCACCACCTACTCGTCCATTTCCTCCTTGTGGTGACGAAGAGAGGGGAGGAGGGGAAGGGGTTGTGATTGCCCCGTCCTATGGCTTCTTTTGAAGCGCCCCTAAACACGGCCTCCTCCCTGCCGCCCGCCTGCCCTCCCCCCTTCCCCCCCCTACCACCCCTTCCCCCCCCCCCTCCTCCTCCCCACACTAACAGCGACCTCGGTTTCAACAACTTCACGAAGGAGATTCCCATTGAGCTGGCTGATCTCCTAGCACACACACACACACATGGCCGCTCACCCACCCGTCCTCCCGCCTTCCCATCCCCCTCCACACATGCTCACATCACAGGGACCTCGGGTTCAACAACTTCACGGGGGAGATTCCCATTGAGCTCTCTGACCTTACACGCACACACGCTACCCCGCCCCGCCCCCTTCCCCCCCCCCCCCCCCCCACACCCCCCCCCACCCCCCACCACTCCCCTCCCCACACACACAGGGACCTCGGATTCAACAACTTCACGGGGGAGATTCCCATTGAACTCGCTGATCTCGGCAGCATCACCTACCTGTACGTCCATCGTCTGTTCTGCACGTTTGTCTTGTCTGTTCTGCACGTCTGTCTTGTCTGCACTGCACGTCTGTCTTGTCTGCACTGCACGTCTGTCTTGTCTGTACTGCACGTCTGTCTTGTCTGTACTGCACGTCTGTCTTGTCTGTACTGCACGTCTGTCTTGTCTGTACTGCACGTTGGTCTCACTGGAACACAGTCAGTTTGAGCGAGTGGATCGGCATCGAATGGCTCACAGCAAATGAAGGCACCACACCGCGTTTCCCCTCACTCAGCACCGCACTCCACTCCTCTCTCTCCCTCTGCTCCTTTCTCCACCTTTCTGCATCCCTCTGCACCCCTCTCAGGTCGCTGGAGAGCAATCAGATCGAGGGTGCCCTTCCCGAGTGGATTGGCTCAGAATGGCCCTCCTTGGTACACCTGTGAGTGCTGGGAAAAAGGGGGAAGATGGTGGGGAGACGGGAGGTGATGAAGGCACCGTTGGTGCACCGCTGATTGTTGGGAGGCGGAGGGAGGAGGGGGGGGGAAGGGGGGGGGGGCGGGGATGAGACGTGATGAGTTTTTGAAACAGCTTTTCCCAACCCTCCCCCGCTTCTCTCTTCCCCCACCCCGCCTTCCCAACACACGTGCTCCTTCTGTCCGTGATTCGTTAGTCACCTTGCCCCCTTTTCCCTTGCCCACCTTCCCCACTGCCTCCTTGCCCCCCTGCCCCGTGGCCCCGTTGCCCCCTTGCCCCTTCTCCATTTTCCTGTAATCTCCATAGCTTTGTCCCTTTGTTAGTCTCCTTGTCCCCTTTGCCGCTTGTCCCTTGATATTATGTTTCGAACTTTCCATAAATCGATTCCTTGTTCCTCCCCGTGCTGCCCCTCCCCACCTCTTTACCCTCTCTGTCTGCGTCCAGGCGATTGGCCAGCAACCAGTTTTCGGGGCAGATTCCAAACGGCTTCGGGCAGCTGAAAAACCTTGTGATGCTGTAAGTGGTCCGAGGCTGCATGCAATCTTAATCCCTACCACACACCATCCATGCCCATCCACCCTTCTTTCCCTGGTATCCTAGCACGCAACATTTCCCAGCTCACCCAATCCCCTCCCGTTCCATGCCCCCTCTTACCACATGCTTCTATCCCCAGCGATCTGGCGTCCAATCAACTCTCGGGCTCCATTCCAACGGACATCCAAGTGTGCTCGCGCCTGGAGCAGCTGTCACGCCCCTTTCCCACCTCACCTCCTCCCTTCCTACATGTGCCTACATCCTCCGTCCATGCGTGCAGGGATCTGGCATCGAATCAGTTTTCAGGCTCCATACCAACAGATATTCAAGTGTGCTCGCGCCTGGAGCAGCTGTCACGCCCCTTTCCCACCTCACCTCCTCCCTTCCTACATGTGCCTACATCCTCCGTCCATGCGTGCAGGGATCTGGCATCGAATCAGTTTTCAGGCTCCATACCAACAGATATTCAAGTGTGCTCGCGCCTGGAGCAGCTCTCGCTTTCCGGGAACTCACTCTCAGGCCCTCTACCCACGTGGATAGGCAACCTCAAGCAGCTGCGCGTGCTGTGAGTACCATTGCATACCGCGTTGTACTGCTGTGTGCCACTGTGTACCACTGGACCTGTTCTGTCAACCTCTTGCTGTCTGGAAACTCCCTTTCGGGCCCGCTCCCCACGTGGATTGGCAACCTCAAGCAGCTGCGCGTGCTGTGAGTACCATTGCGTACCGCTCTGTACTGCTGAGTACCACCACATGCCACTGTATACCGCTGGATACTATTGTGTACCACTGAAGACCTTCCCACTTGTTCTAGCAACCATCTCGCTTTCCGGGAACTCCCTCTCTCCTTATCCCTTTTGTCTCCCATTCTCCCCCTGCCCCCTCTGCTTTGTCCCCCCTCCTTCCCTCCCTCCCTCCCGACCTTCCGCCAGTGAAATGTTCTCCAACAACCTCTCAGGCACCATTCCCGCCGAAATCGCCCAGGCCACCTCCCTTGAGTCCATGTAAGTGCGGCATCCCCGTTACAAGCTCACTCAGTTCAGGCCTGTAAGCTCAAAACCGTTGGAACATCCATTCCTTCTAAAATCGCTGAGACCACCTCCCTTGAATCCATGTGAGTGCGGCATCCCCGTTATAAGCTCAATCTTGTCTCGCCCATGAACTCAAAACCGTCAAAACCGCCAGAGCTTAGGACGACAATGACCTATCAGGCACGCTACCAGACGCGCTGGGCAACCTGCCCTCCCTGGCGGCACTCTACATGGAGTCTAACCTGCCTCTCTTGCCTCCTCCGTACATCCCCTGTCTGTTCATCCCCTCCTATCACTCTCTCCCTTATCTTTCAGTGCTCTGGACGACAATGATCTCTCGGGCACGCTACCAGACGCCCTGGGCAATCTGCCTTCCCTGGCAGCGCTCTACATGGCGTCCAACCTGCTCACTCACGTGACTGTGTGACTCTGCGCACCCCTCCCCCTCTCTCTCCAATCAGAGCCCTGGACGACAATGATCTCTCCTGCACGCTACCAGACGCCCTGGGCAACCTCCCCTCCCTGGCGGCGCTCCACATGGCGTCCAACCTGCTGACTCCCGTGACTGTGTGTGACTGTGTGCGACTCTGTGTGACTGTACCCACCCTCTCCCTTATCCTTCAGCGCGCTGGACGACAATGACCCTCTCAGGCGCGCTACCAGACGCGCTGGGAAACCTCCCATCCCTGGCGGCACTCTACATGGCGTCCGACCTGCTGACTTGCATGACTGTGTGCGACTGTGTGTGACTGTGCCCCACTCTCTCCCTTATCCTTCAGTGCACCAATGACCTCTCGGGAACATTGCCAGACGCCCTCGGCAATCTGCACTCCCTGGCGGCGCTCTACATGGCGTCCAACCTGCTTACCTATGTGCGTCTATGTGTGACTGTGTCCCTCACTCTCTCCCCTCCTACCAGAGCTCTGGACGACAATGACCTATCAGGAACTCTACCAGACGCGCTGGGCAATCTGCCCTCCCTGGCAGCGCTCTACATGGCGTCCAACCTGCTTACTCCCGTGGCTGTGTGTGGCTGTGTGTGACTTTGTGTGACTTTGTGTGGCTGTGTGTGACTTTGTGTGACTTTGTGTGACTTTGTGTGACTTTTTGTGACTTTGTGTGACTGTGTGTGACTGTGTGTGACTTTGTGTGACTTTGTGTGACTTTGTGTGACTGTTTGTGACTTTGTGAACTTTGTGTGACTTTGTGTGACTGTGCCCCACCCTCTCCCTTATCCTTCAGTGCACTGGACGACAATGACCTATCAGGAACATTGCCAGACGCCCTCGGCAACCTGCCTTCCCTGGCGGCTCTCTACATGGGGTCCAACCTGTCTGACTCCTGTGGCTGTGTGTGGCTGTACCCTCTCTCCCCTCCTCCCTTTCCAATCAGTGCACTTGACGACAATGACCTCTCGGGCACGCTACCAGACGCACTGGGCAATCTGCCCTCCCTGGCGGCGCTCTACATGGCGTCCAACCTGCTGGAGGGGCCCATCCCCTACAGCTACCACCGCCTCAACGGGCTCATGTATATGTGAGTGCGGTGTTGAGGCAGGTTCAATGCGGTACTCTGGGGTACTCAGGTGGTGGTGCATGCGAGGGGTGCAGGGGGGGCCTGTGCTGCTCCCCCTCTTTGCCCTCCCTGGCGGCGCTCTACATGGCGTCCAACCTGCTGGAGGGGCCCATCCCCTACAGCTACCACCGCCTCAACGGCCTCATGTACATGTGAGTGCGTTCATTCAAGAGGTGTCCGGCTAGGTTTCAAGCGGTACTCAGGTGTGTGCTGTGGTGCTGAGAGCAATCTGCCCTCCCTGGCGGCGCTTTCCCTAACGTGGGCATCAACTGCTCGGTGCTGAATTCGCATCCAACTTGATTCCACCAACAGACTTTGGCTCCGATTCTTTGTACTGTTTTTCTCTCATTCTCTCGTTCCAATTTCCTCTCAAAATTTGCTCTTCCTCCTGTGTCACCCTCCCCTATACTTTCCAGTGATCTGAGCTACAACACGGGCATCAATGGCACAGTGCCAGAGTTCTTTGGCAACCTGTGGCTGCTGGAATCCATGTAAGGGATGGGCGTCATGCGGTGGCATGGGGTGGGATAGAATGATGGCATGGTTCGGATGGGTTGGGATGGCATGGCATCAACCTGTGGCTGCTAGAGCCCATGTAAGGGACATGAGACAGCATGGCATGGCATGGCAAGGCAGAGCTTGGTGTGGCATGGCATGGTGCGGGTTGGCATGGTATGGGTTCAGAGGGGGGGCCTGGGGAGATGGGCTGGGCTGGGATGGCATGGCATGGGATGGCGTGGCATGGGATGGCATGATGATGCCAGCGATCATTCAAGGAGCCGCTGCCATCTACGTAAGGAGCATATTGTTCGACCCCCATCTTCCCCTCCCCGCCCCCACTCCTCTTCCGCCCCCTTTTTCCCCCAGTGCCTTTGAGAACTGCAACCTGACGGGCACCATACCGGCCTCCCTCGGCTCCCTGTCTCTCCTGGTGGAAATCTTCCTGGACAACAACAAGCTCACCGGCTCCATCCCAGACACGCTCCCTTGCTCGTTCCCCCCTGTCCGCCCTTCCGTTCCCCCCCTCACAGTGCGTTTGATAACTGCAACCTCACGGGCACCATTCCTGCCTCTCTGGGTTCCCTGTCTCTCCTGGTCGAGATCTTCCTGGACAACAACAAGCTCACCGGCTCCATCCCCTCCTTCCCTCCCTCCTGCCCTGCCCTCTCCCCCCCCTCCCCTCCTCCCCACCCTTCCCCCCAACGGCAGTGCGTTTGAGAACTGCAACCTCACCGGCACCATCCCGGCCTCCTTGGGTTCCTTGTCCCTCCTAGTCGAGATCTTCCTGGACAACAACAAGCTCACCGGCGCCATCCCCGACACGCTCCCTTCCTCATGCCCTGCCCCTCCCCTATCCCCCGGCACCCTCCCCCCCCAATGACAGCGCCTTTGAGAACTGCAACCTGACGGGCACCATCCCAGCCTCCCTCGGCTCCTTGTCTCTCCTGGTCGAGATCTTCCTGGACAACAACAAGCTCACCAGCTCCATCCCCGACACCCTTGGAGGCCTCGAGTCGCTACAACAAGCTCTCTCCAATCCACCCCCTCCACTTAACTGTACCTCAACCAGGGGGTCCGTGCTAAGCACCCTCCCTTCCTAATGCCCTGTTTCCCCCCCTCCCCACCTCCCCTCCACCCCAACCCCCCCCCCCACTCCCCCAGTGCGTTTGAGAACTGTAATCTCACCGGAACCATCCCGGCCTCCTTGGGTTCCTTGTCTCTCCTCGTCGAGATCTTCTTAGACAACAACAAGCTCACCGGCTCCATCCCCGACACGCTCGGGGGCCTCGAGTCGCTCAACAAGCTCTACCTCAACCAGAACTTTCTTGAGGGTTTCCTCACTGGCTCCACCCCCTTCTTCCCTCTCTCCTGCCCTCCTCCCCTCCTCCCCTCTCCCTCTCAGAGCGTTTGAGAACTGCAACCTGACCGGGACCATCCCCGCGTCCCTGGGTTCTCTTTCACTTCTTGTGGAGATCTTCTTAGACAACAACAAGCTCACCGGCTCAATTCCAGAAACCCTCGGGGGCCTCGAGTCGCTCAACAAGCTCTACCTCAACCAGAACTTCCTGGAAGGTTCCGTGCCGAGCACGCTGTGCAACCTGACCAACGTGCGCGAGATCAATCTGTCCAAGAACGGGCTCGATGGGGACCTGCCCATGTGCTTGGTGACGCTGCCGCACGTGACGTCCCTCCTCGTGTCATACAATCAACTCTCAGGGGATGTTCCGGATATTCCCACCGACAGCAAGCTCTTCTTCAGGTGAGCCGAGCTGTCTAAGGTGAGGTCTGGCTCGATGGGGACCTGCCCATGTGCTTGGTGACGCTCCCGCACGTGACGTCCCTCCTCGTGTCATACAATCAACTCTCAGGGGACGTGCCGGATATTCCCACCGACAGCAAGCTCTTCTTCAGGTGAGTGCGTGCGTGGTTTGAACGGGTTCTCTGGGCGCCGATTTGTGTGTCTGGGGAGATCAATCTGTCCAAGAACGGGCTCGACGGGGACCTGCCCATGTGCCTCGTCACTCTCCCGCACGTCACTTCTCTGCTGGTGTCTTACAACCAACTCTCTGGAGATGTGCTGGATATTCACGACGACTCAAAGCTCTTTTTCCGGTGAGCTCGTGGTTTGGACGGGTACCTACCTGTGTCATAGAAATAGAGTATTTTTTAGAATTCTCGAGAGTTTTTTAGGATTCTCAAAGATACTCTTTCTTCAGGCGAGCTTGTGGTTTGGACAGGTACCTACCTGTGTCGAAGAGAGATACTCGAGGATTGTGAGCTTTCCTCTATCCACGCGTCTCCCTCACTCTCTTACCCCTCCCTCCTTCCTGTCCACGTCCAAACCAGAAACTGTTATGAAGGAATGCCGGATCAATCCCCGTGTGCCGAGCCAACTTTTGTTCCATCTTCTCACTCACTCTTCCTTCCCCCCCTTCTCCCACCCACTCACCAGATACGACGACAACTGCTACGAGAGGATGCCGAATCAATCCCCGTGTGCCGAGCCGTCCTTCACCCACCTTCTCACACACCCTTACCCCTGCACCCCCTCGCTCCCCCCCCCTCCCTTCTCCACTCTCCAAACCAGATACGACCACAACTGCTACGAGGGAATGCCGGATCAATCCCCGTGTGCCGAGCCTGCCTTCACCAGCGATGGCACCACCACCAGTGATGGGAATACCAATGATTATGCGGCAGACAATGCCACTTGGTCCGATACCACAGCGGACGATTACCAGCAGTTTTACGACAACGAGACCATGGGGGGTGGCAGCAGCGGTGACCAGAACCAGCAGCAGCAGAGCAACCAGTCATCATCCTCCAGTGAGTGTGCTGCGGGGGATGTGGGGGGTGGAGAGGGGTGGAGAGGGGTAAGTAGGGGTGTGTTGGGCTTGATACCACAGCAGACGATTACCAGCAGTTTTACGACAACGAGACCATGGGGGGGAGTGGTAGCCAGCAGCAACAGTCATCTCCCTGTGTTCATCTACATCCTGCTGCCGCTTTTCGCTGTGCTGCTGGTTTAATCCCAACCTCTTCCTTTGTTCTCTGTCCTCTGTTCTAACCCTCCCCTACCCCCCTCCAGGTCACACCCCTGTGTTCATCTACATCCTCATTCCGCTCCTCGCCATGGTGCTGGCCTGCGTGGCTGCATACCACTTCTCTCCCAAGTTCAGAGACGCTGTGCACGTGCTGATCAACGGGAGGGACAAACGTGAGTGTTGTTTGTTTGACACTTGCTGTGTATGCCTGTCTCTGCCTAGCCTGTGCTGCACTGCACTGTGGTGCTCGCGTGCATTGCAGCATACCACTTCTCTCCCAAGTTTTGAGATGCCGTGCACGTGCTGATCAATGGGAGGGACAAGCGTGAGTGCCGTCTGTTTGACAGTTGCTCGCTGCTTGCTTGCTGTGTGCCCGTTTAGCCTAGCCTCTACTTCACTGCGTTGCAGCGTATCACTTCTCACCCAAGTTCCGAGACGCTGTGCACGTGCTGATCAATGGGAGGGATAAATGTGAGTCCCGTCTCTTTGACATTTGCTCGCTGGTTGCTTGCTTGCTTGCTGTGTACCCGTTTAGCTTAGCCTCTACTGCACTGCACCGCGGCGTGCCGCTTCTCATCCATGTTCAGAGATGCCGTGCACGTGCTGATCATCAACAGGCAGACAGTTTGATCTCACGCCCATAAAGAAGACCTCTCGAGATTTCACATCCCCACTCCCGCCCCCTTCTCACTTCTCCCTTTCCCCCCAACCTTGCAGTGGGCGTGAGACAGAGTATGACCCTAAACCTCACGTGCATTAAGTAGGCGACAGACATGCAACCCCTCTTTCAACCCCCCATCAACCCTTCCCCCTTCTCCGCTCCCCCTCGCCCTGCCTGCCTGCAGTGGGAGTGACAGAGTTTGACCTGACACGTATCAAGAAGGCAACAGGAGACTTTACAGCGGCGGGCGGGGGAGCTTCGGGGTGGTGGTCTCACCCGCGCCCCCTTCCCCACTCCCCCTCTTCCCCACTGCTACCTTTCCCCTGTGCAGTGGGCGTGACTGAGTTTGACCTGACACGCATCAAGAAGGCAACAGGAAACTTCACGGCAGAGTACGGCCGAGGCAGCTTCGGGGTGGTGTTTCTGGCAGACGAGTTCTTCAAAGGGCAGCCGGAGCCACGAGCAATCATCAAGCGAGCCCACGACCCGCAGAGTGAGTGAATAGTGCATCTTTCCTCTGCAGCCTCCGGACACATAGAATGGGCACACACACAGTATAGGGGGGCAGCTTCGGGGTGGTGTTTCTGGCGGACGAGTTCTTCAAAGGACAGCCGGAGCCGCGGGCGATTATTAAGAGAAGAGAGCCCACGATCCGCAGAGTGAGTGCAGTGTGCAGCTCTCCTCCTCTGGCCTTAGACTAGCAAGGAATGAGTGAATGAGGGTGGAGCTTCGGGGTGGTGTTTCTGGCAGACGAGTTCTTCAAAGGACAGCCAGAGCCGCGGGCCATTATCAAGAGAGCGCACGACCCTCAGAGTGAGTGATAGAGGAAGGGGCACTCTCAGTCTCAGAATGAGTGTGTGCCTGCAGCTCTCCTCTTCTGGGTGCTTCGCAGCACAGCATGTGGGCTTTGGGGTGTGGCAGCTTCGGGGTGGTGTTTCTGGCAGACGAGTTCTTCAAAGGCCAGCCGGAGCCGCGAGCCATCATCAAGAGAGCTCACGACCCGCAGAGTGAGTGCAGAACATTGTGCATTGTGGGAGTGACTGAGTTTGACCCGACACGTATCAAGAAGGCAACAGGAGATTTCACGGCAGAGTATGGGCGAGGGAGCTTCGGGGTGGTTTTTCTGGCAGACGAGTTTTTCAAAGGACAGCCGGAGCCGCGAGCGATTATAAAGCAAGCTCATGACCCCCAAAGTGAGTGATTGTGCAGTGAGCTCTCTTCGTCCAGGTCTCCACAGCGGAGTACGGGGAGGGGTGGCAACTTCGGGGTGGTGTTCCTGGCAGACGAGTTCTTCAAAGGACAACCGGAGCCACGGGCGATTATTAAGAGAGCCCACGATCCGCAGAGTGAGTGCAGTGTGCAGCTCTCCTCCTCTGGCCTAGACTAGCAAGGAATGAGCGAGGAATGATGGTGGAGCTTCGGGGTGGTGTTTCTGGCAGACGAGTTCTTCAAAGGACAGCCGGAGCCACGAGCAATCATCAAGCGAGCCCACGACCCGCAGAGTGAGTGAATAGTGCATCTTTCCTCTGCAGCCTCCGGACACATAGAATGCCTCAGTATGGGCGAGGCAGCTTCGGGGTGGTGTTTCTGGCAGACGAGTTCTTCAAAGGGCAGCCGGAGCCGCGAACGATCATCAAGAGAGCTCACGACCCGCAGAGTGAGTGCAGTGGGCAGCCCCCATCCCCCAGCACTCCTCTGCACCCCTCTCAACAGAGGTCAGCGAGTTCCTGTTCAAGTGCAAGGTGGAGATTCTAGCCAAGGCACGCCACCGCTACGTGGTGAATCTGTGTGGCTACTGCGTCAACCAGGGGGAGCGCATCCCCTTTCCACCCCTCTCCATCCCTCACCACCCATCCTTAACCCTTTCCACTCCTCTCCACCGCTCGCCACCCTTCTCCACCCCATTCACAGAGGTCAGCGAGTTCCTGTTCAAGTGCAAGGTGGAGATTCTGGCCAAGGCACGCCACCGCTCTCACCCCCTACATCCGCCCTCTCCACCACCCCTTTCCACCCCACCCCACTCCATCCCTTTCTATCACCAGAGGTCAGCGAGTTCCTGTTCAAGTGCAAGGTGGAAATATTAGCAAAAGCGCGCCACCGCTACGTGGTGAACCTGCATGGCTACTGCGTCAACCAGGGGGAGCGCATCCTCGTTTATGAGTTCCTCCCTAACGGCACTCTCTTCGACCGCCTCCACCGTGAGTGTTCAACAAGATAGAAGTGTATCCTCGTTTATGAGTTCCTCTTAACAACACTCTCTTTGACCGCCTCTGCCGTGAGTTTTTTAAGCACTACAAATATATTCAGTATGCATACATGTGGATTCATGAAGTAAAAACCCGATGCTTCATTTGGGCGCACCTTCATTCCGCGTGCTCTACTCTCGTTCCTCCCTCTCTTTTTTCCTCCTCTGTTCTCCCCCCACTCAGGTCCCGAGCTAGAGCCCCTTGCTTGGGAGACACAAGTGAGGGTCGCATACCACGTTGCCAGTGCCCTGGAGCATCTGCATCACGACCTCACTCCCCCATTCCTCCCTCATACCACGTTGTGCGGGTCGCATGTCACGTTGCCAGCGCGCTAGAGCATCTGCATCACGACCTCACTCCCGCATTCCTTCCCCTTCTCCTCCCCCTATTCCCGGTCTTGGTTCTCTGTCCCCATGGAGCACAGGTCCCGAGCTTGAGCCTCTGGCCTGGGAAACACGCGTGCGGGTCGCATACCACGTTGCCAGTGCGCTGGAGCATCTGCATCACGACCTCACTCCCCCGCTGGTGCACAGAGCAGTGACTTCCTCCAACATTCTCCTGGCTGCTGACATGACTGCCAAGGTGAGCTTTTGCCACATGCTGCACGTCACACGCCACAAATGAGCGAGTTTGCGTGGGGTATGAGCCTCTTGCTACAAGGAGTGCGCTGGAGCATCTGCATCACGACCTCACTCCCCCGCTGGTGCACCGAGCAGTGATGTCGTCCAACATTCTCCTAGCAGCTGATATGACTGCCAAGGTGAGCGATTCTCTGCTTGAAGTCTAGTCATTTGCTTCAAAGGGTGCTCCAAGCGGCAGCAAGTGCAGTCGCCCTCGCCCTCGCCTCTTCACCCAAGATGGGGACGGGTGGAGCGCAGTGGAGAGCGGTGGCATGCGGCTCGTCACCCACTCAAACCCCACCCCTGTTTCTCCCTCCTCCTGTGCCCCTGTGCCCCCATCCAGTTAAGCGACTTTGGCATTGCCAGGGGCAGCAGCGGGGGGGAAACTGCGTTTGACGACACGCCCCGTCGCAAGAAGAGCCGCAAGCACAAGCAGGTGGCTGACGTGCAGTCGCCCTCACCTCTTCACCACGGATGGAGAGCGGTGGAGCTCGGTGGAGAGCGGTGGAGTGCGGCTGGTCACTCACTCACGCCCCACCCCTTACCCTCCATCCTCCTGTGGCCCTGTGCCCGTTCCCAGCTGAGCGATTTCGGCATTGCCAAGGGCAGTAGCGGGGGAAAAACTGCGTTTGACGACACGCCCCGTCGCAAGAAGAGCCGCAAGCACAAGCAGGTGGCTGACGTGCAGTCGCCTGCTCCCCTTCACTCCAGATGGATGGAGAGTGGTGGAGCTCGGTGGAGAGTGGTAGAGTGCGGCTGGTCACTCACTCATCCCCCACCCCTTTCCCTCCCTCCTCCTGTGCGCCTGTGCCCATTCCCAGCTGAGCGACTTTGGCATTGCCAAGGGAAGCAGTGGCGGGAAAACCGCCTTTGACGACACGCCTCGTCGCAAGAAGAGCCGGAAGCACAAGCAGGTGGCTGACGTGCAGTCGCCGTCGCCCCAGATGGAGAAAGCGGATGTGTATGGGTTCGGAGTGGTGCTGCTGGAGTTGATCACGGGGCAGAAGGCGATGAAGGAGGTCCACATTACCACCATGGTGAGAGATTGGGTGAATCGTGGTGAAATCCTAGCTGAAAACGGTGGTGTGCAGTGAAATCCTGGTAGAAATGGTGGAGACGCCTATCTGGGGGGCAACTATCGGCAGGAGGAGCTCATAGAGCTGGGCGGCCTGGCCCCCGCAACTGCATGCATCCTCTACGCATGGACCAGTAGCATGTCCTAGCTTGAATTCCACGGCCCAGGATGCAGGGTCTAGGGCTCTCACTCACCCTCGCTGTCTGTTTCGTGATGCCTGATCTCCTCCCCTTTCCTTTCCTCCCCGCTCTTTCCCCACCATATTTTTCCCCCTCTTTCTCCTCCCGTTTACAGGCTGCTCCCTTTCTCGAGGACCCGCAGATGATGCCTCTAATGGTCGACGCCTACCTGGGGGGCAACTATCGTCAGGAGGAGCTCATAGAGCTGGGCGGCCTGGCTCACGACTGCATGCATGGTTCAAACCCAGTGTCCATAGCTTGAATTCCAGAGCCGTGGTTCAAATCCAGGGTCTAGTACCCAGAGGCCAGGGTTTACTCTCTTTGTTTCGCGATGCCTGATCTCCTTTCCTTTCCTCCCCTCCCTTTCCCCACCACATATCCCCTCTCCTCAGGCTGCTCCCTTTCCTGGAGGATCCGCAGATGATGCCTCTCATGGTCGACCCCTACCTGGGTGCTCAGTGCCTAGTGCTCACGCCTCCCTCCCCCTCACACTACTCTGTCACCCCTTACCCCAATCAGGCTGCCCCCTTCCTGGAGGATCCGCAGATGATGCCTCTCATGGTCGCCCCTACCTGGGTGCTCAGTGCCTAGTGCTCACGCCTCCCTCCCCCTCACACTACTCTGTCACCCCTTACCCCAATCAGGCTGCTCCTTTCCTCGAGGACCCCCAGATGATGCCTCTGATGGTCGACCCCTACCTGGGGGGCAACTATCGTCAGGAGGAGCTCATAGAGCTGGGCGGCCTGGCTCTGACTAGAGTTGAGAGTTCCATTCTCCCCTCCCTTCTCCCTTTTCTCACCCAACCAGGCTGCTCCCTTTCTCGAAGACCCGCAGATGATGCCGCTCATGGTCGACCCCTACCTGGGGGGCAACTATCGTCAGGAAGAGCTCATAGAGCTGGGCGGCCTGGCCCGCGACTGCATGCATGGTTCAAATCCAGGGCCCAGGAAGCAGAGGCTAGCGCTCTCATGCTCTCTGTCTGTTTCGTGATGCCTGATCTCCTCCCCTTTCCTCCCCTCCCTTTTCCCACCAATTATCCCTGTCTTTCTCCTCTCTTTTACAGGCTGCTCCCTTCCTGGAGGACCCGCAGATGATGCCTCTCATGGTCGACCCCTACCTGGGGGGCAACTATCGTCAGGAGGAGCTCATAGAGCTGGGCGGCCTGGCGCGGGACTGCATCCAAGAAAACGCCGCTTGCCGGCCCTCCATGCGCGAGGTTCTGGAGCGAATGGAGGAAACTCTGCCGTCCGTGGGTGTGTGCATCGAAGGGGACGGAGTGGGAGGGAAGGCCGGGGAGGACGAGGAGACTGGGTTGCTTGTGGAGGGGTATTCTGCCGCAGCGCCCACGTTCGGGCAGGGTGTTACGCACCTGCACCCTCCGAATGTGCGGGTGGACGGCGGGGGGCATGAGCAGGGATCTGCTGTGATGCGGGAGGAGAGGCAGGTCACGGGAATTTCAGGGATTTCGGCGCCGGCGTCGGCTTGGGCGTCGATTGAGGGCTTTGCCAAGTCGATTAAGAGCGCGATTGTGAACCCGAGGGGGCATCGGGGGGAATCGGACCATGAGATGTCGTCGCTGCTGGTGCTGGGAGCAAAGACAGGGAGCAGCAGCAGCAGTGGGAGGTGATAGGCTGGCAGCTGCTGAGGTGCCTCGGAAGCAGCAGAGCAGGAAGGGGGGGGGGGGGGGGGGGGGGGGGGGAGTTGGATCATGGGATGTCGTTGCTGCTGGTGCTGGGAGCAAAGACAGTGGGCAGCAGCAGCAGTGGGAGGTGAGAGGCCAGCACCTGTTGAGGCGCCTCGGAAGAGCAGCAGACTCTGGGAGGCCAGAAGCTGTTTAAGTTATCAATGGGGTGATGGTGGTTACCGGTAACTGGGAATGCAAGCAGACCTTGGATCACATGCAACAGGCACGGGGAAAGGCCGGCGGGAGTGAATGGAGTTGGAGAGCGGTGGCAGCAGGAGTGTGGAGTGCCAAGTTATCAAGCAGGCAGTTGTGGTTGCCTCACTTCCAAGACAGCACTTGAGTGTACATGTCTCAAGATATATAACCTGCTAGGGTATATTCTAACAACGTTGTCTAATTTATAGAACGCATACCGTAGGTAGGTGTGACAATCATGTTGTCCCTTAATTTGTTTGTTTGTTTTTGTTGATGACTTGCCACTCTAAGGTTTCATGTTTTCTGATCCTGATTGCTTTAATTGATCAGCTAGTACCGTAGTGGCATCTAATGGAGCTGGTCCAAGCATATACTCACATACTGGCTGAATTTCCTTTTCAAAAAGCTGAATGGAAACTGGTTACAGTAAATTGGCTGCAAAATGGAAAAATGTTGGTGTCCCGCCAACCGGATTCGAACCAGTGACCTAAGGATTACTCAACTACAGTCCTCCGCTCTACCAACTGAGCTATAGCAGGCTTGTGAACGCATGATGTTTTATGTATAGGTACTTTCTGTGCAGTGACGGGCAAATTATTCCATGTAGTAATGTCCTGTCTGCAATCATGCGAATCCTTGCCGTACATCACGGCGTCTCTCGCCTCTGCACACTGCCTTTCTCCATCTCCACCGCATTCCACCGATCCCGCCCTACCCGACTCGAACCCCGTCTTCTGGCGTCCCAGCCTCCCGCCAAATCCGCGCATTTCCCTGGGCGATCTTCCGCCCAGGCGCATTCTTCCGCGCAGGCTCATTCTTCCGCCCACGCGCACTCTTCCGCGCAGGTCAACCCCGCAGAGATGGTGGCGGAGGCGGAAGCCTTGGACGGGCCTAGTACCGCCACCGCTCCTATTTCCGCGAACGGCGCCGGTATTACGGGCCCCGTTGGTACTACTAGCGCCCCGAGCTTTGCTGCTGGGTCCTTACTAGTGAATAGTATTGAAGGTACCGTTCCTTTCACGCTCCGCGGTGTCGTTTTCGATATGGACGGGACGCTGACGGTGCCGTGCATAGATTTTGCCGAGATGCGCCGGCGCGTGGGCGCCACGAGCCCGGATATTCTGCACGAGATCGACGGCTGGGATGAGCCGAGACGAGTCGAGGCGTATCGCGTGATTGGGGAGATGGAGGAGGAGGCGAAGCGACGGCTGCAGATCATGCCAGGTGGGTGGCTTGTGAATGGACGGCTGCAGATTATGCCGGGTGGATGAATGGCGAATCTACAGTCGCAGATCATGCCAGGTGGGTGGATTGGGCAATGCGGGGTAAGATCCCGCTCATTGACCCGTGCCATGACCCATGATGTGACCCATGAGATGACCCATGAAGTGACCCATGAATTGACTCATAAGTTGGCCCATGAATTGACCCATGAGATGAACCATGTGTTGACCCATCCGTTGACCCAGCTGCACTCTCGTTCGCTGACCTGTGCATTGACTCATCTCAGATTGCTTGAGAGTCAACTCAAAGCCACCATCCTCCTTGCCTGGTCCTCCCACACATTGCGCTTATTTTTAGGGCCTCGTTTCACATTGCGCATATGTTCAGAAGGCTATTCAGCAGCACTATTCTTAAATTTCTCCTAAACCGCTCACAAAGGTTATCCTCCTTCGTGAATTTCACCCTTATTTTCAGGGGCTCGCGAGCTCATCGCCTTTCTTGACGCCCGGAACATTCGGCGAGGGCTTATAACAAGGAATGTGAAGGATTCAGTGGACCATTTTCATAGCAGCTTTGAGGTAAGTCTCCTACTCAATGAAAGGCGCCTTGGTTCCAGCATGGGGCTTATCACGATGGATGTGAAGGAATCAGTGGACCATATCCGTAGCAGTTTGGAGGTGAGTCTCATACCCGTTAAGGGATTTATTGTGACCAGCCTTGGGCTCATAATGAGGAATGTGAAGAGTGAAGTGGACCATTTCCAAAGCAGTTTCGAGGTGAGCTTCATTCCCGTTAAGAGATTCTTTTTTACCAGCATTGGGCTTATGACGGGGAATGTGAAGGATTTAGTGGACCATTGCCGTACGGGTGTGGAACAGGTGTGGACTGTTGTACGGTGAGGTTTTCTTGTATGGTATCCTTCAATTTGTTCTTATTTAGCTCATGCATCCACGCTCCCTCCTCTTATTTGTTTCTCCAGCAGAGGCCATTTGTCGCGAGATTTCACTAGAGCACCACATACTGCATAGTGCCTCTTTGATTACGCAAGGTTTTAGTTGCAGCATGTATTTGTTCTCTTTCCTTCTGACCCGGTCACCAGGTCCCTCCTTTTTCGCCTGCTCTCAGCCGCGAATTCCAGCCGTATAAGCCACTCCCTCCTTTACTTACGCAAGGACTTATTTGCAGCATGTGTTTGTTCTGTTTCCTTCTGACCCTGTCACCAGGTCCCTCCTTTTTCGCCTGCTCTCAGCCGCGAATTTCAGCCATATAAGCCACATGCTGCCCCGTTGTTGCACATATGTGAACAATGGGGTGTACATCCTTCGGAGGTGATTATGGTTGGCGACTCTGCAAAAGACGATGTAAGATGTCAAAGTATATGTAATGTAACGTTCTGTGATTCTTATTACCGCATGCTTGTCCCCGTTGTGCTCCTTGTGATATGCTCCTCAGCATTATCCCTGCTTATCAATTCCATCGTTGGACTTTTGCAGGTGGTGTGTGGAAAGAGAGCAGGTGCTATCACATTTTTACTTGACGAGGATGGCAAGTTCCCTAGCGTTGACGAGATGCCGGAAGAAATCAGACCCCATTTTCGTATCAGAACATTGAATGAGATGCTGAATCTCCTTATGTCACCAATGTTTGTGCTACACTCTGACTAGTTTCATAAGCTCCTCCATGTATTGCATTGCAACACATAATTTCACCCATGCTATACTCAATACGAATCATGCAACACTACACGGGGCACCCTGGTTTCATCCCGTCGGTGTGTGACATTCTGGCAGCCAGCCCCCACCCAGCCCCGTCGCATGCCCCGCCCAGCCAATCCGTTGGGTGACACCGGAGCATTGTTGACGGAACGTGATTGGTATTCAGTTTGTCCTCCGTCTAAAACAGCCGCCAGCTGTTGGCAACGGATAACGTTTTCGCCACGCTGGAGGGTGCACTAACCAGCCGCAGCTGCAACACCACCACCACCACCACGCGACAGTGGCCACCGTCAATGAAATCCACCAAATTCAGTCATTTCGACCCACGAGATCCGTCCATCCACTCCGAACCTCATCTTCTCCCCGCAACCCAGATGCAGACTTGGTTTTGACAGCACTGACGTCGGTGAGGACGACGTCCTCCTCACCTAGATGATACCCGCAGAAACGCTTGTAAACTGATTAAACCGATTAGAAACTAGTGAGACTTCCACACCACGCTGCTTCGGCTCCCTTTACCAACCGTCCATCTCATGATGGCTCGGTGCGCTCTGCTGCTGTCGGTCACAAGATGAGGCTTGGCACATGATGCCAGTCGTGCGGTTTCGTTCTGTTTGGGTCAACCTATCACAGCCAGACCAGGCCCAAACCAGGTTTGTTACCTGGCGACTGATTGGCTGTTCGATTTGTTCGATGGGCTTGGTTTCGCTGTAGACGGGCAGCGAAAGTGGGAGAATCGAGACGGACAACAATCTCATCGGCAAGGCACATTTCGCGACTCGCTGCTCTTTCTTCCGTTCCTTCGCTTGAAAATTGGAATGCTTGGAATGGGTAGCGTCAGCTTCCGTAAGTGTCATTCCTTCGTATCGTCCATAAACACGAATTATTTCACCGAACCACTTTGTAACCTTGTTTTCCCTTGATTCTTCGCCTCGGTTGTTGCTGGAAACCGTGTTGGTTGGTCGTCGGGATTCGCGAGTCGCGATTCTCCGCTTCGGGAGAATCGTGGTGCTTGGTGCTAGTCAAACCGACATGCTTGCTGCTAGTCAAACCGACTCAACCTGTCATCTTGCCGAAGCAAGTTCACTGCCAGGCCAGTCTGACACCTGAGGGTGGTATGGCATCAAATCGCTAAGAAATACCATTTCCAACCGTTCAGTTATCCATTGAAACATTGTAAACCGTGATACACCCTGCCTAACCGTACAGGCGTGAACTCACCCCTCCACTCCGCGACAGCCCAAATTGACAGCTGGGTTTGACAGCTGCTAGGTGTGTGTAAAGGGCATTAGCAGGCATCCAACCAAGACCAAGGCCTAGGAAGGAAACTATACCAATGCGTTCAACTCGATGCTCGCAGTTCAGTCAATAAAAGCTTCGATTCGTTCAGATCCAGAAAACGAGAACGTCCACGGAATCTCCATAATAATATCGTTCGCGGGTTACGAGCCTCCGCCTAGCTACACATTTTTTACCAGCACTGGGCTTATGAAGGAAACTATATTATTACGTCTTTGGAGACCCCACCGCACTATGACTCGTCCTTGTCTCCTCCGCGGCTTCTGTATCCAGAATTCTACTTTCTGAAGCCATCTCTCGTCGTTTATTCTGCAACGACTCTTAGTCAATAGCTTTACTCGGTTTCCCGAATCCCGATTTTCCCGACTCCTAGTTTTCACGTCGCCAATTTCCCGGTTCCTCTTCGCAGTCGTAATCATGGTTGGGCCTAAACCATCCTCCGACTCCTTCCTTCGAGACTTAATTGGCGGGCGCTACCGCCGAGTGCGGCTGATCGGGCGCGGATCGCACGGCACGGTGTGGGAGTGCGAAGACATTTGCACGTCCCTCCGCGTCGCGTGCAAATCCATCCCGCACGTGCCGCGCGATTCGACGCACCCGCAAGCTCCGGTGCGCGTTGACGACATCTGTACGGAGGTCTGCGCTTTAAAGAAGGTCGGGGGGCATATTAATATCGTCGGTTTAATCGAGGTAATTTTGGACTCCGCCGAGGCGCACGTAATTATGGAGTTAGCACCAGGCGGGGATCTCCTAACGGAGCTTATGCGGCGCGGTGCGTTGAGCGAGCCGCTGGCGGCTACAGTGGTGCGGCAGCTCGCATCGGCTGTCGCGTTCTGCCACGCGTGCGGCATCATGCATCGCGACATCAAACCCGACAACGTGCTGCTCGTGCGCCCGCCGCCGCCGCCGCCGCCGCCCGCGCGGACGCCGCCGGCGGCCGTCGCGCTCGCAGCCGCGTGGGACCACAGCAGCAAAACCGGCAGTGGAGACAGCGGCAACCGCGGGAGGCAGCAGCGGCGGCGGCGGCGGCAGCAGCGGCAAGTCGCATCCCCCCCGGAGCCGTCACCACCATCACAATCACCCACCGGGGCACGCGGTTAGAGTTCTCCAGAACCGAACCAACGTCTTCGGCTTGACAAACTGCCAGAGCACGGGCGCGCTTCCGTCGCGCGGAAAGGATGCTTCCGCCGCGCCTGCTTCCCCGACCGCCAAATTTGGCGCAACGTCGCTCCCTGCTTCCCCCACTAAATCCAACCTACGCTCCGCTGCCTCTCCGTCCTCCGCCGATTTCCGCGCTTCCCCCTCCTCTCCCGCACCCCCATTCTCGAACGCCACAATTGCCCCCCCTTCTCCGCCCGCCTCCCCTTGCACTCCCCCCTCCCCCTTGCGCAACAAGAGCCCGCGACCCTACAAATCCGCATCCGCACTAGGCGGCTCTTCCGCGTGTGGGGCAAACGATGGCGCACGCCTTGGCGGAAGCTTTGGCGCGAACCGTAGCGCAAGCCTTGGCGGAAGCTCCCCGCTGGGGGAAGATTACGTGGGCGCGGAGCGGCAGATTGTGGGGGTGAAACTCGCGGATTTTGGGGTTTCCGCGATTCTGAAAGGGGGGATGCGCGAGCTCCGCCGCAGCAGGGGCGCGGGGACTCCCGCGTATATGGCGCCAGAAATGGGCTGGCAGAAGCGGGGGGGCGGGCGGGGCAAAGCAGTGGGGGAGACGGGAGAGCAGGAGAACGCTGGAGGAATGGGTCTGAACGGCAGGGTAAATAACCCTACTTCTTCGGATCTGCCCGAGTATGGCGTGAAGGCAGACGTGTGGAGCCTCGGGGTTACCCTGTGCACAATTTTGACTGCCCGGATTCCATCCCATCCTGTAGACTTCTCAAAACCGGAATGGGAGGGGGTTTCGGCAGACGCAAAGGATCTGGTCCGTCGGATGCTGGTGGTGGACCCGGATCAACGGCTGAGCTCGTTCGAGGTGCTGGAGCATCCGTGGCTGAACCAGACGGCCGTTCGATCGTTGGACCCGGCCGTGCGCTGCCCCCACCTGCTCTCGCCCTCCCTGCCTGGCGAAACTAGTGGTAACCAGGTTACGCGGATCGTCTGCATGTAGCTGTTGTGGCAGGGGCAGCATCTAATGGTTGCAGCTGTAACAGGGACAGCAGTAAAGGCTGTAGCGGAGGCAGCAGCAAAGGCTGTAGCCGGGGCAGCAGTTGTCAGCAATACATCAGTGTCAACAATACGTGCGTTGGCAGTTGAACGTCCACTGGACAAATAACTGGAACAAGGAGACGGTGGGTGGGTGATGTGCAGCAAACCCAAACCCGGGTTGCGGTTTGGTTTTTGAGTCGACTCGAAAGTCAACCCGGGTTGCGGTTTGGTGTACATCCCTTCCCCCACCCTCCTCCTTGCTCTAATAACAAGGCGCTCCTTACAAGGGACCATACCAGATACCCAGCCAGGGCATGTGCACTGTGCATCTGCTGGTGAGATATATATCTTGTGGTGAGTTTTCTGTTGTATCTAGTGGCTAGCTGTGATGTGGGGTACCAACTTTGAAATTTTCAGTCCAGGCGGCTTACCAACAGCTCTCTAGATGGTTTGGCAGTTGTATTGTAATCTGGTTCATGTTTTGGTGGAATGGAAGTCACAGCTGGGTTTTGATTGGATCATACGAATGCAATTACATCCACACAAATCAAGAGCAGCTGAGCTACCCTCTAAAACGGTCCAAAGCTAGCCGCATAAACCCCCCTGTACAATACAGCTACCATGTAATCACCTGAGCCCACCATTCAACTAAAGTCCTGCTTCAAGGCTGCACGCCTGGATCAAAGCTGTAGCAGACCTGCAACTCCAGCTCTCCAGCTCAATACATACATACCAACAATGTAAGTCAATGCAGACGGAGCAGCAGCGCGCCTAAATCAAACCTGTAGCAGACCTGCCCCTTCTCTTCTCACTCCCCAACTTAGAGTACGTCTACTACAATACAGTAGGCCTACCTAAACCCACCCTCCCACTGAGTGTAGCTCCAAGGGAGTAGCAGCTCGCGTGGATCAAAACTGTGGCACTGTAGCAGACCTGCCCGAGGCAACTTTCTGTGTTGTTCCTGTCGTAGCATACCCTCCATAATGTGGCTCAGCATGGCTCGGTATGGCTCGGCATGGATTGGTTTGGCTTGGCGTGGCTTCGTTATACTCATTGTGAAACTGCTGCCCCTGCTACAGATATAGCGACTGACACTGCTGTTGCCTTTCTCGGCTGCCCTTACTGCAAGATTTCTCGCATGCCCCTGCCTTCTTTCGCGTATGCCTCTGCTACAACCTGCCTTCTTTCGCGTATGCCTCTGCTACAACCTGCCTTCTTTCGCATATGCCTCTGCTACAACCTGCCTTCTTTCGCGTATGCCTCTGCTACAACCTCTTGCTGCTGCAGTTGCTGGACTCCTGGCTCCTGCCCTGCAACAATCGTTTGAAGTGGCCGCATTCTCTCCCAGCTACAGCCTTTACTGCTGCTGTCCCTGCTACAATATTTCCCTCAGGCACTTGCTGGAGTCCCAGCTTCTGCCCTGCTACAGTCGTTTGAAGTGGCCACATCCTCTCCCTGCTACAGCCTTTACTGCTGTCCCTGCTACATCTGCAAACCTTGGATGCTCTCCCTGCTACAACAGCTACGCACAGACGATCCGTGTAACCTGGTTACCACTAGTTTCGCCAGGCAGGGAGGGCGAGAGCAGGTGGGGGCAGCGCACGGCCGGGTCCAACGATCGAACGGCCGTCTGGTTCAGCCACGGATGCTCCAGCACCTCGAACGAGCTCAGCCGTTGATCTGGGTCCACCACCAGCATCCGACGGACCAGATCCATCGCCTCCGCCGGCACCCCTCCCCACGCAGGATGATCAAAATCCAAAGGAACGGTGGGGATTCGCGCAGTCAGCATCGTGCAGAGTGTCATTCCCATGCTCCAAACATCTGCCTTAAAGCCATACTTGCCCGTTTCAGCTCCTACCGAAGACATAAACTCCGGTCTCGTGCTTTCGCGTCTCATGATTTCAGACAGTCTAGTGATTTCGGGAGCCATGTATACGCGCGTGCCCGCGCCCATGTCTTGCCGCTGGGCAGACATCCCTCCCTGCATAAGCGCCGCTACTCCAAAATCGGCAATCTTGACCCCTAGAATCTGCCTGTCCGCTCCAGGATGGTGAGGTGGGGCACAATTCGAGAGACCACGGGCGTGTAATTTAGTTGCATCCAGCTGGCTGCTGCTGCTGCTGCTGCTGCTGCTGCTGCTGGTGCTTGTGCAAATGCCCCCATAATCGCTCGTATTTTCAAGGGTAGTTGCGATGTTCACCCCGCTGCTGCAGCGACGGCTTGCTCGCTGTGCGCTGGGAGGGGACGGAGATCGCCTGGAGCGAACGGGAGAAGAAGGCTCCGATATAACGTCCCTTCGATATAAGGAGCCCTTTTGACCGTCACGATAAGGACTGCTGTGAGCGGATTTTTGAGTCGACTCAAAATTTTGACCGTCACGCGAAGGGCTGCTGTGAGTCGATACGGCCGAATCGGCGTCTGGGAAAACGCACGTCTCACCACCGTTGCTAGAACCGCTGCTGCTGCTCGTTTCCCAGATTCTGCTGCCACAACCGCTGCTGCTGCTACAACCGCTGCCGCTTCTACAGCCGCCGCTGCCGCTACAACCGCTATCGCTGTTACCGCCACTGCCGCTGCTACAGCCGCTGCTGGCGCTCGTCACAGCCTGGTTGGTTCGGACGGCGAAAGCCCGCACCGCATTTCCCGGCACGCGCCTCTTAAACCCCTCTCCCAACACCCTCTCCCCTCCGAGCCTCCCGCTTTCCCTTCCGAACCTCCCGCACTCCTCTCCGAACCTCCCGTTCTCCCCAAACACCTCCTCTCCCCTCTCCCCCAAGAACCTCCCGCGCGCCATTCCCTCGCGCAATTCCGCTCGCATTTCCCCCACCGCAGGTTCACATTCCTCCGCCGCTGACGTCATACCCTGCGGCGTCCGCGCGGACGGCGGAGGGGGCGCCGCAGCCGGCGGCGGCGGAGGGCGCACGAGCAGCACGTTGTCGGGTTTGATGTCGCGATGCATGACGCCGCACGCGTGGCAGAACGCGACAGCCGATGCGAGCTGCCGGAACACTGTAGCAGCCAGCGGCGCGTCCAGCGGACCGCGGTGCATGAGCTCCGTTAGGAGATCCCCGCCCGACGCGAGCTCCATAACGAGGTGCGCCTCGGCGGAGCCCACTACCACGTCGACGAGTCGCACCACGTTCGGATGTCCGCCGACAGCCTTTAACGCGGATACCTCGGTACAGACCTCATACACCTGCGCCTGCGGCGAAGCGTGTCGAGCGGCAGATTCGCCGCCTCTCGCGGCGGGGATTCCGGTGGGTACTGCGGCGGCGGCGGCGGCGGAAGGTCGTCGAAAGTGGGGGATCGTTTTGCACGCGACGCGCACCGACGTGTGGACGTCCTCGCACTCCCACACGCTGCCGTGCGAGCCGTGGCCGATCACCCGCAAGCGCCGGTAGCGGCCGCCAATGAGATCGCTGCTGCTTTCGAAGCCGCTGCTGCCATTGTGTGTGGCATAATCACCGGCATTGGATGGCGCAAGGGGTCCCCGTCCGCTTTTCCCGCGAAGGCGCACGTCGAACATTGCTTGAACCGGTTGTTGAGCGGAAAGCGGTAGTGTATACCAGTTGTGATACAATCGGGCGGTGGAAGGGACTGGTGGCAGAAAGAACTCGCCGTAGAAAAGAATGCGTCACGCGCAAATACTTTTAGAAAACCTCGGAAAGGGAAAGTCCGTAAGGGAGGGCGAGAGGCAATCGAGTGCGTGGAGAGAAATCGGCCCGCCCGACGCTCTCGAGTCGAGCCCGCGTCCCGCACTCAAGTCGATCGATACTAGCTCTACGTACGACGACAGGTCCTGCTTCTCCGAGAGTTTATGAGAATTCTGGAGAAAAAAAAAAAAAAAAAACGAGCCGTCCTACCTTTGTTAACTCAATACGTTCGTCTACCTGCTTCTACTACGAGAAGGTTAGCTACTCAGAGTCACTCGCATTCGTCCAGCTCTCACGGCTTCACGAATTGCAACGATCCTCCCGCCCATTTCCAATTCAGAAGCAGCGGTGGTCCGACGGGGCGGGGTTGCCGAGGTCGACGTGAATCATTTTCTGCGTGTTCCGAGTTGGCGTGCTGCAGGAGCAGCTAGAGGATGATGCGTACAGGCGAGGGGAAAAGGGACGAACTGGTGTGTGTGTGTGTGTCGTCAACGAGAGACCCGATTCCCGAAATTGCGTGAGGGCAGGGATCGAAGCGGCTGCTGCAGCGACGAAATGAGATGCCTGCCTGGGTGCGCTGATACAGTAGCACCGTGGTAGGCTTTCGGTGCGCCAATAGTTTCAGCGATTTAGAGCGATTCAGAATGATTTAGAGGCTCGTTACACCGCCTTCAGGTTCGGATGAAAGGTGACAGCTGGTTGTGTGGCACGGGCGGCTAATTTGCTCATACCGCTTTGGCGCTGAGCTGGGATAGCCGCCAGGACTGCGCAGCCCGCGCAGGGTTGACGTGGTGGTGACGCAGGAAGGTAGCCCTGGGTGGTGGTGGCATTGCTGCTGACAGGCAGGCATACCTCTCCGCCCCCCGCCCGCCGGGCGGAACTGGTTTTGCGCCTGGGCCCTGGAGGCGTCGCGCGCACTCATCAGACCAGGCAATTTTTTTGGTTGGTTTGGTTGTGCCAAGCACGGCAACAGGCGAGTTTGGCTTGGTGTACTCGCAGGCGAATTCCAGGGCTTGGAATCTAGGCATGGCGGCGTACCGCGCGATGATTGCGCAAGCAATTCGGGATCATTGTCTGGTTTTGGGACGCTCTGCTCCGGCCATGGCCCGGAGCAGCTCCCCGGGGCCAAGCTCTCATTTAGGTTTGGGATTTCGTCAAGATTTCCGGCTTGTTCGTGTATTGTCGAGCCAGCACAGCAAACCCAGCGCGGCACGGCTGCAATCGTGTGGGTGGTGGATTTGCAGCCCTTTCAACATAACCTGCATCAAGCGGGCACAGTACAGTAACGACCACGCCTCCCAAAAAAACGAAAAACAGTTCAAGAAACATTCCTCCACCCAGAATGCGTGCATTGCTTTGCAGCATGAAAATGAATAAGAAATTCTCGGGTGGTGGCTGTAACCTGGAAAATGAAGAAAAGGGGGCACCCAAGCGGATAACCCTGGTTCGCATGTTGTCCGACGTGCCCTCATGCCCATCCGTCGTTCTCGCACGGCAACAGCATGAGGGCCAGCATCTGGCTTTCGACCTGCTTCACCCTGACCTGAAAATTTTCCAAGCAGGCTGGGCCCTGGAAAATGATCAGATGACCGTTGAATCACACCAAACTCGAGATTCTGTCTGAACAACAACCTGGCATGAAACGGTAGTGGTGGTTGATGGAAGTATCATGTCGTGACCTGAGGACGCGGCACCTGTTTTCAATTTGCCACGATCGATCCTCGCGGGGATCGATATGTCGGTTCTACAGTATTTTGACGACGTCGCCATAGGTCTGGTATCCTTTGTCGCATATTTTCGTTTACGTACAGTAAATATGTCTGCAAAAAGGTGTCACCTGTGGCTCGCAAGATCGATGTGCCTGCGCCCTCACATCGATCGTGTCATTGTGGAGATCGGGGCAATTTTGCCCCATAAATTTGCGATCGTGGCACCTGAGGCTCGGTGTGTCCAGGCGATCGAAAAAAGGCAATTGTGCACACCGGTGTGCCCATCGATCGTGGCAGGATCGATGTGAGGCCCCGATCCTCCTCCGACCGTTACAAATTGAAAACAGGTGCCGCGTCCTGATTATGGCGTGATATACAGCTTCAAAAACTCATTACAAGAAGTCTCCGGAAAAATGTAAATAACAGCTACCAATTCTAATGGGCTATAAAAACTAAACCTTGTGTATCCATGGTCTCGTCCAATTGCTTCTGGAACATACTCACTTAGGTTGTATTGCCTGGAGTATTGAAGAAACCTTTTGAGGGTCGGTTTGCATGACACATCCTTCAGAAGGCATACTGCGACCAAATGGACAATTAAAGATAAATTGCACAGAGAGGGAACCCTTTACGGCGTGACAAAAAGAAAAAAATGTAAGAGTTGGTGTCCTGACCTTGTTGCGCGGAATGGGCAGAGATGATTGAAGTGGATTTTCTCCGTTTGCGGTGCCAGCGATCGTGCCGATGCATGGACGTGAGATACACCTGATTTGGCGACAATGCTTGCTGCATTCTCTGGAGTCACCCCACCTGAAACATTAGAAATGGAACAGAAAAAAAAAAGTCTGGGTAAAGGGGGAATTACCTATAAAAAGGGGGCAAGCATCGTGCCAATGCACGGAAGTGTCATGTTGCGCCCTCATAGTCCCAGCCTCTTCTAACCCTCTTTATCTTGTCTATATTCCTCTTCTCTCCAGCCTCCCAATTAGCCCCCTACCTCCTTCCATAATTTGACTCCTTCCCCATGCTTCCGCCACCAGCCTCCGTATCAGCTTCCCTTCCCTCCCTCTCCACCAACCCCCCTCTACTCGTTGACCTTACAATCAGCCCCTTACACCCTGCCATGATTTGGATTTTTCCTCATGCTTCCACAACCAGCCTCTCTATCAGCCTCCCTCCCCTCCCTCACCCATCCCCCCCCTCCCACCTCAACTTGGTTCGTTTCCAGCCACTCACCTCCTGCCATGATTTGCATCCGTCCCCGTGCTTCCTCCACCAGCCTCCCAGAAGCCCCTGCCTTACTGCCTAGATACCAGCCCAACCCCTTCCTCTGCTGTCATAATGAAGCGAAGAGAGACGGGGTATAAAGCGAATCTATATTCCCCTTTTCTCCAGCCTCCAAATCAGCTTCTCACCTCCAGCCATGACTTGGATCCTTCCCCATGCTTCCGCCACCAGCCTCCCAATCAGCCCCACTCCCTCCTCTGCTGTAGACCGCCTGCTGCCCAGGCACAACCCCCAACCTGCCTCTACTCCCCCCCACCTACAAACCACTTACCTCCAGCCATAATTTGGATCCTTCCTCGTGCTTCCTCCACCAGCCTCCCAATCAGTCCCACGCCCTCTTCTGCAGTCGCCCGCTGCCCTGACGTCAGCAGCCTCGTCACTCCACTCGATATAAGAACCTGCGTTTGAAGAACACAAGGCATGCATGAAAGGCCTGTGTATGAAAGGCCTATGTGTGAAAGGCCTATGTGTCAAAGGCCTATGTGAGAGAGGGGAGATGGGTCAGAGAGTGGGTAGACTGGCAGCTCACCTGCAGCGCACCCATGAAGTCTCTTGTGTGGTCAAAGGCGCGGTGGAAGGTGACTTGCAGCGAATGGAGGATCCCCCACACAACACACCTTGTCAAGCAGACAAGAGAAACAACTCACCTGCAGCGCAGCAATCGGGTCTCTCGTGTGGTCAAAGGCGCGGTGGAATGGAAGGTGGCTGGCATGACTTGCAACGAAGGACGTTGGCAGCATACATGTCATACCCAAGGACACACATGGGTCTTTGGGCGCATGAGAGGCAAGGCAACTCACCTGGACCGCACCCATGGGGTCTCTTGTGTGGTCAAATGCGCGGTGGAAGGTGACTGGCAGCGAGTGACGGGCAACACATGGGAGCGAGGGGAGATGGGTTGGGTCAAAGAGTGGGTTGTCTGGCATCTCACCTGTTGAGCAGACAAGGGAACCAACTCACCTGCAGCGCAGCAACAGGGTCTCTTGTGTGGTCAAAGGCGCGATGGAAGGTGACTGGCAGCGAGTGACGAGCAGAACATGCGAGAGAAGGGAGGTGGGTCAGAGAGTGAGTTGACTGGCACTCACCTGCAGCGCACCCATGGGGTCTCTCGTGTGGTCAAAGGCGCGGTGAAATGGAAGGTGACTGGCACGACTTGCAACGAAGGACGTTGGCAGCATACATGTCATACCCAAGGACACACATGAGCCTTTGGGCGCATGAGAGGCAACTCACCTGCAGCGCACCCATGGGGTCTCTTGAGTGGTCAAAGGCGCGGTGGAAGGTGACTGGCAGTGAAAGACTTGCATTGACTTAGATTGCCTGGCAGTGAGTAACGGGTCATGCACACAACTTGTGAGGCGGATTAGGGAAGCATCTCACCTGCAAAGCCCCCATGGGGTCTCGTGTGTGGTCAAAGGCGCGGTGGAAGGTGACTGGCAGTGAATGACGGGCAGCACATTCGAGGAAGCGGTGGAGCTGAGGGGGAGAGGTGGGGCGGGGATGGGAACAAGGGTGAGAGAGTGGGGAGGTATCGGGTAGTGGAAACGGTGGGTGAGTCGGGGAGTGACGAGCCGCACACTCGAGGAAAGGGTGGAGCTGAGAAGGAGAGGAGGGGAGGGGAAAGGAGGGTTAGAGAGGTGGGAAGGTATCGGGTAGTGGAAAGGGTGGGTGAGTCGGGGAGTGGTGTGCAAACACATTTGAGGAAACGGTGGAGACGAGGAGGAGGAGGGATGGGGAAGGGAGGGAGCAAGGGGGGAGATGAAGGAAGGTAACTCGCCGCGAGCGACGAGAGTGGGGAGAGAGTGGGGAGAGAGTGGGGAGAGAGTGGGGAGAGAGTGGGGAGGTATCGGGTAGTGGAAAGGGTGGGTGACTGGCAGTGAGTGCCGGGCCGCACATTCAAGGAAACGGTGGAGCTGCGGAAAAGGGATGAGGTGAACAGGAGGGAGAAAAGGTAGTGCAGAACAGGAGGACAGAAGTGGAAGCGAGGGAGCAGGATTAGCAGGTGCAGTCAGAGGCTGGGTGGAAGATGACTGGTAGCGAATGGGACATATTGATGACTTACCTTTGGTTCGTCAATATCTCTGGAAGGAGTTAAAGCCAACACCACCACCCCAGCTGCCCCAGCTACAGTAAGTTCGGGACATTTTAGATATTATACAAATACATTGGATCCATAGGGACTTGCCCTACATGTTACCTTGTTACCTTTGGTTTGTCAATGTCGCCGGAAGGAGTCAAAGCCCCCACCACCACCCCAGCTGCCCCGGCTTTAGCACACTCTTTAATGTCACACTCCATGGCCTGGATGGATGCATACAGAAATGAGATAGTGGCAGAGGTACAATTGCATGAACATGTATACACTTGATTCAATAACAATGATGACACAAATTGAGTCGACTAAAAAAAGAAGTGATATCAGCATGACATTGAAAAAGAAAGTGTCTTGAGTGAGTGAGTAATAAGTGAGTGAGTGAGTGCGTGCGTGAGAATAATGAACGCAAGAGCTTACGGGAGCAGCAGACCTTCATCTCGTCTTCACTAAAGACGAAATCGCCCGCCCGAGGTCGAATAAGAACGTGCACAGGAATGGGAATTGCCTGTACAACAGCAGTCACCACTTTCGGGACATGCATGACATTGGGGGTGGGGTGGGGATAAGGTTGAAAATTGCCTGCACAACTGCCGTCACCAACTTCGGCACATGCATGAAGTTGGGAATGGGGTGGGGATGGGGTGGGGGTGGGGTGGGGGTGGGGTGGGGGTGGGGTGGGGATGAGAAAGGAGGAAGGAGATAAAAACAGACATGCATCGGGATGGGAATTTCCTGAACGACTGCCGTCACCACCTTTGGGACATGCATGAAGCTGGGAGGAGGAAAAACAAAAATCAACAAACAAACAAAGAAAGAACAATCGCTCACTCACAGCCTATACTGGGAGTGACCCATCCTTCCACTAGCCCTGAGGTAACTTTTGAGTTGACTCAAAAGTCAAAAGAGAGTGGGACGGAAACAAGAGAGGGCAGGGAGGAATCACAAGAACAACGCTCACTCACAGCCTATACTGGGAGTGACCCCTCCTTCCACCAGCCCTGAGCACAGCTCCACTCGATGGGCGCCACCTGGCAAGCAGGACTCGAATGGTAACGTGACGGGGAGGATACGAGGGTAAGGGTGGAACAGCACAAGCTGCAGCAGCAGCAGCGGCGGCGGCGGCGGCGGCGGCGGCGGCGGCAGCAGCAGCAGCAGCGGCAGCAGAAGTGGGCAGAATTCGGCAAAAATCAACACAATTCGGCAGAAGTTAACAAAATTTGGCAGACCTTTGTGAGCGGCGATTGCGGAGGCCACCGTTTCTACGCATATCTCCAGCTGTACGCTCATCTCGACAATGGCAAGGCGAAAGAGGCGAAACTTGGCGAAGGGAGGCGAGACGAGGCGAAATGAGGCGAGGCGAGTGGAACGCTGGCCTGCTTACGTTTAACGAATTCGGAAGCACCTCAAGACGCGTATCCAAGGAACGAGGGCTAATCAGTCTGAGCGGAAAAAAGTTCGGTAAGAGTAAATTTAGTAGGATCCGAAATATGATATGCCTGAAAGCAAAACAAGTGCGGATTTCTAAGCAGTAGTCACTGGTTTGATGTGATCGACAATCGGCAATCACGTACAAACGAGGATACCGAGCGTACAGTACTGTCCACAGATCGTACAGAAACCTGTGAATGACTTCCGGGATGTCTGTTCAGGCCACGTGGGTAGAGATAACTGGTCTGATACTGCCATATCATCCCCGCGACTGAAACAGCGCAGCATACATGAACAGCGGCGAATCGTAGTCGTACAGCGATGAAAGAGGTTGCAAAGTTTCCGAACGACAGACCTGCCTGCGTCGACTTGCTCCAGCCAATTTTCGTCGTATGTCATCCTTACCTAGCGAACTCCAGCGAAAAGCCGCGCGAATTAATGATGAAGCCAATTGAACTTCTTACCGTGCAAAAACCCCGTTTGAACACAGGACGCGACGACCTGACAACACTCGCACGGGACATTGATTGTCGCGTGCGACGTCTTCGTTTTGGTGCTCCCAAGGCACAACTTTCGTTACCCACAGCAGTTTTCGCCAGTCTCGCGCGCCAATTTCACCCCTCCATATGCTTTTCTTGTGTTTGCTGCAAACATCCGCATCGCTGTCCCCTGAAGTGCGTGCATGTCCCTGTCCATATCCTTCGTGTGTGATTGTGCCTGCCAATTTGGGAACTCGGCGATTATTCACACGCAGCGCCTGCTGGGTCATCTCTTGCTTCTGCTCCTCATCGCCATAGTTAAGGTCAAACAACGATCCTAAGAACCAATTCGAGGCACAGGGACAACCAGCCGCAACAGGCGATCCCCAGGCGATCAATTGGCGATCGGGCGAATCGCGTCACTGTATTTTCAGCCGCCATGATGCACATGACCTTCTACTGGGGCGTGGAGGCCACCATCCTCTTTTCCTCTTGGCACACGCGTACGCTTCCGCAGTACTGTCTCGCTATTGCGCTTGTCGCGCTCGCCAGTATCGCGTACGAGGGCCTTAACTCTCTGCGCGTCAACGTGGCAGCGGGAAAGCTCGCGCGGGCGAGCGCTGCTACCGTCGCATCCACGAGCACACCACTGTAAGAGAGATTCGCAGTTTGTCCTCGCCACCACTCAGTTGCCCTCGCCGTCAGGAAGAGTCTGACAGTGTTACAGCTCGCATAAACAAGCTCTGACTTCTCCCATGTGATCCCGTGTCGTTCAATTTCTGGCGTATTCCGTTACCATCGAGTCCCATTAATTATTTATGTTTTGGGACTTCAGGAAAGGGCCAGCCCCCCTTTGTTCGCGTTTTCATAGATTGACCTTCCACAATATTTTCTCCCCGTTCCTCCCACTTCAGACTTGCAGGAAGCTCTCCCCCTCCAGCTCGGCTTTCTTGGGCAGACAAGCTGCCTCTCTCCCTGCTCTACATTGCCACGTCTGCGCTGGCCTACCTCCTCATGCTAACCGCCATGTCCTTCAACGGAGGGATCTTCATTGCTATTGTTGTTGGGCTAGGTGTAGGCCATTTTATGTTTGGATTGAATCGGGCTAGTCTTGCATCTCAGGCCAATGCGGAGTCATGCTGTGCATAGTGAAGCTGATGTTCTTTATGTGAATGAAAGCACCAAATATTTGCCTATGGCACTCATTCAGGCATGCCAGCCGATTCCCTCAACGATCAACCCTTTATTCCAGTCTCAGGTTGTAGTAGTATCAGGGTATTTGTTTAACATGCCCAACTAAGCACACAAATGTGTTCATTATACCGCGGGAACTATCAAGATTTTTTCGTTCCAACTACTAATATTCTCACTTGATGTACTTGAATGCATATATATTTGTCAACCATGTGTGTAGTTTCTTTATATATACAAAACTTTGTATCCACTGTAACAGTTGTTTTGTCCCGCAGCAAGTCGTAGCTGTGGTGGTCCTCTCCCGATCAGGCGTCGTGGCATGTCGCACATGCGACCACGAACCACAACACTAAAACATCTGTTTCACGAACCATGCCTACCATCGACGGTAAACCTATGTCCTCCACCAACAAACGTTTTCATCGGACGGCAAAGAGTTCATGCGACGCACGGAACGACTAGCAGGCCTTCTGCTCAAGGAGGGAAATCTGACAAGGCGACACCCTCTCCAGAAGTGAAGCCTGGCGGGAGTTGGGTGGAATGGGAAGTCCTTGTTCATTGCAATCACATTTGAGGGTCTTTCTCACTAGTCCTTCCAGATTGTCTTGTATTGGAGGGTACCTGAAGCCCTAGCACACTCTCTCAGTACCTAGTAGATCGGTGCAGGGTGTTGTTTTGCTACGGCATCTGTGCAGATACTAATTTCCTCTCGTTACTTTAGCCGCTTCCATGGCCGATCAATTGTCCGAGGATCAGATTGCGGAGTTTAAGGAAGCTTTCAGCTTGTTCGACAAGGATGGAGATGGTGCGTGCGGGTCAGGCATTGGAGATGGATGTTTTTTTTTTTTTGGTCCAGGGTGACGATGGAACAAAGTAGGAGCATGGTTTCCTTGTTAAGATCTGCCCTAAGAAGTCATGTTTCGCATTTCTCACAGGTAGCATCACAACGAAGGAGCTCGGAACCGTCATGCGTTCGTTGGGGCAGAATCCAACTGAGGCTGAGCTTCAAGACATGATCAACGAAGTCGATGCGGATGGTAATGGAACGATCGACTTTCCAGAGTTTTTGAACCTTATGGCGAGGAAAATGAAGGTATGTGTGTTTCGTTTCCTTCTGAATATTCACGATCAGGCTGTAATGAAAGAAATTATTGACATATGTATTCTTTTTAATGCAGGACACCGATTCTGAGGAGGAATTGAAGGAGGCGTTTAAGGTGTTCGACAAGGACCAAAACGGATTCATCTCGGCGCAGGAGGTGCGCTTTTGCTCGGCTTTTGGCTTGTTCTTGTGTTCTCCCTTGTAATCGTGTCTTCATCTCTTGCATGTTTTTTCCTTATGAGCGTGCCTCTCTCTTGATTACAAACACGTCTTCATCTCTTGCAATTTTATTTCCTTCTTTTCCAGCTTCGGCACGTGATGACGAACTTGGGAGAGAAGTTGACAGATGAGGAGGTTGATGAGATGATTCGGGAGGCTGATGTGGATGGAGATGGACAAGTGAACTACGAGGAGTTTGTGAAAATGATGATGGCTAAGTAGGCTAGTATTTTAGTTGTCCGAGCATGCTTTTCAGGTTATATTTTGCAAGGTAGACCAGCAGCGTATGTAGGAAGCAGAATGAAAATGTCAGGTGGTGCTTAGCTTACAGACACGTTATTTATCCTCCCTCTAGCAAGGTGGAGGATGACACTCGTCGCGTCATATGGGCTTTTGGTAGTTGCATGATGTCTGGAAATATGCACATTGTAGTGATATTGTTTAGTTCCATATAATGCGGGCTGCTTTTCCACTTCCCAGAAACAAGAAATGGAATGTGTAGGGTTTGTCTTCGTCGCGAAGGTTGTCCAACATTGAGGGCGTGTCCGAAAAAGTTCGTTACCGCAGAAAATCGCACCCAACCATCCTATCGTTTAAATGAACTTCTCTGAATCAATTTTGAACCTTTTTCAACCGCATTCGGACGTACTCTCCGGACACGCCCTCGCAGCGACTGAAGTAATCGCAACTGATCAGTTATCGAAGCCATGACAGCGAATGAGATTTTGGGTGTTTCCCCCTCCGTTCAGGGGCCCTCCGACAAACTTGACCTAAGCTAACGAAATCCAAGGTCTTTCTAGGTGCCGTGCCGTCTCTAGCGTGGTTTGCTCATCCGTACTTTCGTTACGGTGGGACCACTAGAATCCCTGTTTTTATCTTGAAATGGCCGACCAGTTGTCAGAGGATCAGATTGCGGAGTTCAAGGAAGCCTTTAGCTTATTCGATAAGGATGGAGATGGTGCGTGGTTGAGACATGACTTGAGACATGGCGATGAGTGAATAGCAAGTTCTACGACGACCTCTTTCAGCATGCTAATGTCGTATGCTGTACTTTCTCGTACTTCGGAGCGAACTGTTCCGTTCCATGGAATTTATCTTATCAAGTTGTTCTTGGTTTTCAGGCAGCATCACAACGAAGGAGCTTGGCACTGTCATGCGGTCCTTGGGCCAGAATCCGACAGAGGCCGAGTTGCAAGATATGATTAATGAGGTTGACGCTGACGGTAACGGCACAATTGACTTCCCCGAGTTCCTGAACCTCATGGCGAGGAAAATGAAGGTCAGTATTCAAGGCATTAATTTCTAAACATTACTGGCCGCATTGTAACCTTCGTGTGCGATCTACCTCAGGATACCGATTCCGAAGAGGAGCTAAAGGAAGCGTTCAAGGTATTTGACAAAGACCAGAACGGTTTCATTTCGGCACAGGAGGTACGTGGGCCATGAGCAAGTTTTTATTATCGGTTTTTTTTTTTCCCCCTTCTTTTTTAAAGGGAAATATTTATACCAAGCTCTATACTCTTCACTTTGCAGCTTCGGCATGTAATGACGAATTTGGGGGAGAAACTGACGGATGAGGAGGTTGACGAAATGATTAGGGAAGCGGATGTGGATGGGGATGGCCAAGTTAATTATGAGGAGTTTGTAAAGATGATGATGGCAAAGTAGATGCCTGGTCTTCCTTCTCCCCGTTTCCACCTACACACATTCTTCCTCCCCAGCCCTTCACTCGTTTTCCTCAAGTCCACCACCTCCAATCAGTGCTGTGAATTTGCTCCTCGGCGCATGCATACAACCAAGCTGTTCTTTCAGAGTCAGGGCTCTCTGACAACATAAGTCACAATGGCTCTCTGCACGCATTGAGAGAATTAGGTCTCTTTTTGCCTTGGACAGCGCTGTAAATGTCTGAGTTGGTGCAATTTATGTAGTATTGAATTTTAGAAGGGAACAATTTGACTCTCGGCCTGACTAGAGGCACTGGACCTGCATTTGGTTTCTGTTAGCACAACAGGTGGTACACACCACAGTCTGGGTACAGGTACATTCCTTTACAGGCAAACCTCACATCTGTTTCGCATGACACTGTTGAACATTGAGGTCCACAATATGCGCGAAACGTGCGGTTCAAAATTCAAATACACACCCTCAACACAGGACAACTCCCCGAGTCATTGAATGCCATCTCTAGGATCACTGGTGAGGTCATTGAATGTCTCAATGGACTTCTGAGCCAGCCTTGTAACTTCGTAGTCCACCATTGCCTGCATGGATGAGGGAGGGGGGCACACACAGGCACAGCAGTGGCAAGGGGAAAAAGAAGCTTCATGCAAGGTAACAAAGAAAAGTCGCTGAACTGATTGTCTCTCAATGGCCTTCTGAGCCAGCATTGTAACTTCATAGCCCACCATTGCTTGCATGGATGAGGGATGAAGGGGAAGTTGAAGAAAGGTGCAGCACAGGCAGGGGGGACGTGAACGGGCGCCCAACCACCTTGAAGTCCTTCAGCAGCATGTGACAGAAGTAAAAAAGATACCACCACCGCACACCACCGCACCCGATGCTTCCACATCCCACAGCATACACCACTGTACACCGCCGCACAGCACTGCACTGCATACCTCCATATATCAAAAGTGACGTCTTTCCCCAGCATGTCCGAGTAGACCTGATACCACGCACTCCCCGGCCCCCAGAGCTCATTGAAATCTCCCAGCATCATTCGATGAGCCTCAACACCGCAAACAATCGCACACAACAGCACGCCACTGCACACCACCGCATCCCACCGCACACCACCGCACAGCATACCTCCATGTACCAGTCGAAAGTTACATCCTTCCCCAGCATGTCCGAGTAGACAAGATACCACCCACTCCCCGGCGCCAACACGTCCTTGAAATCCCCCAGCAGCATGTAATGAGCCTCAACACCACACCACCGCACTCCACCGCACACAACTGCATACGATCGCACAACACCGCACACAACCGCACACCACTGCACACAACCGCACATCACTGCACACAACCGCACTGCATACCTCCATGTACGAGTCGAAAGTAACATCCTTCCCCAGCATGTCCGAGTAGACCTGGTACCACGCGCTCCCCGGCGCCCACAGCTCCTTGAAATCCCCCAGCATGCGAATGTTGAACTTCTCTTTCAGAGGGTCGAAGAATCCCGGGGTGCGCTCGTCTGTTGAGATGTAGAGGAACCTGCCTGGTTGAATGAGCTCCAGTAGACGCTTGAGGAGGCTGGATGGGGGATAGAGTGGGGGAGGGGAATGGTAAAAGACTTGAAATCCCCCAGCATGCGAACGCTGAACTTGTCTTTCAGAGGGTCGAAGAAGCCATCTGTCAGGGGGGAGACAATCTTTGAGAGGGTCGAAGAAGCCCGGGGTGCGCTCGTCCGCTGAGATGTAGAGGAACCTGCCGGGCTGAACCAGCTCCAGTAGACGCTTGAGAAGGCTGTGCGGGACAGAGGGGAAGGAAAGCGGGAAGACTTGAAATCCCCCAGCATCCGAACGTTGAACCTCTCTTTCAGTGGGTCGAAGAAGCCTGGGGTGCGCTCGTCTGTTGAGATGTAGAGGAATCTACCAGGTTGGATCAGCTCCGCTAGACGTTTCAGAAGGCTGGATGGGGGATGGATAAGGGGAACGAAGGGCAAGAATGCAGAAGGAAGGTGTTTCGGGGGGTCAAAGAACCCTTCTGCACCCATCTGCACCGCACAGGTCCTTGAAATCCCCCAGCATCCGAACGTTGAACTTCTCTTTTAGGGGGTCGAAGAAACCTGGGGTGCGCTCGTCCGTTGAGATGTAGAGGAACCTGCCTGGTTGAACCAGCTCTGATAGACGCTTGAGGAGACTGGTTGGGGGGATAGAGTGGGAGAGGCAATAGGGGAAGCCTTGAAGCCCGGGGTGCGCTCGTCCGTTGAGATGTAGTGAAATCTACCAGGCTGAATGAGCTCCAGTAGACGCTTGAGGAGGCTAGTTGGGGGGATATTGGGGAAGGAAGAGTGGGAGAGAACGACACAGTGAAGCCCGGGGTGAGCTTGTCCGTTGAGATGTAGAGGAACCTGCCGGGCTGAACCAGCTCTGCTAGACGCTTGAGGAGACTGTCAAAGGTTGAGGAAGAATCCGATACCTGTCAGGCCGTGTGTCCTTGTCGAGGTTGGGCCATCGTTTCAAATCCTGCACCTTGTCTCCCCGTTGCACGGGCACCACATGTAACATCACATGCACATGCACATGCACAGATACCACAATTACCTGTCCGGTCGTGTGTCCTTGTCCAGATTGGGCCATCGCTTCGAGCCCAGCACCTTTTCTCCCCGCCCTACATGTGCACTACTCATTATGCCTCATGCGCTTGCACAAGCACATCCACATCACTTACCTGTCAGGCCGAGTGTCCTTGTCCAGATTCGGCCATCGCTTCGAGTCCAGGACTTTGTCTCCTCTCCGCACATGCACAGGAGCACAGGTGCACATGCCTTCACTGATGCAGGCACATCACATACCTGTCAGGCCGTGTGTCCTTGTCTAGGTTGGGCCTAAGCTTCGAGTCCAGCACTTTGTCCCCCCGCCGCACATGCACAGGAGCACAGGTGCACATGCCTTCACTGATGCAGCAGGCACATCACTTACCTGTCAGGTCGCGTGTCTTTGTCCAGATTGGGCCACCTTTTTTAATCCAGCACCTTGTCTCCCCGCCGCACATGCACAGGAGCACATACCCCCACTGATGCAGGCACATCAATTACCTGTCAGGCCATGTATCTCTGTCCAGATTTGGGCCACCTTTTCGAGCCCAGGACCTTGTCTCCCCGCCGCACATGCACCACAAAATGTATCACAAGCGCGCACATGCTCATGCACGTGCGCGCTTTACATCAAACATACCTGTCAGGCCGTGTGTCCTTGTCCAGATTGGGCCATCGCTTTGAGTCCAGGATCTTGTCTCCCCGCCGCACGTGTACCACATCGTAGTTGCTGTTGTTCATTTGGAGTGTAATGTTGGAAATCACCCACTGGATCTCCTTTCGCATGGGCAGCAGAGACCAGTTGCGCGGGAGCGACTGGTGCAAGGGGAAAACACAAAAGGATAAATAAGGGGGCGGCGGGGGGGTTGACTTTTCCCGCACGGCCAGCGAAGACCAGTTGTATGGAAGCGACTGGTAAAAGAGGCAAAAAGTCTAGTTTTGAGGCGCCTCAAAAGTCGACTGGTAAAGGAGGCAAAAATAAAATTTAAAAAAAAGGGGGGGGGGAAGGGGGAGAGAGGAGGGGGGGAGAGGGAGGGGGGGAGAGGGAGGGGGGAGGGGGGGGGGGAGCAGGGAAACAAACATGCTATGCTTACCACCCGCAACCTCGCACCACCACTGCAAAGCAAGCAACTAACCGCCCCCTCAACTGCGTCACAGGAAGCGAACCCAAAATCTGTGGAAGAGGTGAAATGCCACATGGCAACTGTAACACGATTACTGCGTACTACCACCACTCAGGTGCATCACACGAGGCGAACCCGAATAACATGATTCCGCGTTGCAACTGTAACATGATCACTGCGAACTACCACCACCGTGACTTTTGAGTCGACTCAAAAGTCACTTTTGAGTCGGCTCAAGAGGTGTGATTCCGCGTTACCACTGGAACATGATTGCTGCATACTACCACCACCATGACTTTTGAGTCGACTCAAGAGGTGAGATTCCGCATTGCAACTGGAACATGATTACTGCGTTGCGTGTCATCACCACCATACCGCCACCAAGACTCACCGCCCCCTCAGGTGCGTCACACGAGGCGAATCCAAAATCCGTAGAGGAAGTGAGATTACGGATAATCAGCTGAACGTCCCTTCTCTTCCCCTCTGCCAGTGCTATACCATGCTTACCACCTGTAACCACTCACCACCAACGACAGCAACTCACCGCCCCCTCAGGTGCATCAGACGAGGCGAATCCAAAATCCGTGGAAGAGGTTAGATTACGGATAATCAACTGCTCTCCCCCTCTGCTAGTCAAACACCATTAAGCCACCAGTGACAGCAACTCACCGCCCCCTCAGGTGCGTCACACGAGGCGAATCCAAAATCCATAGAGGAAGTGAGATTACGGATAATCAGCTGTGCGTCCCTCCTCTCTCCCTCTGCCAGTGCTGCTGCCACCACCCATGCTACGCTTACCACCTATAACCACTCATCACCACTGCCAACCACTCACCACCACCACACTGCCAGCAACTCACCGCCCCCTCAGGAGCATCGCAGGAAGCAAATCCAAAATCCGTAGAAGAGGTGAGATTCCGAATAATCAGCTGCGCGTCCCTCCTCTCCCCCTCTGCCAGTGCTGCTGCTGGCTCGAGCTTTGGAGCGATGAGAGTGGAGAGATGGGCGGATGGGGCGGCAGCTCTGAAGCCCTGCAGTGGCGTGAAGGGCAGGTGGCTGGGGAAGGGGGTGTTGAGGGGTAAGTGATGGATGGGAGCAGGGAAGGGGCTAGGGGAGGGGCGGTGAATAATGAGGCTGCCGCACCAGCCCATACCCCTCTGCACCGCTTTTGACCTACCCAGACCATACAGAGCCCTGATAGACGTTCCTGCTTCCCCGCACCTCCCCTCACCTTTTTAGCTCGTGCAGATCGAAGTAGGCATACAGCGGCCGCACCAGCCATACCTTCTGCACCACTCTCGACCCACCCATACCATTCTGAATCCCGACAAACGCTCCTCCTTTCCCCTTTCTCCCCCTCCTCTCACCTCTTTAGCTCATGCAAGTTGAAGTGGGCATACAGCGGCCGCACCATCCCATACCCCTCTACCCTTCAAGCCGCCCATACCACTCAGCCAGCCCATACCATTACCTCTCCACACACTTGCTCCTCTCATAACCTCTCCCCACCCCTCCTCTCCCTTCCCCTCTCCCCCTCTTCACCTCTTCAGTTCGTGCAAGTTGAAGTAGGCATACAGCGGCCGCACCATCCCGTACCCCTCGTTAGTATGCGCCCCGTTTAAGCACACCATCGTATCCAGCACCAGCGTTCGATTTAAGAACGCCGCCTCGGACAGCCTACACACCAGGCTCCACTTAAAATGCCCCATCCCCATGCACAGGTCCCCCGCAGTTGGAACGTAGAAGTATTTAGTCCCGGAGATTAAATACTCCTCCTTAGTAACCCCCAGCCAGGGGGTCTCCCAAACCAGGGTTTTCTCGGCTGTCAGGTTTCCCGCCAAAAGCTGAGTCACCACTGGGGAATCTGACGTCAGCAGCGCTCCACTAGAGGAAGTAGAGCCGCTGCTTCCGCTGCTGCTGTTGCTGCCGCTGCTGTCACCGCTACTGCCACCGCTCCCACTGCTCCCGGTGTCACCATTTCCCGCGCTAGTGGCGGCACTATTAGCGTTGGCGCTGCTGCCCTCGCCGCTGCTACCGCCGCTGGGACTGCTGCTGCTGGGGCTGCTGCTGCTGGGGGCAGCAGTGGTTGCGGGGGAATCGGTAGCTGACGCGCTCTGGCTGCCGTTAGATGGTCCCCCAGTGGACGGTTGCGATGCACCCTCAGGTCCGTTACCCCCACCACTAGTACCCGCACCTCCCGCTTCTGCCTTCGCGTCGCTAGAGTCGGTTTTGGCGGGAAAAGAGACCGTTATCGAATCTGCGTTGTCGAAGACCGCGGACGGCGTCCAATCAGAGGTCTGGGAAATAAGGACCGTTAGGGAGATCAGCGCGACGAGGAAGAGGAGGTAGGCGGGCAATTGGCGGTTTCCGCGCGCGATGCGGATGGCGCGCTCCAGGTTTCCGCCGACGGCGGTCGCGTTCCGCTCGATGCTCCCGCGCGCCCCGCGCATCCGCTCGATGCTTCCGCGCAGCGCGCGCTCGAGGTTTCCGCGGATCGCGTTGTAGGAAGCGTGGTGATGGTGGTGGTGCGAGCTCTCCTTCTTGCCGTCTGTTGTCGGTGAAGCCATGGCAAAAACAAGTGCGAACCTTGGTATCGATTTCCTTCGTAAGTACTAGCGCGTAAATAGCGCGAGTCTTGTCTTCTGAGTCGACTCGAAGTGCAGCTAGGCGCCCCGCAGCGTCAGCGAGGCTCAGAGAGCGCGCCTCGATAACGCGATTCGTCTCATTGCACTGAGGTCGTATGGGTCGTGGTCACATGATCATCGTTTTCGTCCTTGTTCACGGCCGTTCGACGCGATTGAGGCGATGTTACCTGGGATCGTAATTGCTCGAGTCGCAAGGCGGTCGCCGCTCTTACGTAATTGAGTAGTGGAACAAGAGCTGCTACTAGCTACGCGAGAGCAGTTCCTGACAAGTGCTATACAAAGAGCGCGTGTAAACGAAGCCTTGGCATCGAGTCTAGGAGACTCAATAGTAGTTGAGTCAACCTGACATTCTCAGGGGGGGCAATATCTAGGGGAATAGCATCCAAGAAACTCGATTGAAGCGTTCTCAGTTAAGTCGAATAAAAACAGTACAGTATAGCACTCGAAACATAAATGCAACCACGGAAAACATGTGTTTCAGATTTGCTGTATGATAGGGGGCGCTATGGTTTGGGTTCGTGTGGGCCGCCGAGCCCAGCATGGAGGTACGGAACCTCCGCACTTCACGTGCGCTTCGCAAAATGCTCCCAGAACCTGGAGCCGTGGCCCGGACGTGCTCCTCCGATAAGCAAAGGCTGGTGAAAGCAGAATCATGCGAGTTTTTGCTAAACACGTCACTAGTGTGGTTATTATCCCCGTGCGGTTCGTGAGCCCCGCAATTTCCTGCTAAGTGCGAAACACATCAGGAAGGTCAAATAGCCCGAGCCAACAATTTCCCGCTTGATCTTGCCCCAAGCCTTGCCTAGGGTCCCGAAAGTTTAGGTGCGGAACCATCAATGCCTTCTCATCCACCCAATCGCACACAACGATATGCAAGGCCTCACTGACAGCATCTAGAACAGTGTTTGTTCCTGGAACATCTAGATACAGCTGGTAATTAGTAGGAGTGGATACGACCTTGCTCTAGGTAGTTCCTTGTTTGCCGTCAGTAGTCATTGCGTCCCTGATTCCCACTCCATTGACAACCACGCCTTCGTATTCTGTCCCTACCACGGTTTTTTCTCCTTGGTTCTGTTTTACCACGTCATAAAGCTAAGGTTTCTGGTATTTTAATCCGAGCAGTCGGTTCGGAAAAGGGTGGAAAGGGGCTCTGTACGGGGGCTTCTTTTCCGTATTCACCGCATTATCTGGCGGTCCTAGTTCGGGTGCATTTCCTGACCTTTTCTGACTCTGCTTTGAAAGTCTCCGCGTCTGCTTTCTCCATGGGACGCCGCGAAGTAATCCAATCCGTTGAAGCAGGGACCGTGTCCAAAGTCGTTTAAGTGACACTTAATAAAGTAACTCTCTGACTTTCAGGCCCGCCTTTCGACGGTCAAGTTCTGATATAGAACCCCACCTTCAGACACCTTCCGGGATTCACTGCAATAGGTTGGAAGAACATGGAGAATCACGTGGGAAGCAACGGCGTCATTTCCCAGGATGAGATTCCCGCGGTAGTTAAAGACGTCCTACCCGCCGATCCCTTCGACCTTCTTAACTTATCCCGATTAATAGCCGCTCAGGCCTTCACAGCGCGTATTCACTCTCTAGAAGCGGAGGCGGGTAAGCTGAAGGGAAGCTTAGGCGAGAGCCAGTCGTCGATTAAAGCGTTAGAGGCGAAAGTGGCGGATTTGGAAGCGACGCTTAAGGAGGCCAATGAGAAACGAGAGGCGGCAGAAGAAGAGCAGGTAAGGCTGGGAACAAAATGGAAAGGCATGTTGAGATTGCAACACGGGTAAAGCGTCAGAGGCGAGAGTTGCTGACTTGGACCTGACGCTGAAGGAGGCCAATGAGAAGCGAGAGGCTGCAATAGAAGAGCAGGTAATGAATGCTGCGGGTTTGTAAGGTTTATTTTGTTGTTGTTAACATCGAAGAACAGGTGCTGCTGCTGAAGGGAAGGCAGTGTGTGCCGTCGCAACGCTAATCTGCTGTCGTTTCTCTTCTTTGTCGCGCTGTTCTCTCCTGTTGCAGGCCAAGCTCACTGGCGAGAAAACAGCTCTTGTGGCGATGGTGAAGAAACTCAACAGAGACGTCGCCAAGGTAGGCTGCTTCATTCCGATTGTAGAGTCTAATCAGGAATTTCAAGCGCTCTTGTGACAGCGGTTAGAAGCTAGCCTGGGACGTCCTCAAGGTTGATTGTATTGTCTTCTTGCTGGAAAGGCTGCGAGTTGTCGCGATGGCGAGAGACACGCTGTAACGCCCTTTTCGCAACGGCTTGCAGCTGGACCTCTTCGCCGTAGTCGCATTGTTTCGTTCTTCCGTCGTCCTGCATCTCGTTTCGTTCGTCCAATCCCATTCCGCCCCTCCTCTCATTTCCCTCCTCTCCCTCTGTCCTTTCCCGTCCCCGTCGCCTCTCCCCCATACACACCTCTCGTTTCTAGCTCGAGACTTTTCACCGCACGCTCATGCAACAGTTCAAGGGCGATCCTCAAAACCCCTTTTCTCACCCCCCTTCCATGTTTCCCTTTTCGCCAGCTCGAGACTTTCCGTCGCACGCTCATGCAACAACTCAAGGACGAAAACGACGACGAACCTGCGTCCGAGGTATGGAGAGATAGGTTCGGGACGGGGAGGGAGGGGGTTAAGGGGGGTTTGACTATACGGAATTCTGTGATTGGGAGTGACATGGTGCGCTGTGCTGTTGTCTTGGAGTTGAGGTTAAGAGGGCGTTATACCTTTATTGGGTCTGACTATATCGGGTACTGTGTGTGATTGCAATGTGACTTTGTGTGATTGTGAGTGTAGCAGGTGGGCATGGCGGAGAGTGCAGCTGGCAGGAAGCCTCCGGTTCCCGAGTCGAGTGTGACGTCCGAGTCAAGTGCTTCAGTCACCAAGACGCAACCAGGTATGGCTTGATACGCTGACAGGTGTGGTACTGTAGGTGGGTATCAGGTGGTGAGGGTATCAGGTGGGCATGGCGGAGAGTGCAGCTGGCAGGAAGCCTCCCGTTCCCGAGTCGAGTGTGACATCCGAGTCAAGCGCTTCAACCACCAAGACAAAACCAGGTGCGGTGTGGCATGGTGGGTGTCAGGAGGGAGTGGTGGAGGGAGGGTGGTGTTGCCGGGAATCTGGTGTAGAGTGCAGCTGGCAGGAAGCCACCGGTGCCCGAGTCAAGTGCTTCAACCACCAAGACACAAACAGGTATGGATGGGTTGAAGTGGGTGGAAATCGGTGCTCTTGGCAAGAAGCCACCAGTGCCTGAGTCGAGTGTGACATCCGAGTCAAGTGCTTCAACCACCAAGGTGCAAATAGGTGTGGATGAGTTGTATTTACCGTTTAGATGCCAACAGGTGTGGCAGTGTAGGCGGGTGTCAGGTGGGGATGTTGAAGGTGTTCTGTTGGCTGGAGGTGGAGTGGTGCGGGTATATACACTACCCTCTCTCCCTCCCTGATTTCTTTTCCACCCCACCAGATGTCTCTGCATCGCTAGCAGCAGGCGTGGCGGGACCAGGGGCGGTCACAGCACTGAGGGGTATGATCCTTAGTCTCAGTCCCAGCCCCTTCCTACTCCCCTTCCTCCTTCCCCTTCTCCTTCCCACCCCACCAGATGTTTCCGCGTCATTAGCAGCAGGCGTGGCGGGGCCAGGGGCGGGCACATCACCGAGGGTTGATCACTCATGGATGGTTTCTAAGCCTGGTACCCTCCCTGTTTTCTTTCCCACCCCACCAGATGTCTCTGCATCGCTAGCAGCAGGCGTGGCGGGGCCAGGGGCGGGCACAGCACTGAGGGTTGACCACGTGGCAAGATCAACGGCTGCTGCTGGCTCTGCCACAGTCGCGTCTGCGATGGACCATGCAGGTTCAGGAGAGGACGCAGGTATGCGATGAACATGCAGGTACACGCCACTTGTGTGTCTATATTGCAGCCTTTGTGTCCTTCTTGCTGTCGCTGCTGCCTCTGGTCCCTAGGACCTGCTGGCTCGTGAAAAAAGGCTTCCCTAGGACGGCTGCTGCTGGCTCTACCACGGTCGCATCTGCCATGGACTATGCAGGCCCACGAGAGGACGCAGGTATGCAACCGTCTGTGTGTGTGTGTGTCTACATCACAACATGGCATACGGAACCTGTATGCCATTTTTGCCTCTGGTCCCTAGGACGGCTGCTGCTGGCTCTGCCACCGTGGCATCTGCCTTGGACCATGCAGGCCCACGAGAGGACGCAGGTATGCGGTGTGTGCTGACGTGGCACGTGTGTAATAGTGGTTGATTGAAGTGTGGTGTGTGATGGTGTCTGGTAGTGTGTGGTACTGTGTGGTAGTGAGTGATGGCGTGTGTTAGTGTGCGGTAGTGTGTGGTATGCCCCAATAACCCCCGTTCCATGCCCCTTTCACTCTTCCGCTCCCTGCCTCCACCCACTCACCCCTCCCCCCACGCCTCTTGCTTGCAGCTCGCAGCAACATCACCACTACTGGCCAAGCAGCGAGCACCACGGGCAGCAGCAGCAGCAGTGTGAGCGCGAGTCTGAGGAACTTAAGGACCATCTTGTTCCCCCTCTCTCCCCCACGCCTCTTGCTTGCAGCTCGCAGCAACGTCACTACCACTGGCGGACCAGCAGCGAGCACCACGGGCAGCAGCAGTAGTGTGAGCGCGAGTCTCAGGAACCTGAGAACTCCCCAACGCACGCCCTCCATGACCCCCTCGCTCTTCTCCCCGGCCTTCACCCCTTCGGCTACACCTCCCCACGGGAGCACCGCTGCCTCTCCCCGCTCGCGCACTGAAGGTGAGACTTAGGGCTAGAAACGTGCTCAGTGTATGCATCAGTACCAGTAACACCCAACTCCCTTCGCCCTCCTCCATGACCCCCTCGCTTTTCTCCCCGGTCTTTACACCCTCCGCCACTACCCCCCATTACTCCACTGCCGCCTCTCCCTGCTCGCGCACTGAAGGTGAGCTGCTCTCCGTGACTCTACTGCTGTCACTCTCCTGCTCCTGAAGGTGAGGCCTAGGAAGGTCTGGGTACTGTGGATGCAGTAGTGCCAGTTCCACTCTCCGCCCCTAACCCCCTCCCCCAACGCACGCCCTCCATGACCCCCCCGCTTTTCTCCCCGGCCTTCACGCCTTCGGCCACGCCTCCACACGGGAGCACCGCTGCTTCTCCCCGCTCCCCCACTGAAGGTGAGCCACTCTCCACGACTCTTCCGCTACCACTCTCCCACCCCTCCACTCCCTCGCTCCCTCCTCTTCCCTCCCAACACACCCCTTCCATGACCCCCTCGCTCTTCTCCCCAGCCTTCACCAACCCCTCATCGGCACCCACAGTAGCACTGCTGCCACACCTTCCCCTTTCTCCCCCGCTCCCTCTCTTTCTCCTCCCCTCTCCCCCCTCTCCCTCACCCTTCTTTCTTCACCCCTCTCTCTTGCTCCCGCTCTCCCTCCCACCAGTTCGAGCTCCCCGGGTGGATGGCAAGGAGTTTTTCCGACGAGCATTTGAATTAACAGTTCTATACCTGTTCCCCTCTGCACTCCTCTCCACTCCTTTCCACTCCACCTTCTCTCCCCCTCTCCCCCTCTCTCCCTTTCTCCCTCCCACCAGTTCGAGCTCCCCGGGTGGATGGCAAGGAGTTTTTCCGACGAGCAAGGTACCTTGAGAGCAGATTTCTTTGGTCCGCATGCTTTTTTCAACCTCTTCCATTTATCTATTGTATCATCTCGCCTTGAAATTCTGCGTTACAGCTGCTTCGACCTTTTGAATTCGCCTTCCACTCAACCTCATTCGCACCTGCCCACTCATTCCCCCCTCGCCTCGTTTTTATCCTGCAACTGTCACCCATGGAACCGTTTTTTACACAAGCGAACCAGTCCGAAGGAAAAGAAGGCAACATCATGGCCTTCTTTTTCTTTTCTGGTTTCAACAATTCACTCTCGTTTTCCTATCCCACACACTCCCAATTCGTCCTCCTTCCACTTTTTTTCACAGAAACCGTCTGTCATACGAGCAGTTCAGTCTGTTTTTGGCCAATATCAAGGAACTCAACGCACACAGGAAGACACGCGAGGTGAGTGGGGTTTCAAGGGGAATTCTGTCACGGCATGAGGAAACCTTTGGGACTGAGAACAAGGACCTGTATGCATGCTTTTAAGACCCTGCTGCTTTTTCTTACCTCTCTCTTTCCCTCCCCCCACCCCTCACACCCGTTTTTTGTCTGATCAGGAGACTCTAAAGAAAGCAGAGGAAATCTTTGGGACTGAAAACAAGGACTTGTATGCTTCGTTCGAGACCCTTCTCAGTCGTCACCTCCCCACATAGCAGCAGAGCGCAGCACCGCACGACACCACACAGCAGACTGTCACGTAGCATGGCACCGCACTGCACCACACAGCACCCAAGAGTCTTGGGGCTGTGAATTCCCTCCATAGAATGGCATCCCTACAGCATTGCACTGCACCACATTGCACCTCTTTGCATAGAACTGCACAGCACCACTGTACCTCACCACACCCATCCAGGATACATTTGGCTGTCCTTAGCACTGGTCAGCATTGCAATGCAGCGCATGTTGTCTGAGCTGAATACTGTTCTATCAGGACAGCCATAGTTTTCCCTGGGATACATTATGTTGTGGATGGATGCTCATAGAACTGCGCCTCTTGGAACCTTTGGTTGAATGAGATATTGATGTGATTATGCATGGTGCCTGCTTTAACCGTGTGAAGTTACCATTCTATGCCACTCTGTTGATGTTAACAAGTTTTTGTGACGTTTGCAAGAAGACAGCTACCAAATAATAGTGCCGCATGTTGTATCGCTCACGAGAAAGGTGCCAATCAAACATCCTTTCTTCAATTGTGGTCAGTGCATACCATTACAAAAAATGCATTCTCAATGCACACCTACAAGACATTACCTACTACCTGCGCCCAGCCTGCTAACGAGGACGCGAGAAGCATCGCTAACAACACTTCCCTTCGCCCTTTTCTGTCTACAGTAACCTACATGTCAAGAATCAGTAGGAAGATTCTGATAATACTTTTACTAACTAGTAGCTAGGAAATTCTTGAACCAGATGGCAGAGGCCTTGGGGTATCGAGGCTTGAGTGGGTGGGTGAAGTTGACATAGAGCATGCCAAATCGCTGCGTGTAGCCCTGCGACCATTCCCAATTGTCCATCATTGACCACGCGAAATAGCCTTGCACATTCACTCCGTTGCTGCAAAAAAAAGGGGGAGATGGTGAAGGATGGAAAGATATAAGAAATTATGAAAGGGTGGAAAATAGAGAGGAGACCAAGTCTGTGCGTTTAAGCATGTGACAACGCCTATAGGGAAATAGCCTTTACACATTCACTCAATAGACAGAGAGTTAGAGCACAGAGAGAGGGTACGACAGGGGGGAGGGGAGTGACACTAGGGAGGGGAGAGCGGCAAGGGGGAGTGAGAGTGACAGTGGGGAGGGAGAGTGACAAGGGGGAGGGACAGTGACAGTGGAGAGGGACAGTGACAGGGGGGAGGGACCGTGACAGCGGGGAGGGAGAGTGACAGGGGGGAGGGAGAGTGACAGGGGGAGGGAGAGTGACAGGAGGGAGAGTATCAGGGAGGAGAGAGTAACAGCGGGGAGAGAGTAACAAGGGGAAGGAGAGTGACAGAAGGGAGGAGAGTGACATGGGGAGGGAGAGTGACAGGGGGAGGGAGAGTGACAGGGGGGAGGGAGAGTGGCAACCACACCCCCCAAACAGTAAAATAACTTACTTCTTGGCGTCCAGTACGTTTTGGAGGTAGCTCTTGTGGAAGTTGACCCTCTGCACGTTGTACTCGCTAACAACACCCTCATTAACTGTCACAATTTCAAAACAGTACAACACTTACTTTTTGGCGTCCAGTACATTTTGGAGGTAGCTCTTGTGGAAGTTCACCCTCTGCACGTCGCACAGCGCCTTGTCCATTGTGATCCCCTGCACGTTGTACTCGCTAACACCGTTCTCGGTAACGATTACAGCTGCATCCTTTCCGTAGCGGTTCTTTATCCACAGCAGCATGTTCTTCATGGACTCGGGAGCCACGTAGAGCCACTTCGAGGAGGTCTGTAGAGAGGACAGCAAGGAGAGAGGAGAAAGGGTAGTGATGATTCAGTGTGATGTTTAGGGGTGCTACTTTATGGGGGACAGAAAGCTGCTGATGGGCAGCCGATAAATTCAAACGAAGTGCGTGTGAGGAAGAGTGCGGGTGAATCAACAAACGTGCTAACTGTGAAGGACAAAACAGGAGAGGTGCTTACCGGCTCGCCGACAAACTTGCCGGTTCGAGGATTACGGGCTGCACAAACACGGGCGCAAAGGTAGGGCAGATGGACACAAACGATTGGATGAGACGCAACTTGAGTCAGGCGTAACCAGAGCACCTTTTTGTTTCCGAGTCCGAGTGAGCAGAAAATTCTTCCCCTCGTTATACTCACGCGAAGTGGAGACGCGCGCGTCGGTCCACGGAATTCCAGCTCCCGCGGTGCTGCCCGGCCACGCGTACACGGCCGAGTAAAAATCCAACCCGAGAAAATCCGTGGCGCCGCGCATGCGTCGCGCTTCCTTGCGGTTGAATTTCGGCATGCGATCGCCGACGAAATAACGCATGGAGCGAGGGTAACTTCCGTAACGGATCGGGTCCGCGAACCATCCGTACGCGAATTCCATCCCCCGCTGCGCCGCGTTTTTGCTCGCCCGAGTTTCGTCAGCCGCGTAGTGGTACACGCAATCCAGCGCAATGCCGATCCGACCGCCCTGCTGCTTCTTGTACTTCTGGCGGTAGATCTGGACCGCTAACGCATGCGCCTTCAAAATGTTGTGGGCAACGATGTAAGGCTCGGAGGATGAATTTCCCGCAGTGCAAATCGTGCGGTCCGAGCAGCGGCCCGGTGCCATGCCTCCCGTGCCGTAGCCTTGCACGGCGATCTGCTGCGGCTCGGCGAATGTAATCCATGTTTTCACTCTGTCCCCGAATTTGCGGAAGCACGTTTCCGCGTAGTTGGCGTAACTTCGCCTGAAATCAACCAGCAACAGCGAATTTCCAAGAAAATCAGCCCAGAACAATCGACATAAATGAAAAAAGAAGAGCATATATCGGTAATGTGTTAATTATTTATTGGTGGTGACACAAGAACATGATGCTTGCATCAGGGATGCTTACACAATTGTGTCGTTGAGCCAGCCCCCCTGGTCGCGTTCAAGAGGGAACGGCAAGTCCCAGTGGTACAGTGTAACCACGGGCTCGATGCCGTTATCCTTCAACTCGTTAATGAAGTCGTTGTAAAAGCGTACACCCTCGGCGTTCAACGCACCCACACCAGCTGCGACAATCAAAGGATACGGCGAATTTTGGAAGGCAGAAATTTGGGGGAGGCACGGAAAAGTTGGTGGAGAGTGGAGCGAAATCCAGTCAGAAAATATCTCGATCGTAAGCCCTTAGAGAAGAGGGGCGAAAGGAAAGCTTTTTGGGAAAGAACTCAAACGAGGTAATCCATCTTGTCGAGACGCCAACTGATTTCGTAGAAAAATGAGCGGCGGTTATTGAAATAGCTTCCCTAGTGCTATTTGCCACTGACCTGGCACAACTCGCGGCCACGAGATGGAGAAGCGGTAGTTCTTCACGCCCATCTCTTTGAGAAACTTCACGTCGGTCTGCAGAGCGGGCAGAAAGAGGGAATTCGGAAGAACCGGGAAGCGGGGAGTGGGTAAGTGGGGGTGTTACGAAGCATCGGGATTTTCACGGGTAGCACGGAACAGCGGGACGGCGAAGAGGGGAAGCAAAATTAGAAAAGCAGAAAAGCTCTAGGGGACAAGCAGCAGCTGAAAGGTCCTGCCTGTGGTGTAAAACCCACCTTAGACGACTGTTCTCCTCACCTTGTAGCGGTCGTAGCTCTGAGTTGCATCGGAGGGTTTGGATCCATCGGCAATGGCGCCGGTCATCATTGAATACGCGTCCCATATGCTCGGCCCGCGGCCGTCCTTGTTCGTGCTGCCCTCCACCTGCGTCGCACTCGTCGTCACTCCGAATGCGAAACCGTCGCCGAAGTCGGCGGATCGCACGCTGTTGGTCGACGCGTCGGTTTGAGCGAGGCAGTTCTGCGACGCAAGAGAAGGAGATGAAGTGCAAGAGAGGAGACATGTTGGGAGGGGGCAGTAGCGTGTCGAGTCACGCAAAAATGGATCTGAAGCAAATCAACAGACAGCGACGGCAAGACAACGGGGAGTGCGACTTCTGGTATACGCATAGCGAGTCAACGCGGAAGTCTATAACGAGTATTTCCCGTGACAGTTAGGGAGTGAAGAAATGTATGAAGATATTGAAAAGTTTGGAAGTCACCTTGAGCATGTAATTGCTAAACTTGAACGCAGGTGATGGCGTATCTTGAGCCGCCGCAAAATGCGGGCAGGAAGCTAGCAAAGCGGCGGAGAGGGTGAGCGTGAGCAGCAGCCGGCACATCCTAGCCCGTGCCATTGTTTCTGAATTCTGTCAAGAGATTGCAATCTCAGCCCTTCTGTGGGACTCTGCGTGTCTGCAAAGTTTCCGCCTACTCGTCCAGTTCTGTCTGCATAAGTTTTCAGAATACAACTCTAAACTGACGTTGGCGTTTCGTCTGTGAGTTTATTCGACTGGAATTCAGACGAGCGCGATTCTCTGTTGAGCTCGGTTGCGCCTAAAACGCGATGACGACAACGACCATGCAGTCTTTGGTTCCTGCAGTTCGGTGCCTGGTGTTACCCTGCTCTGCACGCTCCAGGGGCCAGATTTGCTTGCTTGAGAAATTGCGAGGCATTTTCAATGTCGGAAGTACTGAACATTTTACCTCCGAAGCGCGAGACCCGAGCCGCGCATTTCATCCCGATTGCCCTTGTCTGTCGGAGCAGGAGATTGTCAGGGGAACCGCACTGGCGAAAAGTGACCAACCGCAGCTTGGCTACATCGCGTGTCGCGGAACTGAAAGTCTGCGAACTTCGCCAGGCGCGAGCGCGGAACCAAGTTCCCGCTTCGGTTCACTTCGGTAGGTCAATCTGGCAGGTGATTCCGCCAAACTTTTGCAGGGCAACCAATCCCTGGAGCTGACGGTAGCAAGGTGAGGACCAGATTCAGAAGGCTGACGTGGATGTGAACAAGGAAACCACCTGTTTAGCGAAACATGGTCGAAAAAATCTTTCGCTCGGATGACACCACTAAAAAACGCTCCGTTTGCGCTACAATGAGTCTCTGGGCCCGTAATTCATTTGGGCTTACAGCAGGTACAGTTTAACCAGGTTTTAGAGAGGTTCAGGGCTTCTCAAGTCTTCAAAAGTCACGGTTGCGTATAGGTTGCCAAAACCTCTGGAAGAAACACCAATCACCCCACAATTCCGATGACGTGGACCTCAAAACCACTACCGACGCGAAGCGACCGAATTTCCTTGCGTGAAACACAGCACCCAATCGTTGTAACCCTAAGAGTGCGGCTCGGACTCACATCTCTCGGCGGGGACACATTAGATTCTGCATTTCTGGGCTAGCGGTGGGTATAAAAGGAAAAGGTTGCGTGACTGGTTTCCATCACATCACAAATAGCTTTTCCTCTTTTGCGCTTGCTTGCTCCTAGAGTTCTTTCAGCACAGCAGCTACCCTACCCACTACCACAAGAAGTGCATTTTCTGCCTGCAAAGCCGAGTTGGTTTTAGATTCCTCAAAGTTTCCAAAAGCCTATCTCCTAAATAAACCGTCTTAGTTTCCTCCGAACAGTAGTAAGTAGCTTATCGCCCGTTTTTTTTCAAAGAAGGACATCAGAAGTTTCCAAGCAGGCTGTTACTTATAGAAGCGATGGCGACCGTCGATTTCGAGCTCCCGGAAACCATGTCATCCAACGGCTGGGAATCACAGTGCACTTCTCGCATGACGAAGGCACAGCGCGCCAAGCTGAAGGCCGCTTACAAACGAGGTATGCCGCGAACACGTTCCGAACATGAGTCATGAGGGACAGAGTCACGGATTTGATCTACTTTCTACTAGAAAGAGATCGCGTCGTTCGCTGTAAGACATCTACAGTAACTGTAACTGACTTTTAATATTCTTACATTCCTTTTCTGTCTCATCCTTTTTGCGTGACAGATCACCCAGTGGAACCCCCGCAGGCCCCCAAGCAAGACGAGTGCAGCTGGTGGGAGTGGGACGAGGCGCAGGCGGAATCGGCGCGCTTGAAGCAGAGAATTGAGGGAAGCAAAGCAGTGGCGGAACGGGTTCTTAAGAAGTTCCATAAGCAGCTGGAATTGCGGAAGGCTGATCGGCAGAGGAGCAAGGAGATTCGCTCCACAGGCCGAGTGAAAGGCGAACGCTGGAAGTGAGAAAGGGAATTTTCCCCCTTCGACTGAGCCGGTATTCCCTCCAGGAGCACTGTGTCGGCGACACTTATTGCTCGGGAAACACAGTGGAGAATTGTCCCTGTACGAATTTCTCGAGGGCAATACATGACGGAGAATTCTGGTTACTGTATCACGTGATGGCGCATGCGGGATTGTAGAGGGTGATAACCCTTTCGCAAGACAGCTGGCGAGAGCTGCAGCTGCTCCGGAGACATGATTGAGTGTGATTCTGTGTGCCAAGCATGAGAATTGAGTGAACTTCCGTTGAGTGGCCTAGCATGCAGGAGTTTTTTCTCGCTTTTCTCCTGTACGTTGAGAAATTTATGTAGTACAAATCTGTTCGCCTCATCTTTAGGGCTTCCTAGGACAGTAACCCTCTCTCCGTGCAAAAAAGCAAGTCAAGCCTTGGTTTGTTGGGCTTCCCCGCTTGGGAGACACCCAAGCTCACCCCAGCTCGCACAAAGACCCTGGTTGAGGTCAGAACCTTTGCTACGCTTCCGTACACTTCTGCAGTAGGTACTTCAAAATTTAACAGAAATGCACCCTCTATCATGCACAGAGGAAGGAACCAGTAAGGAATGTGTGCTTCGCCTTGATCAGCTGATGGATTTACATTGTACCATACACGCAAGTGCCAGAAGAACTAGCAAAGAATAGAACTGCATAGTGTGTACGGTATGTAGTACAAGGCAGGAAGCAAATGCACTTCCCTATAGAACCATCTTACGGTACCGTATCAAATCAAATCTCAACTCCAGCTCAGATCTCGAACTCCTCTTGGTGATTTCCCAGCCTGTGCACTCGAATGTAGACATCCGTTCCATAACCAGGAATACTGAAGAACTGCATAAAGAGGACAACATGAAAGGAAAACCTTTGAGGCGCCTCAGAAGTGACTCAGAACTGGGAACAGTTGGTTGGTACGTATTCTTGCTGCAAGCGTGTGAACACAGGCTGCTTTTGGGTCTACTGGAAGGCAAAAGAGACTGAGAACGATACTGTCAGTTGCAAACGTTAGAGATTGTAGATGCACGCTTGGGTATACAGACAGGACAGGCGAGCTGGAAAGAAAAAAAAAAAGCCAAACCAAAAACAGACCTCAACCTTTAACCCTCAATCTTAAACTCTGAACCTTGGGTCTAAGATTGGCATAAATGGTCCTGAGATTTGGCCTTGATTTGACATCTCACCTCAATATCTCCTCCAAAGTACTGTGCATGAAGTCGGGAGAGGGGAAGGCCAAACCCCAGTCCAGCCATGGGACTGCCGTGCGAGTCAAGAGGGCCTGGCGGGGAGGGGAGAGTGGTGGAGTGGAGTGGTGGGTGGTGCAGATAGTGCCAACATGTCACACATAAGACAGGAGAGGGGAAGGCCGAAACCGAGTCCAGCCATGGGACTGCCGTGCGAGTCAAGAGGGCCTGGAGAGAGTGGTGCAGAGGGGTGAGGAGTGGTGCAGGTAGTGCCAACCAAATTAATACATAAGTTGGGAGAGGGGAAGGCCGAAGCGAGTCCAGCCATGGGACTGCCGTGCGAGTCAAGAGGGCCTGGCGGGGAGGGGAGAGTGGTGGAGTGGAGTGGTGGGTGGTGCAGATAGTGCCAACATATGTCACACATAAGACGGGAGAGGGGAAGGCCGAAACCGAGTCCAGCCATGGGACTGCCGTGCGAGTCAAGAGGGCCTGGACAGGGGATAGAGTGGTGCAGAGGGGTGAGGAGGGGTGCAGATAGTGTGAACCAAAGCCACAAATGAGCCAGGACAGGGGCGGGCCGAAACTCAGTCCGGCTATGGGACTGCCATAGGAGTCAAGAGGGCCTGGAGAAGGGGAAGGGGGAATGGGAGAGGGGAAGGTGAGTAGGGCAGGGGAGAGGGAATCTGGAGGGAGAGTGATGCACGGGAGTGATGCAGGGGGACTGACAACAGAGCATACATACACACGCTGCAGTGCATGCTACAGGTATAAAGTTACAACGCACCCACAGGCAGGCATGGCTCTGCATTTTCATCGGCTCCACACCTGAAGCGGTGAATCGCGGCAAAAAGTGGTAAGCTGCGGTAAGAAGCAGTAAAATGTGGTGAAGTGTGGTGAGGTACGCACGCACACACACAGAAACACACAACACACCTGCAGGTGGGCCTGAGTCTGCATTTTCATCCAGAGACGAGAAGCCATAGCTCCAAACCTGAAGCATGGAGTCAAGTGCAATGGAGTGCGGTGAAATGCGGTAAAATGTGGCCATGTATGGTACAGAGGAGTGCAGTGCAGTGCAGGAAATGAGTTCAGCTTCACTCTCTCTAGAACAGATTGACGTGCTCTCCTCCTCATTCCGCTTCTCATGAAGATGGGGGAATCCACACCCCCATCCCCATACCCCTCCCCTCCTCCCCCCCATGCCAGCTAAACTTCTCCCTGACTTTTTTGCAATGCAGCCTCCCTGATCTGACACCTGCCAGCAACCCCAGCCCTCCTTTTGTGATGTCCCGTCTTATCAGTCCACCTCCCCCTCCCCTCTCCCCCTTCCACCTCCCCCTCCCCTCTCCCCCTTCCATCTCCTCCTCACCTTTTCCTTCAGTTCGTTCGCAATGCCCCCTCCCTGATCCGACACCTGCCGGCACCCCATCCCATGGAAGCAGGGAAGCGGGAGCCACATTTGCAACTTGTGATTGTAACAGGGGGGACAAAAGAGAAAAGATGACCATCCGGCACAGCGTTTTACAGGCGTACTTTGAGTGTGCTCTCGTTGTGACCTCTGCGAACCGTGATTGCGAAAGGGAAAACGCGAGAAAACGAATCCCTGGCACAGCTCCAATTGATTTGCGTACCTTGAGTGTGATTTCGTTGAGACCTCTGCAGACCGTGATTGTAACGGGAGGAAAGGTGGCCTGAGAGGCTGTCTTGCCCTCCTCGTGAGCTTTTTTCAAATGATGCTCCACCACTGCCCGCGATGCGTTCTGGTAGAGGGGGAGAGTGAAAGGAGGGGGTTGTGAGTGAAGCAAAGAACATAAGGTGGCCTGAAATACTGTTTTTCCCTCCTCGTGTGCCGTCTTCAAATGATGATCCACCACTGCCCGCGATGCGTTCTGGTAGAGGGAGGTGGGGTGGAAGGCGGAAGGTGGGAAGTGGAAGAAAGAGAGAATGCAACGGCAGCAATGGAGGAAAGGTGGCCTGCGAGGCTGTCTTGCCCTCCTCGTGAGCTTTTTTCAAATGATGCTCCACCACCGCTCGCGACGCGTTCTGAAAAGCAGAGAGGAAAGCAGAGAGGAAAGAGGAGAAAGAAAGAGGGTCTGATGAAGTGAGCCTTGTCTCATGCTAAATGCTCTAATTGCTTCTCCTCTTCACCTTTGCCTAGCATGTAGTCAGTGTGTGCGTGCAGGTACATAGGCGAAGGTAGAGAGCACATCCCCTTGCACGTCGAACTCAGATTCACACCACACACCACACACACATTCCTGAATGATGTACACATGAAGTGCTCTGATTCAATACATTTTGAACGCACCTAGATTATCTCAAACAGCATGTATTCGATGTGTGCTGGCACATAGGCGAAGGTGGAGTGGAGTGCACATCCCCACCCATGTATGGTGAACTCAGATCCACACACCACACCACACACACATACCTGAATGATGTACACACCAAGTGCTCTAGATCATTACATATTGAATCAGCCCACCTTGAGTATCTCAAACAGCATGTATTCAATGTGTGCTGGCACATATGCTAAGGTGGAGTAGAGTACACATGTCAACACATGCAATACCACACCCTGAATCAGCCCACCTTGAGTATCTCGAACAGCATGTATTCGATGTGCGCAGGAACGTAGGCAAACGTAGAGTGCACATCCCCATGGACCTCAAACTCAGGGCAGAATCCAAAGGTGCGTTTTGACACGTCTGTGCACTGCTTGACTGCTGCTTCGACCACCGCTTGCATGGAGAGCTGAATAGGGAGAGACGGAAAGTGGTGGGGATGAGAGAGAGGAGAGAGGTTAACTCAGGGCAGAATCCGAAGGTGCGTTTTGACACGTCTGTGCACTGCTTGACTGGTGCTTCGACCACCACTTGCATGGAGAGCTGGTGGGAACGGGATGGGAGGAGGGGAAGGAGGGACAGCAGAAGGTGGAGAGAGTCACGTCCGTGCACTGCTTGACCGCTGCTTGCACCACTGCTTGCATGGAGAGCTGATGGGGGGAGATGGGGGAGAGATGGGAGGCAGAGAGGAGAGAGGTGTGAGGGCAAAGGCCAAAGGTGCAGCAAGGTGACTGCGGCTTGCGTGGGGACTGCTTGAAACGCTTTTTGGAGCAGATGAAACGCACCGGGCAGCACATGAAACGCACCTGGGAGCAGATGACGCCGATGAATCCTGGCCGTTGATGCTGCAGGCAGATGTGATGCTCTGCAATGACCCTGCGGCTGATCCGCGATCGCAGCCTGTGATACAGACATGCAGGGAGGGTAAGTGGAGCGGAGTAAGCGGCTGAGGGGTAAGGAATCATGTGTGAGAGATAGCTATTGTGATGCTCTGCAATGACCCTGCGGCTGATCCGCGATCGGAGCCCTGTGATACAGACGTGGGCAAGGGGAAATAGAGTGGTGGAAAGGGGGTGAGGGGTGGGTGAGGAACCATCTGTGAGTGATTGTGATGCTGCAGGCAGATGTGATCATGTGATGCTCCGCGATGACCCTTCGGCTGATCCGCGAGCGCAGCCTGTGATTTAGGAAGGTTGAGGAGAGTAAGAAAGGAGAGTGAGGAGGTGAGAAGTCATTGGAGTGGGAGGAGTGGGAGGGGAGTGAGGAGGCAAATGTGATGCTCTGCGATGACCCTGTGGCTGAATCGCAATCGCAGCCTGTGATACAGATGGGCAAGGGTAAGTGGAGAGATGGAAGGCGGTGAGGGGTGGGTGAGGAACCATCTGTGAGCGACTGTGATGCTGCAGGCAGATGTGGGCAAGGGGAAATGGAGTGGTGAAAAGGGGGT